CAGGTTGGATGGTTGTTTTGGATTTAAGTTAGGGAGGCACATTTTTTAAATGTAATATTAAAGTGGAAAAAAACCATGGATATAATTGCTGAATTCTTTTTAGAAAGCACACTGGGTTTCAGCCCACATACCGCAAGCCTGCTGTGAGACAATTACGGCAAAAAAGGGGGGGGGCTAAAAGCTGAAAGAGCATAACTAAAGGAAAGCAATAATTGATATTTGCTTATGTGGTAACACTTTTGGACAAGTTTTCCAAGATGATCTGACTGTCTCAATCCTATAGATAAAAGTCGAACAGGAGATCTGGGGGAAAAGAAGTGGGTGCTCAGCTACGACTGAACACATGCAGTTCATCTTGTTTGCTAATAAGTTAACATTAGCTTTTTTTTTCTTTCCATTTTTGTGTTCTAGACTCAAACTCAAAGGTTGCAATTCTGGATTATTATTTTGACCTTTGTGTGGATGATAGTGAATTTGACATTATTTGGAGAAAATGTCAGATATTTATGTGATCATTCTACTGGAAAACACAATTGCACTTGTCTAAGAATATGTAACTGGGGAATGACAGTTACTTTTTTCCCCCCATAAATTAAGGCCAGTGACTGTTTTCAGACGTCTGTCCCTCCTATTCATTGTTCTGTCTTCAAAAAGTTTGATACTTCCTTTGCTTTTCATTTACTTAGCTCAAATGGAATCTCCGGAAGGAAATTGCTTTCTCTGAAGTTACAATCTCTTAATTGCCAAATCTTATGGTATTTTCTTGGGCCTCTCTGCAGCATTTGGCAAGGTTGACCTTGTGTTTTTCCTGAATACTCTCTGTTCTCTGGGTTTTCAGGACCACTACTTTCTCCTGGTTTTTCCTCTTTCCTTTTTGATTTCTCAGTCTTCTCTGTCAAATCATCATCAATATGATTCCCCGCAGTGGGTACGTCCAAAGACTCTGTTCTTGGCCTTTTTCTCATTCTATACTCTCTTAGTGACTTCTTTAGCTCCCATGGATTTTATTCCTATCTCTATGTAGGAGAGTTCCAGATCTATATATTTCTGCCCATGTCTCTCCTGATCTCTCTTTACCCATTGTCTATAGGAAATTTCAAAACGAATGTTCCAGAGACATCTCAAAGTCATCATGTCCAAAACTGAATTCATTGTCTTTCCTCCTCAAACCCACTCTCTATCACACTTCCTTATTTTTCTCAAGAGTACTACATTCTTCCAGTGCCCCATGTTCATAACTCTGATATCATCCTCAACTTTTTACACTTTATAAATCTCGGCTCTGCTCCCACATCTTTTGTATCTTCCCATTTCTCCACATAACCACCACTTCAATTCTGGCCCTTATCACCTCTTGCCTGGACTATAGCAATAGGCCCCTGATTAGTCTCCCTGACTCATTTCTCCATATTCCAATCTACACAGCTGCTAAAGTGATTTTCCTTAAGTAGAGATATGACTATATCATTCCCCTATTCACTAAACTGCAGTAACTCTCTAGTGACTCAATGATAAACATAATCTTTTTCTTTTGAAACTTTTCAAAACCTCACCCTAATTTATCCTTCCAGCATCATTATACAGTTGTCCTCTGTCCATACTATAACCCAGTCAAACTGACCTTCTCTCTGTTCCTCAGACACAGTATTCCAGCTTCTAGCTTCTCACCTTTGCACTGGCCATTCCCCAAACCTAGAATACACTCCCTTCTCATCTCTATGTTATTGAATCTCTCATTTCTTTCAAGACTCAGCTTAAGCACCATTTTCTATATGAATTCTTTCCTGATTCTAACTGCAGATGCCCTTCTTTACTAAAGATCTTGAATTTAACAATTTTATTTTTGTCATTATTTACCTTAATTTATTAATTATTCTATGTATATTTATTTTATACATCACATGTGCATACACATATGTATCTATATGTGTGTGCGTTATATACATATGTGAGTGTATTATGGATGTATACATGTCATACTCCAATTTGATATTAAATGTAAATTGCTTAAATACAATGATGATTTCATATATTTTTTATGGTCTTTGTAGCCCCGGAGTTTTGCATAGTGCCTGGAACATAGCAGGTACTTAATAAATGCTGCTCATTGATTGAGAGAAACCATTTTACAAATGGTAAACCTGTACATTATAGCAAGATCAAAGTACCTTTTAGGGGGAAGGGAGAAGAGGGAGTCAGGGCAGAAGAGAGGAAAGAAGAGGGAGGAAGGAGAAAGGTTGGGGGGGGGAGGAAGAGGGAGAAAGAGAGAGAGACACAGAGAAAGAGAGACACAGAGAGAGAGAGAGAGAGAGACAGAGAAAGAGAGAGAGGGAGGATATGAATCTGTGTGATCCTATAAATGGAAGGATTTAGATATTAGCATTTTCCTGGAACAGAAACTAGAAAGTCATGGGGAAAAAAACCTCACCACAAATCTATCATTCATCTTGAATGAATACCAAGGTTCAATCTGTGCTGTACTTGCTTAAATGAAACCTTACCTCTTACCCTCCTGCTCTATGCCTTCCATTCCCACCACCCCACTGAAACTGTTCCCTTGAAAGACAGAACGTTTTGCTTGCTGCTGTTTGTTTAGGACATAAGTTTTTTGACTTTTCTCTGGCACTTGCCTCTCTTGGCCATCTCTGTGTTCCTGAAAAGCTCCTGTAGCACTGCTGTATACTGGTTCTCCCATTCCTACAGCTATTTCTGCTTTGTCTCCTATTTCCAGTCCTGTGAGCTGTACGAGGCTCAGTCATCAGCCCTTGCTCTCTCTCTTCAACTTCTCCCTTAGAGATCTCCAAAACTAATTATTTTGGAATTCAAGGTCTTTCTTTCATAAACTTGCTTTATGGCTCAGTGGAAAGAATTCTGGATTCAGGGTAGGTGGAACTGGATAAGAATTCCAATTCTTCTTGTTGCTATTGATGTAACCTTGGACAAATTACTTCAACTCTTTGAGCCTCAGTTTTTTCATCTGTAAAATGAAGGAGTTTGGCTAGATGATCTTAAAGGTATTTTCCAGTGCAAAATCCTATGATCCTACCCATCCAACCTAATGTCCAAGTGCTCCTTAGCACAGATTCTCCATTCCATGTAGTCTGGAATCCTCAAAGTCAATGGATATGCTATGATACTTCCTCATACTGATTTTACATGTACACTTAGCCCTTGTTTGCAATGTCCTATCTCCTCCCTTCTGACCTCAAAATATCATTTAAAGCTATGTTCAAATCTTGCATTCTCTGCAAATGCTTCTTTCACTCTCTGGTCCACTTTGACATCTCCCTTTCCTGCCCACCCCCAATAACATCTGCTCTTTGTGCCCGTTATGTGGCATACTCTCTTAAATGGTTATACCTAATTCTGCATGCATTAGATCTTTTTCCACCAGTAGGTGTGTAAGCTGCTTGTGGCCAGGTTTCTTTTGTCTAATGTGGTGTTGGTCGTATAGAAAGCGTTCCATAAACAGAGGATAGGAACATGACCTGTGATTTCATTACTATAGGGAACTCCTAGGTGAGGAAATTCTCTATCACAGAAGGTTGGCACCTTCTCTACAATTTATAATATCATCAAGTTGCCTAGCACAGAGGTATCAAACATACTGCCACAACTCCCTTGAGTGTCAAGTACCACTGGAACCAGATTCAAATGCAATTGGGAAATATTTAACAAAATGAAAAAATACAATAAATACAGATAAGATCACATTTTAAAACTAAATCAATATTTAGCCTGTAGGGATCCTTTTGGTCAACTAGGTGGCCTAGTGGGTGTAGAGTGGTAGGCCTAGAACTGGGAAGACTCATTTTCCTGAGTTCAAATCTGGCCTCAGACACTTCCTAGCTATATGACCTTGGGCAAGTCACTTAACACTGTTTGCCTGTATAGTAACAACAACAACAATAACAACAAGGGATCCTTACATATAGATTTTGTTGTTGTTCAGTCGTTTCAGTCAGTTCTGCCTCTTTGTGACGCCATTTTGGTTTTCATGGCAAAGGTAATTGAGTGGTTGGCCATTTCCTTCTCCAGGTCATTTTACAACTGAGGAAACTGAGGCAAACAGGGGTAAGTGACTTACCCAGGATCACACAGCTAGTAAGTGTCTGAGGCCAGATTTGAACTCAGGAAGATGAAACTTCTTTACTCCAGGAGCCCTCTATTCTATGAGCCACCTAGCTACCCCTATGTATAGATTAGTGGCCTCCATTTCATTGTGGCCCAGAGCACTAAGAAATTAAGTAATTTGCCTAGATTCACACAGTCATGGACTTAGCCTATGTGTCAGAGGAAGAATTTGAATCCAGGCCTTCCCAGCTTTGAGACTATATCTCTATCCACTACACCACCCTGCTTCTGAAAGTGGCTAGACCAGCTGACTTTTAATTGTATATGAAAAACAATGTTGTAAAAAAAAAGACATAAAACATAGTGGACTCTAGGAGAGCAAGTCAGAGATGAGACAGGCATGAGAGAACTGGTCTGGGATTAAGAGGACCTGAGTTTTATTTCAGCTCTTTCTTTACCTGTGAGACCTTAGGCGAATCACTTTAGCTCTTTGAGACTCAGTTTTCTCATTTGTCAAATAGGTAGGTTGGACTAGGTGATTTCTAGGAACATTTCAGTTCAGATAGAGAAACGGAGCAGTAGGTGAGGAAGAGAGAGGGGCAACTAGAGAGATAAACAGACCAACAAAGGCAGAGATCCTTTCTGTAGGACAGAAGGGGAAAAAATGAGACAGAAAAGTAAGAATCTGACAGAAAAAATGAAGAGTACCTTCATTTTCAATTCCTCACTTCAAGAAACATAACTAAAATTTAAAAACACTGTCTATACATCTTGTTAAATTTAAAGCATTTAGATCTGTACCTGTGAATAGAAAAAAAAAATAAGTCCCTATCTGTGATAATGGAAATCTTATTCTTGAGAGGGAATTTCTTCCTTGATTTAAAATGGAAAAGTAACTATCCAGTGATGAGGAAAACTATTATTACCCTGAGTTGTCCTTGTTCGCTTAGGTGTTCGAGGAGTCTTTGTGGTGGCTGGTTGCTGAGTGGATTGACCTGTTTCTGCTGAGAGGGGAAAAAAGGCATATATTGAGATGTCTAAAGAGAAATTAAGAGAAGAGCACCAATTTATTGTAGTTAATAAAACTGTTTCCTTAAATAGAGTTGACAACTGTGTAAATATTTCTCTCTATGGACAACAAAATAGAATGTAGAAAATGGATACATAAAATAGGAATTTTTCACTTTCTTTACTGGCATATAATAAATCACATAGTGTGGGAGAACATAATAGGAAGGGAATAAATATTTATATTTAATTACTACTATGTGCCTGGCACTGTGCTTATTTGATCCTCACAGAAATCCTGTGAGTTAGATACTGTTAATCAATAAACATTTACTAAGCACCTATTTATTATGTGCCAAGCATTATTTGCCCCATTTTACAGTTGAGGCAACTGAGGCAAAGAGTGGCTAAGTGACTTGCCCAGGGTCGGGCAGCTAGCAAATGTCTAAGTTCTGATCTGAACTCAGGTTTCTTGACTCCAGGCTCTCTGTGCCACCTAGCTGCCTATAGATAATAATAATAATGATGATGATGAAAATAATTATATGTAGCATAACACATTATGCAATATACAATAATTATAATATAAATATATAGGTAATGCTTTTATTCTCCATTGTCACATTCTCCTGTTTGCTTATACAGTTCTCTATTACATTATATAGACATAGCAAATTATTCATTTTGTAACATATAGGCAATTAATGAAATACTTGTAAGCAGTCACATGGAATCATAGGGTTATGGACAGAATAGATCTCACAGGCCACTATTTTAACCCTCTTATTTTACAGGTGAAGAAACTGGGACTACAATACAATATGTAGCTTTCTCATTGTCACATGACTGGATAGCTATTTTTTTTTTATTTTGTATTTTTATCTCCTATACCTACATATTGCCTTTTATAGTCAGAGCTGTAATTAGGAATTTTTTTGTGCCCAGGACAAGTAACACAACCGTGCTTGGAGCAAACAGTATGGAACATTCCTTAATTTAAGGGTAGGGGGAAACAGGCACTGGGAAACTGGACTGAGGCCACTTCTGGGGAGAGTGCCCTGCACTAAAGGTCAGAAAGGAGGACTTTTATTCTGAGTCACAACTAGTAGGCTTTTATTTACTCATTCATTTATTTTTACTAACTATTCTTATTAACTAGGCTCTAAGATCTTTGTTTTCTACGATGCTGAAGGGCCACAAATGTTATTAGTCCACTCCAGATTCCACATCCTGTGACAAAGAAATATTAAATAAAAATAGAATGGTTATGTGAAAATAATCACATTCAACTGTACGTAAGAAGCCCTTACAGCTAGGTGGTACAGTGGATAGAAAGCATGGGCCTGAAGTCAGGAAGACTCATCTTCCTGAGTTCAAATCTAGCCTCAGAGGCTTACTAGCTGTGTAACCCTGGGTAAATCACTTCACCCTATTTTCCTCTGTTTTTCATCTGCAAAATGAGCTGGCGAAGGAAATGGCAAACTGCTCTACTGCCTTTGCCAAGGAAACTCCAAATCAGGTCACAAAGAGTTGGACATGCTGCAAATGACTGAACCATAAGATTTCCTGGATTGGGAGTGGATCATTTATTTGAGTTATAGATGGAAAATGCATTTAATTTGCTGTTCTCTACCAAAATTAGTCATTATTGAGATCTTTAGTTTTCTATTTCCTCACTGAAAATTTATCTTTTCCTGAGGAAAGAATTGTTTTTTTTAAATGTTGTCAATTACTTAATCTCAGCAGAGAGATTCATGGTGGAACTAAACTTCCCATGCAAACCAATGGTTTTATTTAAAGGGAATGGAAGAGAGAAAGTAAGGCAGTGGGTATGTGTGTATGTGTGTTTGTGTATTTGTGGTACATATTGTGGTTGGGTAACCCCAACAAAATCACAAGTCTAAAAAACTGGTTTTCATGCTAATTTTAAGTCATACCAGACAAATTGTGATTTCTGTTGATTCTGATTGCTTAGATGATCCATTTTGTCAAAATTTTTATTTCCTAGAGAGTTCTATTATTCCTTCTTATTCAACCCTACTCAGCATTTCAAGTCTTTGCATTGAAAATAACTTGAGAATTCTTCAATAAGAGCTTTGCCATAGTTTCATTTTGTTTCTTTGTCTCTTTTCCTTTCCTCATGCATGGCACAAAGTAGGTGTTTCACCTTGCAGTGAAATAACTTTCTATTTTGGAAAAGATAATAGGTACATGTAACTAGAGAAAATCTCTAACTAGTCTGAAAGTAATCATCTTTCATGGGATGGGATTTCATTAAAAATGGCACTTTGAACACTGGGATAACTGAATGTTGGGAAATACTATAGTGAGCTAATGCCACCAGAAATCGGGAAAGGGAAAGTAAATCATGGCCACTCTTAACCAAAGTGTACTTTGTCAAGTTATACAAGGGAAACACTCAAATTCTGATAAAAACATTTCTATAATGAATGGATTATAATGCAAGCAACTAAAGCTTACAGAGATGGCCTGTATGGATCTAGAGATTGGATGGTTTTTATTCTATAAGAAAGTGTTCTGAAATTAAAAAACAGCAACACTATAATACTCCTCTTTGGTGGTAAGCTGGTGTTTTGTTATTAAAAACTAGTTTCTTTAGTAATAAGAAAACCAGAAAATAGCTCTTCTCCTAAATAATCATATTAGGGTATCTTTACTATATAATTATAATAAATGTAATTTATTTTATTTTGGACATCTTGGATATCATTTTTTTGAGGGGGTGCCCTGGAACAATGATTTCATTGATGTAGGAAAATCTCAGTATAGAAATTCCCTCCACTGATAATTCATTTGTAAATTATAGAATAGGAAGTTACCTGGGGCATTGATTTGTCAAACGATTTGACCATGGTAATACATATGCATATGTATGTATGTGTATATATGCATATACCTACATGTATATATAAATATATATGTATACATACATAGATAAATATAAATATATAGATAGATATAAACATATAGATATCTGTGAGGCAGACCTTGACCTGAAGTGTCCCTGATTTCAAGACTGGCTTTCCATCCACCATGCAATGCTCCCACTCAATTTGGATAATATACATTCTAATAATTTCTGATGTGGTCATTCTACCAAAATGAGCTCCCAAAATGAGCACGAATGGGCAGATTTAATAAATATTACTACTTATAGATGTTTGGGCTGCTCTTTAGGCTATTTGAATGATACCATTTTTAAAAGCAAAATTGTTTGAAAGTTCTGTAATCTCTCTCTTTTTTAAATATGTTGATTCCTCTGCTCCCAAGACTTCACAAAACAACCTGGGAATGAGAGAATTAAGAATGTTTCTATCCAATAAAATCAAAATCTTATCTTCCTTTCAGATTGGAGAAAGGCAGTTTTCTGTTATTTGAAAGAAAGTTATTCAAGATTATTTGAAATAAATTCATAGGCTACTATAATGCAGTTGCTAAGAGACTCATAATTCAACAGAAATATCAAAACAAGAGTTTACCGGGTGTGGTTTGTAGTACGTCTTGACTTGGACTTGGTGAAATCTTAGGCTTAAAAGGAATGCCCTTTGTCCCTGTAGGAGCTGGAAAAAAAAGTCCAAAGTTGTAAGCTAGTCAGATTCAATATCTACAACACTAGGTCAAATGCAAAGCATACGCAGCATACCATGGACTGAAACAGAAAATGACGGCCTTTAGATGAAAAATGGAGAAAAAAAGCAATGAAATGAATTTTCAGGAAAATGATTTTAGAATATGAAAATGAGTTTTAAAATATGAAATGCTTTTGGAACATGCAGCTTATAATTTGGCAAGAATTGAGAATGCTACTCGATCCAGTGATAGAACTTTCACAGTCACAGTTCAGAGCAAAACAAGACCACTGCCTTAATTGTAGTGAAAACTTTTTTTTTTCTATTTGGAAACAACAAAAATGCAGTGTTTCAATGTCTTCTACGCCAAAGGACAAAGGAACCTAGCAAAAATAAAATGAAAAGAGAATAGGATGGAATAGGATGTAGAAAAAAAATGGTGACACAAGATGATCATTTCAAGGAGGACTTGCAGCAAAGAGAAAACAGAAAGTTAGGATTTTTCAACAAGGGAGAGTGAACATTACCCATTGTTGACTTTGATGGTTCAATTCTAAATGTAACAGGTTCCAGGACTATGTCAAAAGCAAAACAAACACACAGACACACATAAACATTTGTGAGAATAACTACCTGTTCAACACAGATTTCTTTACTTCTAGGTATAGCCAAACAATACATAACATTTATAGTTTCTTTATCCTGAGAAAATCTTTATAGTAGGAAACTTAAGGGCCCACCCTTAAGGAGAATTGTTTAGGTAACTTAGGTTAGTATGTGAACTCTCAATCCTTACCTTCTGTCATGCAGGAAAAATGTTGGTGGGTGCGCAAATTACTACCTTAAGAGGAGACTCACAACTCTAACTTCATCTGATCAGTATGTCATCATTTTGGAAATATTTGAGAGCTCAATCTGTAATAATTTCTGATATTTTTTAGCACATATCCTCTCTTGAAAAGTGGTTCAGTACTCTGATCAAGCAACAATCAATTACAAATGATGAGGAAGCCTGTTGCCCATCTCCTGAAAGAGAGCAATGAGCTCTCGATGCAAAATGAGAGAGTTTTAGACCTGGCCAATGCAGGAATTCACCTGGTTCTACTATGAATATTTCTTACCAAGGTTTAACTTTCTTCTCTACCTTTTTCTTTGGGGGAGGGAAGGAATAGGGAAAGAAAATAAATGTTCATTAATCGAAAAAAAGTTAAATTAAAAAAAATCATTCTGGTGTAAATAGTGAAAAGGGGTGGGTTTTTGGCTTGCTTGCTTTTATCCACATTATTAGGGGAATATCTTCCAGCAAGATAGCAGTGTGATTTAATCATAAAAATACACATATTTATATGCAAGCTTCTCTTAACATTATCTTCAGTGATACCAAAAACATCTGTATTCATCTCAAGGAATAAGTTTTGAAAGAGCCATCTCACTATCTTGAAAAACAAAATAATGCATTTACCAGGTTTGGTCTGAGAGACATCTGGGCCTGGTTTATGTACATTTCTGGGAGCTGAAAGAAAAAGCCCAGGTTATAAGACATTGTGTTCTTTAGGCATCACACCTGGTATCTAACAAAACAGGGACATGAAATACCTCAAGCATGAATGATGGAATGAATAATCTTTTGTTAGTCATGGGGGAAAATGCAGCTTGTGAATTTTTTAAAATGGAAAAAATGGAATTGCCTCGGAAAGGGTTTTGAGATAGTCAGACAAAAATATGGAATTCACATTTTGAAACTGTCAGGAAATAGAGGGAAACAGCTAACATAAGAGGATGGATTTGCTTTGAGTTTTATTTCATGGCAGACAGTCTTTTGTCTGAAGAGCAACACTTTCTTAACATGCATGCTTATCTTGCAATGACAGTAATGGAAGATATCTATACTACAAGACAGTAAAGTAAAATGAAAGACGTTCTGGTAAGGAAAACTAACTAAAGGTGGCAGATTTGAGTGCCTAGGAGAAGAGGGTATGTAAGGTAAAGCTGATTAATAAAAGGCAGGGACAGAAGACAAGCACTTGATTACAAGAATGAGATTCAAAAGCAAACACATCATCCCCTTGGTCAAGTGGTACCTATTGTTGTTGATGTTGCTGTTCTCAGTGTGATGGTTGTTGGGACTGTTACAGGTGAACAAAATAAAGATAGGAATGGTCAGTTTGCATGCCATTTTAATAACCTGGTCCCTAATTTTTATTGCATATTTCACAAAACAAATTTCATAGAGGGAAAAATAAAACATCAACAACAAAAATTTATTAAATGCAAACCACATACAAGACACTGTGCTAGGTGTTGAGGATAAAAAAATTGAAAAATAATATGGTCCTTGCCTTAAGCAAATACACTGGAATGACACTATCTCATTTTTCTATTGGGGAAATATCAAGGCTGGATATCTATCGTCATTGAAAAGTTCTCACAAGGCAAAATCAACTACTTACATCAGAATTTCTCTCCCTGAGCTCTCACAGTATTGGGAGATTTCTATAATGCAAGATAATAAAGCAAAACAAAAGATGTGCTGGTAAGGAAAACTAAGTAAGGATGGCAAATTTGTTGTGAGACAAAATTGCCTTACAATTTTGGCCAACTTTACAAAAGGACGGCTTCCTTACTTTTGTTCTCCTTTCTGGCTTATCCTCTGCCTTCCTACTGAACTGAAAAATCTCATGAATTCTAAAATCTATATGGTAGCTAGCTGAAGACTCCACATGCTGCTGGAATAGAACTAAGTTTGGGCCTGTTTGAAGAAGTAAAAAAAAAATCCTATTTGAGAGGTGTGGTGGTTGTTGTTGTTTTTTTTTATCATTGTTTAGTCCAACACTATTTTGCCCTTGAATGTAGAAAAGGGATACATGAAACTTTTATAGTTATAGAGGGGAGAATATATCGTGAAGACCAATAAAATCAAGAGGGACATCAATGGGCGTGTGTTAAAGCACTAAAGATGACACCTGCTTATTTGCATTAATGGGCAGAAGTCATGGTATGAATCATCCCCATTGCCTGGCTGTGTATGTGATGGGTCTGCATTAGTACTGACCACTTCAGTAATGGTGATCTTTGCTAGCCCACTTACTCACATAATCCTAGGCTATCTTCCCTTGTCTCATAGAACAACTTTTCTCAACTATGCTCCATTCCTCCCTAGTTCTTCCCATTTGTTCAGATAAATATAGCACCATTTGGAAAGCTGCTAATTTTCCACTCAGTGGTACCTACTTCAACTTTACATACTCCTCTGAATATCATGTAGCCTAGCAGATAAGGCATCAGATTTGGAGTCAGGGAAGGGGAGTTAGGAGAGAATACCATCCTGGAAATACAAGAAGGAGAGAATATCCAAGAAGAAGGGGGTGGTGAACGGTGTTAAATGCAGCAGAAAGGTCAAGAATTACGAAGACAGAGAAAAGGACATTATATTTATCCTTTAACAAGACTCAAGAGAAGCATGAAAAGGTAAACAGGAAGGGAAAATCATAAGGGACTTACTAAAGTTAAACTGTTTATATTCCTACATGGAAAGATGATATTTGTAATTTGTGAGACCTATCTCATTATTAGGATAGTTAGAAGGAGTATATATATATAGCAAGAGAGAGAGAGAGAGAGGGCACAGGTGTGAGCTGAATATGAAGGGATGATATCTAAAAAATAAAATTAAGGGGTGAGAGAGAGAAGAATGTACTGGGAGAAAAAGAAAGGAAGAGGTAAAATGGGGTAAATTATCTCAGATAAAAGAGGCAAGAAAAAGCTTTTACAGTGGAAGGGAAGAGGAGAGAGATGAGAGGGAGCAAGTGAACCTTACTCTGATCAGAATTGGCTCAAAGAAGAAATAACGTACACCCTCAATTGGGCATAGAAATTTATCTTACCCTACAAGAAAGTAGGGGGAAAGGGGATAAGAGAATAAGGGTGGTAGAAGGGAGGGCAGATTGGGGGAGGGGGTATTCAGAAGTAAATACTTTTGAGGAGGGACAGGATGAAAGGAGAGAATAAAATAAATGTGGTGGGATGTGGTGGAGGGAAATATAGTTCGTCTTTCACAACATGACTATTATGGGAGTGTTTTGAATGACTACACATGTATAACCTATATCAAATTGCCTGCCTTCTCAATGAGGGGAGGGAGGAAGGGAGAGAATTTGGAACTCAAAATTTTAAAAATGAATGCTGAAATTGTTTTTACAGGTAACTGGAAGGAAAATAAAATACTAAATAAAAATTAAAAAAAAAGATTTGTCCATTAAAAGATTGTTGGTAACCTTGGAGGGAGAAGTTTTAGTTGGGTGCTGAGAACAGAAGTCAAACTAAAAAGGGAATGAGAAGTGGGGGGGGAGGGTAAGTAGAAACACTGAATGTACACAGTAGTTTGATTATGAAAAAATGAAGAAATGTGGTAGGATAGATTGAGGGGATGGTAGGGTCAAAGAAAGGGTTTTAAAGTACAGGGGAGACTTGGACACATTTGTAAGTAGCAGAGTAGGAGTCAGTAAAAAGAGAGAGAGATTGAAAATTGGAGAGCCAGAGGAAACGATTGTGGGGGCAGACTACCAAAGAAGGTGGTAGAAGAGCATGGAGTCGAGGTCACAAGTGGAGGGGTTGGCCTCGGTCAGGAGGTCTTTATCGGAGACTAGAGCAAAGGTAGAGAAGATGGAGAATAATACTCATGTCAATGGTTTTTAAAATTTATATTAGTGGAGAAGAGAGAATTTATGGAGAACTTGTTTTTTTTTTTTCAGTAAAGTATGAAATAAGGTTTTGTGCTGAGAAGGAAAGGGAAGAGAATAGTGTGGGAGGCTTGAGGAGAGAAGAAAAAGTTTGGAAGATCCACTGTGGGGTGTGCAATATGAAGGACAGTTAGGGAAGGCTAAAAGGATTACCTTGCTACATTGAAGGTCTCATTGAAATTAGATAATAAAAATTTTTAGTGGACCCCCTCAGCACTGTTGGGCCTCCAGTACTATTAGCAGCACAAGTAAGAGTAGAGATGGCATATGGTAGAAGTTTGATAATGCATTAGTGGCAATAGGACAAGGGAGTCAGGGATTTGAGTAGAAGAGAGAATTACAGTGAAATGGATAATTATAGAGTCAAGATTAGGAAGGGAGGCTGGTAAAATCAGAACAACGATGCTGGTCTGGTTTGAAAGCACTGAGGGATATAGAAACTGGAGATCATTGTGAGGATGAAGATGAAGGAAGCTTAGTAGTATGGAAAATCGATTGGCAAGTAGGAAACATTTTACTTTTGGATCCTGGAGTTTATGGGGAATTACAATGGCAAGATTGAGGAATTTCCAGTTGTAAATTCAATTTGTTGTTTATCTGGAACTTGAAGGAGAAGGCATTTTGATTTACCTCTGCAAATGTAATGAGTACAAGTAAATAACAAAGTTTATAACTATTCTGATCAGCTACAGTGATAGACTATACAAAGAAAAACTAGGATTAAGGAAAGTAGAATCCGAAAAGAGATCTGTTGCTAATAAATCCTCCATACTGTAAATATGTTACTTTTTGCTTATCTTTTTTTCTAAGATGGTATTTGCTTCTCTGGAAGAGTCTGACTTTCTGCTGCTACAAATAACATTGTTTCTCTCTCTCTGTCTCTCTCTCTTTCTCTCCATCTTTGCTTCCTTTTCTTTTTTTCTCTCTCTCCATCCTTCATCCATACTTCTTTCTCATGAATTGTTGATTTAAGAGACTAAGATGAAGCGGCATTATCAAATGAGTATCAAAGGAGAGAAATGGAAATGCCCATGGGAACAGGCTATAAATAGTCTCCCTTTTTCCACATACTTAAAAAAGTCCAAATTTCTATCACAAGCAAAATTTCTTTCTGGTACTTAGAAGATAGTGGGACTGGGGTGTTCAATGAACTGAGGTTTCCTGTGCAGTTAAAAACTAATGGACTTAAGTAAATTGTGACTTTTATTTCCTCATAAGAAAACCTGTCATTTTTGTTTGTCAGACTTACAACAGAAGTGATAAACAAATTTTAACATGTGTACGAATTTAACTCATGAAAATAAAAATGTCATAATCAAAAGCCAACCTTCAAATGATAATTTCCTTATACATCCATGCCAAGGAATAGGGAGAATGTTTCTACTTGGCAGAAATGCAAAGTTAATTATCCATCATGAGTTTGTAGTATAGTTCAGATTGTGGAAACTATATATGAGTTACCTCAAAAATTAAAAAAGAAAACACCCTGGAATTATGATTTAATTGATGTAGAAAATTTCTCATTGGTGGGGTACCTCCTTTACCAACACTTATTTGTATCCATTAGAATGTAAGCTCCTTGAGGGTAGGGATTGTCTTTCTACTAGTATTCCCAGTTTAGCACAGTACCTGATACATAGTAAGCACTTAATATATAATTCTTGTTATTTCCTGTTGGCACTAGCTCTGCAATTTATAGTTGCCTGGCTTATTGACAGGCAAATGCCTTGCCCAAGGTTACATAGCTAGTATATTTTGTAGGCAGCCCTTGATCTCATACTTTCCTGACTCTAAGACCAGATTTCTATCCACTATGCTGCCATTCCATAATATAGTGATTAACACTCCATGATATAATGATAAAATAACATTCATCTATTTTTAAAATTGTAAAAAAAAAATTATGTTGCTCTCAAATAGAAAAAAACTACTTCTTGGGCACTGAAATAGACTACTAGGTACTATCAAGGTACTGAAAAGTATTTTGCTAAATGGTCCCTAGGGTTTTGAATAAGCAATATCCCAAAGTATATAACTCAGTCTTCGGGAACAGCTAATACACTGGAACAATCTATCACATTAAGCACAATCTAAAGAATGTTTTTGCTATAGAATAATTAGAGAATCAGTTTAACAAGTCATGATCAATTTATCTGAGTTTTTTTAATTTGTTGTTGTGGTTGTTGAAGAAGGGTGCTAAGCCATTGGCTCTTTTGGCTAGAAGAGTTGAAACAAGGACCTTGGTTGTTAAAGTCCTCAAAAGAAATACTCCAAGCTTATTAATAAATTCATTTTAGTTCAGACATGGACATGAAAAGGAAAGGAAAGTTTACCTGGGAGCAAGAATATGGTAGGTGTGGTCAAGTATGCATAGTCATCTAAAGCAAACTAGAGTCTTACTGGAAAGCATATGTAACAGAAAATTAGATCACTTTAATTTGATTAGTTTAATAATATATGCTATTAATTATTATTTAATTTCTTGCCCTTCCAGGAATATAGCAGAGAATTAAAGTGATCATGCTATAGGAGTACAATGAAAGATTTGAGTCCAATGTTCCCTTAAGCATATTTGTTTTGCACTCTGATGTGTGTGAGAGCATCTTGACTGCAGAATTGTCAACCAAAGAGAGATTTATATTCATGACTGATAAAACAATGTTAGGGGGCTTTAGGAAAACACGCAAAAGTGGATAACTCAGGAACAAATGACATCATGCCTAGAAGATAATAATAATGATGAAAATTGTGAGGAGAAATGATGTTGCTATTGTAGGTTCTTAAAATTGGATACTGCCTTGCCTGTACCCCAGTCTTGGGATAAGGAAAATGGACAATCAAGGAGATATCATTACCTATAGTTGTCTTTGGTTGCTTGATTCTAATTGCATTTTCTTCTGGGACTGCATTAAAACAAACACGTTCATTACATAAAAACCAAAATTCAAACTTTTCTTTGACTTATATGTATGGAATTACTATTTGTTATTTAATCTAAACAAGATTTTATAGAAAATTTGACTAAAATTATACTTCTATAAAATTATAACTTTAAATAAGGGTCCATACATTAGCAAATGTTTGGGATAAAGGATTCTTTTTAAACTGTACTTACAAAATGCACAAGCACTGCTTTGCCATGTGTACTTGAAAACAGAAACTGGGCTATAGAATCACCAAAATACACTAATAAAAATGAAAGGTTTTTAACAGTTGAATTAAATTATTAAGTAGATTGATCAGGAGTGTACAGATTACTGAAAGCCTGATGATATCCTTGCATTCATACACAGACTACTCACTAATCCAAAGCAGAAAGGAGCTAATTCTGCCTTCTCCTGATTCAGATTTCATATGATCAAAAGAACAATGAGTTTTAGACTAACTCCAGGTCATTGGATACGAGGGAAAAAGACATGTGTATAGTGGCAAAGTGCTCCCTAGGGTTTGAACTTCAAACAAATAGGCCTTTTTTTTATGAGGGCCTTTTGCTCTGGAGCATTTTTCTAAGAAGGTTTGGGGGTTGGGGTGGGGAAGTCTAAGTTGACTTTAGCTCAGGATATAATAATGGTAACCATAGCTGTACATAAAGTTTATATAATGATTTAAGGTTTGCAAAGTACTTTACACAGGCTATCTCATTTGATCCTCAAAAAAGCCTCATGAGGTAAGTGGTATTATCAGGCCTATTTTATGAATGAGGAAAATAAGTCTGAAAGAGGTGTAAAAGACTTGCCCAGCTAGTAATGTCTGAGGCAGGATTCAAACTCACATTTTCTTGACTACAAATACTTTCCTCTCAACTGTATCATCTGTCTTCCTGTGAAGGTTCAGTTTGTTAAGACTTTGCATCGGGCTTACCAGATGGGTTGACTGGTTGGCTAGATATTCTCAAGTTAGAATTTCCTTAGAAAAGTAGTAGCATGAAGCACATGATATACCTCATATGGAATTGTATCCTATAGTAAATTCCCATGAGCTTATTTTGGCGGAACTTAAGATTAATGTTATTTTTATTTCCCATAAGTTTTTGGGTTTTTTTTTTGAGATTAGATTCCTGAGGGAGGAAAAATTAAGTTCGTATCAAATTTGGCCGCTGGGTGGATTTTGTATTTCATAGTAATGATGGCTAAAAGAAAAGCTGATTTTTCTTAACTTTAGTTTTTAGATAACAGGTTTCTCTGGCTACTCGATTCATAGTACACAAATATTTTACCATATGTGGTTGGAGACATAACAGGACTGGGGGATGCCTGAGGTGAGGAAGAGATGTGTCTTTCTGTGGGAGCTGAAAAACAGGATTAATGCAAATGAGACATAAAGTTTGATATGCAGATTCAAAGAATCTTAGAGATTCCACTTTATAGCTGAGGAAACCAAGGCTATGAGAGTTTAGGTGGCTAAATGGTCACAAAGCTAGTAGGTTTCAGAGGTAGGAATCAAAAACAAGTGTCCCGGCTCTCAGTATTTCTCTCTACAACAGTATATATCTTCAAATCTGCAAGAAAAATTAAATGATTTTGCAGTTATTATACACATTCACATGTTCCTTGTGGGACAGTAAAGTAGGGGTAATTCTCAACAACACAATGATGACAGCACTGCCAAAATGATGGAAATAGAGAAAGAAATAATGTCAGCTTTAGCTGTACTCTTACCCCAACGATAGAAAAATCAGTAGAGAAAGTCTACAGGAAAAACCAAAAGATAGGGATTCTTAATCTTGTTTGTGTCATGGACTACTTCGGCAATCTGATAAAGCCTATGGACCCCTCCTCAGAACAACGTTTTTAAAAGCATATGATAATACATAGGATTACAAAGAAAACAAATTCTGTTCAAGTACACTTATCAAAATATTACAAAGCAAATCCATAGACCCTAGATTAAGAATGCCAGCTTAGAGTAACTTCATTATGTTGGTTTTCTGGTTAATCACACAACATAGTAACTATATTTATGGATGAACTATGAGTCTTCACAGAAAAAAAAGGTGAGTTTTAGTGCAAATAATCAGTTTCAAGAAATAAAAATAATTACAGCATTGAGATGAGATGGCAGGATTTTGCTTTTGGAGAATGGTAGTCATTTTTTCCAACGAGCAGAGAAAACCAATACAAGCATTGATTTAAGTTAGCATTGTTATCCACTGTCACACATGACAATATAATTTTAGTAGACTGCATCAAATAATTTTTAAATCCAAAAGCATTGACGTTATATGATTTCCATTAGTTTGCTCCTTTCTTGTCTATTAAATTCAGTTCTGTGACCCCAAAAACCTTTAAAGCAATAAATAGTATGCCTTCTGAAACTAGAGAGGGAAAAATATAATTGCTACCTTACTTTGCCCTTACCAATTTTCTACTTGTGTCTAGTTTGCAAACCAGTTATTGTGCAGAAGAGGGAGACCAGCAAGTATGCAGACATGGGTTCTGTCAGTCTGTCTGCTCAATCCTTCCTTATTTCTCAAGAGGCCACAGACACGCACTCTCCCTGGAGAAACTTGAAGAGGGCTTCCTTCGCTAGTTCTATCTGAGGTTACTTTCACTCACAAATAAGACAAGGGCTGACTGTGTTTAAAGATTCTTTTCTTCCTATAATCTTAGAAAATGAGGCCACGCTGGAAAATCTGAATTTTGCAAAGCAATTTCAGAACTCAAGGGAGAAATTAGGCATCATTTTCTTCTTTATTTGTAAAAACAGCTGGTCCTTTGTGGAAAGACACAAATTCTGGATTCCAGTCTTCTATTTTGTTAAAATGAGAGGCACATGAAATAATATGACCATGATTCACATGGCTAGGTTCTTTAACTTTATACAAGACAGGGACTGGACCTGTCCTCCCTTGTAAGGAAGCTCCCTCTATCAGCGCAGGTTAGCATCTTCTGTTACTTAAAGTTTTAGAGTTGAGTAGGCCATTGAGAACATTAAATGACTCTGCCCAAGATCACTCTGACAGTATGTGTCAAAGGAGGGGCTTTCAAGCTTTCAAGTCAGCTCTCTTTCTATTATGCCACATTGACTCTCATTTGCTGTACTATTAGAGTAAAAGTATTTTTTTAATTCTAAGAGAAGAGGAATACTATTAACTGAAGAATTCTAAATGCTTTAAAATCCTCTCTAGCTGCACCATGTTAGTAAATATACAACTATTATCAAACTTCTGTATCAGACTAGTTTGTGGGGTACAATGTGATCCTTGAACAAATGCTAAAAATAAATGTTTGCAATTTACCTTCCAACCACTAACTCCTATATTATACTTCAGTCAAGAGTGAAACCAAATGTATTTGACTTAAGTACAAAATAAGTCATTTACCAGGTAGAGTCGGTAACACGTGTGGTCTTGGTGTTATTTTCGGTTTTGAAGTGACAGGTCGGGAACCCTTCGGAGCTGAAAAAATGAACTTTATCATGAATTGTCTTGAAATCAGTGTATGATCGTCATGTTTAACACACAAAAGTGTCATGCTTTAAACCCAAAATGGGTTCTTAAAAAGTATTATTGATGTGGAATTTAGATGATGAAAGAAAACCTAAGCCTTGGTGGGTAAAAATTTTGGAGGTAGCATAGATGTCATTCCAGATGATCAGGGAAAACAAAGTTTGAGATGCCACACTAGATCAATCATTATAGAAGGATGAAGAATCACTAATTGGTTTTCTTTCAGAGTATAGAGAAATTGATTTTTAATACATGGCCTTTTTGTCTATGAGTAGGTACGCCAACCTCCTCACATTCATCCACATTTCACATTGATTGGAGAGACCAAGGAGTTGAGCCATTTTCAGCAAAAGAAGAAAGTCAACTTTTAGAAAACCAATAATATGAAAGTTCACAATTTATGAGGTTATACAATTCTTGGGACAGTAAAAGATAAAACCATTTCTATACATCAAAATCATCTTTCATTATGATTGTTATTTTGTGGGGATTCATTTGCTTGATGTGTACATGGGATGTTATTGGTGTAGGGTGGAAACTTCATCCACTAACTGATTCTTGGAGAGCCTCCCTGGGGGCACTGGGATATTAAGTGATTTTTCTCTGGTCACTCCCTCTAGTATGCATTGGAGTCTTCCCGACTAAGGCTGTCCTGCTACCCACTAGGTCAGGCTACCTCTATAAACTGGAGAAGTGCTAAATCATACACCATTATAATGAGAGTGGTGGACAGATAACAAGGTTTTAAAGTTAATATAACTTTCAATTTATAGAGGTTATCATACTTTAAGAGAGGCAGGATGGATTAGTGGCTAGAGAGCTTGCCCTGAGGTTAGGAAGATCTGAGATGTTGGGTTCAAATCCATATCTGACACGTACTAGCTACATAACCCTAGATGATTCAATTAACTTTTTAGGGCACCTTGCAACTTTCTAAGACTTCAAATTGCCAACTACTTGATTTGCATTGAAACAAAGACTATACTAATGTAATCCTGGGTTAGGTAAAAACAAAACAAAGCACCATACTTTGAAGTGGATAGATAATTAGTCAACTCAGAGAATTTCCTTGTTATACTTGCTTCAATCACACACACACACACACACACACACACACACACACACACCCCTAGAATATTTGGGCTATTTAATCTAATTTCCTGATTGCTTGCTTCAGTAAAAGTTAAGTTTATATGCACCATTGATAATAGGATTTCCAAGTGCCAAAGTAATAACAGATTTATTTTCTACCTCTGGCTGCTGGGTTAGTAGGCAAAGAGGACTGCTGGTGAATGAGACAAATGAATGCTATTCCTCAATGCCTCATAATTCAATAGGAACAATCTATATAATTTGATTGAAATTTGGCCTCTGGGTCTAATTCTTCCTTGAAATACTAACAGACGCTTGACTTCAAATTTCTCTCAGTAATTCTATTGATAAGACCTTTTTGTTTAAATACAATAATTTCTTAGTTCACCTTGGTCCAGGATACAACCATAATAGAAACTAATATTTATACAATGCTGTCAGGTTTGCAAAATAATTTACGCAAGTTATCTCATTTGACCTACCAGGCAGGTGCTATTGTTATCTCTGTTATACAGATGAGGAAATTGAGGCTAAGAGAGGTTAAAGGACTTGCTTAGAAAGACTGAACTAGTAAATGTCTGAGATGGGATTTGAATTCAACCTTTCCTAACTCCAAACTCATGGTTCTATCTGTTACACCGAGCTGTCTCTTCACGTAAATGAAAGTTTCTGATTAACAGGGCTCACGAAAGTAGTGATGGATTGTAGTTTGCACTTATTTTTGTCAGATATTGTTGAGGCTATTTATTATAGGAATGTAATATGAATTATAGAATATATTTTCATTATAAACATAGGACATTTCCCTCCCCTCAGAGAATGCACTGTCAAAGGAACACATTTTAGAGTGCCCATTTGCAAAATCCAATCAGAAATATGAAAAGGAAGTAACAGGATTCCAACACTAGATAATTCTGTTTATATATAATTTATATAATGGTCTAATTCCAGATAAAAATGGATTATATTCTTCTCCTGTATAGTCAGATACACAAACTGATCTTTCCTAGGCTGGACCTTGCCTCCTGAATATATCCTCGTAATTGAAATAATTTAAAATGCATGATATTGTGGGGAGTCAATTCTAATCAGATCAAGCTATTCTCCTTGGAATTGAAGAGGCCTTTATTCTACTCATTATTTTTCAATAAATAACATGGTTATATTCTCGTTTCCATAAACTGATGGAAAAAGTCACTTGTGGTACAGTAGCCTGCAGAAAGAAAACATGTGAGTCACCTAGGGGCAAGCAGTCTCTGTAAATCACTCAATGGCATTTAGCCTAGCTGCTAAGCTCAGAAAGTTATGGGGTTGCAAAGATTTTCCATAGTAGATGCTAGGGGTACTGGTGGTGTCAGGATTGGTAAAGTCTCAGAAAAGCTCCATCATTACAGTCTGGCAGTCACTGTGATGTCTTCAGAGCCAGACCCTTTTTTAAAAAAAACAAACAAACCCATCTTATTCATTGCCCAGTGGAGCTGTTTAAGGCTGTTTCAGAAATTTGAATGATAAATAATTTATTAGAATTTATTGGAAATCTGCTAAAGAAGGATCATGTAAATCTGGAACTGAACTAATATGCTATATAAGAGAGAATACAATAATGGAAAATAAATGGCAAGGTCTTGATTTACTAGTTTAATTTTTTTTTAGAATAGAAAAATTGAAAAGTAGAGCTTAAAGAGATACTGTAAGCAAATCCCTCTTAGTTGTTTCTGTGTATCTCATTTATTTTAATTTTATTGAACATGGAACTTTGATGCCTACAAGCCTGAACTTTCCTCAGTAGTCTTTGCTTTTTCTTCTCTCATTTTCTAGTAGCTAATTATAATATTTTGATCATTTCCATTCTACTCTTTGCCTTTTATCTGGATGCCAATCTCATTTCTACTTCGATCTGTTATGTTGTATCCCTTATTTCTTTTTTATATTCTTTCATCTCAGTTTCCTCACTTGTAAAATTAGGGATTTGGGCTAGGCGATACCTAAGTTCTTTCCCAGTTCTAATGTTCTGTAATCCTATTTACTTGGCCAAACTACTTTAGTTATTTTTTCCAGTACTCTATTTGTGATAAAATATTTCTTATTTTTTATCTTCTTCCCCCTTGGTGTTTGGTTATGCTAATTTTTCTAATAAAGTTTAAAAAATGTAATAGATACTTTCCAAATTAACTATGTAACTCAGGAGTCATTAAGAATCATTAGCCAGAAGTGTTGTCTGAAATATGGCTTTCTACTCTGACCATATAGCAAAAAAAAAAGCTGTTTTACTGAAAAATTAATTTTTCATATTCATAACAAATTTCTTTCCTAAGTTGCTGGATTTTGTGATCAGAATTGCTCCATTCTGTTTTGGGTCTGAGATTAGGGCATCACAGTGAAGGCACTTACAAATGTGGATTAGCCATGGCAGGACCAAGTTCATGATGCTGCCAACTTCCTGCTTCCTGGGGTGTATTTAGGATCAAATAAGATAATGGATATAAAGCACTTTGCAAACCTTAAAGTGCTACATAAATGACAGTTTTATTATAATAATAATATTATATATAAATATAGACACAAAATATAACAACAATATCATATCATTATATATAATATGTAATATTTTATATATGTTATTATTTTTATTATTAGCCTATACTTAGTAGGCCTCCAGTCTGGTGATGACTTAATTCCCTGAGTTTTCTACTACAATCTTGCTGAGCTCAAGCAATGTTTATAGAGCAAATAGGAGTGTGTTGGTAAATGTTTTGAGGGGAGAGGGGAAATATGCATGCACATTTTAAAGCTTAATTTACATTATTAACAGTCTCTTAAATTTTGACACTCAACAAAAAACCATGGACAAAAATACTCAGGTAAAGACCATAAATAATGCGAGATGATTTCTTGGCAAATTGATTTATTAATCAAGCCCTGATTTGCATTAAATCTTTAATTTCTGGTACTGATACTTTAATTTTGATACTGAAAATTTAGCAACTGACTAGCCCAAACTGCTTAGAGCTGACTCCAGCATACCCTTTGCCCCATATTTCTCCCTGTTATCCTTGATTTGTAAACGAATGAAAATGAGGGGTTTAGTTGTTCTAGACCAGTGGGTAATGGACAAAGCTTAAACTTATTTAGTCTAGAGTGGGCAATTATAAAAAATGAGGAATAGGTACAGAATATCCTCTGGCTAGGCAAAGAAAATCCTGGTTCTTCTATCAATTTCTACTTGACTTCAAATCTACCCTCCAAGGAAACCAATAATAATTGTGTGTTAACTTCATGCAACAAATAGATTTAATAATAGCTTTCATTGTCTCTGAAAATCAAGGCTCTTTGGGTTACTGAGAAAAAATCTGTTCAGAGGGAAAAAAAATCATAAATAAACCAAATCTTCCTCTACTCTCATTTAATTCAGTAGAAAAGAATATATATTCATTGACCCAAACCCTGCTGAAAAATGAAATTATACATTTACCAGGCTTGATCGAGCTTGGTGTTGTTTTCATTTTGGGTGGAGCACGTGTTGTCTGTTTTGGAGCTGAAAAGAAAAAGACATAGATTGAATCCTTCCATGTTCAGAAACTGTTAAATTACAAGGGACCTTCACGTCACCATCCTGCAGAGGATGAAAGATATTTATGGGTAACAAAAATGGAAAAAAAAGAAGTTATATTTTGAGTGGCATATGAATAACTGATCTGAGGGAGGCAAAGTTAGTGGAATTCCAGAAGAGTCTACTTTAAAATTAGCTTAAGGAAACACAAGAAAAGGGTTGGTAATAATAGGGATATCAGGACCTCCCTTGCACAGCTTCCATGCTTTCAAAATACAGAGGTGAGCTATTTGAAGTGTGGTTATATTTAAGTTCTTAATGAAAAATCAACTTGCCAAGTTACATTCCCAGAGTAAATGCCAATAGTGCAAATGAATATTATTGAGCATCTGCAGTGCTGAATATTTGTCATGGAAAAAGAGGGGGAAAAAAAGCCTCTGAGGGAGTATTGTTATACTGTGTTGCCTTTCATCATCCAAATACTAAAATGTTCCAGGGAAAATTCTATGAAAAACTAAACTAAGCCTTTAATAATAAAATCAAATGTAAACATCCCAATTGGAGAAGGTGGAAAACAGTCTGGTATTTCTGCTGCTTCAAAGAAAATCTCTTTAATATGTGTAGGCTGGACATCACTAAAGAGAAACAATAGTAATTGCATTTATTAACCTTTAGAAAATACATTTTTCTTTGAGACATTTTTTGGGGGATTGGGGATTATCTTGCCCTGGTTGGAAGTACAGTGGCCACTTATGGACCCAATCCCACTGCTGATCAGCACTGAAACTGACTCATTTTGTTTCTAACCTGGATTGGCTTGCCCCTCAGGTAGCCTGGTTGTCCCTATTCCTAGGAGTTCATCATATTAGTTCCAAACTTAGTGCAGACACATGATGAGCTCTGGGCTTTATTGCGGCTCAGAACTGCTGAACTCAAGTGCTCCATTAGCCTCAGCCTCACTGGTAAGAGGGATCACAAGCATATACCACTGTGCCTGGCCTTGTTGTTTAATTGTTTTTCAGTTGTATCTGACTCTTCATGACTCCATTTGGAGTCTTCTTGGCAAAGATACTAGAGTGCTTTGCCATTTCCTTCTCCAACTCATTTTCCAGATAAGGAAACTGAGGCAAACAGGGTTAAGTGACTTGCCCAAGGTTACACAGCTAGTCAATATCCAAAGCCATATTTGAACTCAGGAAGATAAGTCTTCCTGACTTCAGACCCAGCACTCTATCTGCTGTACCACCTAGCTGCCAATTGCCTAGCCTTAGAGAATACATTTTGAAGCTTTTTGAAAATAAGAATTGTTAAACCCTGGAATTGGTTACTGAAAGAATCTGTATGATCTAATTTCTCAGAGGTCTTTAAGGACATACTGACTGTGATGTATAAAAAGTTTAGGAGATATAGTTTTGGGGTAATTAATCATTTTTATTAATCATGCTACCAGATAATTAATAAAAGAGGTGTGTGGCACACTTGAATGTCAAAGACCCCTCATGAAACCCACTCAAGGTTTATATGCCCTTGGAAAAATGGGTGTTCCTGAAGGTGACAATCGACTCTGATTGGTTAACAAGTAATGAAAGAATGATTATTATAATGAGAAGGTGGACCTACTACTTTGATCATTCAGATCTGTCTGACTAGAACACAATGGATCAGATTTCACCCAAATCAGATTAAATTCTTTGTAAGTTTCTCTAGCTGGATGGGGTCTCCCACCCAGGATTGAAAGGCATGTACCTCAGAGTTTTGGGCAATCTCATCCATCAACAATGTCCTTCAGAGAGTGAACAACCTACAGACTTCCAGAAAAAAAAAATCTGGTCCTAATTCAATAATTTATCATTTATATAAGAGAGAAATAATAATTTCTTTTTTTTTTTGCCTAGGCAATGGGGTTAAGTGACTTGCCCAGGGTAACACATCTAGTAAGTGTGATATGTCTGAGGCCAGATTTGAACTCAGGTCCTCCTGAATCCATGGCCAGTGCGCTATCCACTTTGCCATCTAGCTGCCCCAAGAAATAATAATTTCTGTCATAACCATAGAAAAGATTTAGTATAGTCCTGCCTGCAGATAATTTAAAAGTATAGTTTGATTCCTTAAGGGTGTCACTTGCCAATTCTGTGACCTTGGGCAACCCATTTAACTACTTTGGACCTCTGTTTCCTCAATTGTTGAAAGAGAAGAATGGACTAAATGATCACTCTGGTCTTGAAAATTATAATTCTAGACATCCTTCCAACCACATGATTCCCTGATCACTGAGGTAAGAGCCAGGTACAACATTCCCTTCTCCTCAAAAGGATGTAAATGAACTTAAAACCATGGACAGAATTCCTCAGGCAAAGACCATAAATAATGTGAGACAATTTCATGGGAAAATGGTAAAGAATGAGGTGGAGCCTCAATTGCCTTCTCACCCTGGAACATTCCCCTCCCATTGGTGAGTTTAGAACTTCCATGTTTTGGAAGTGCCCCTGGCCAGTTCTCTTTCATTTCTCCCCTGCCTCTGCTTTTGACTCTATGGTCTTTGCTACCTTGCATCCCAAGTGCTAAGGCACAATGCCCAGGCCCATGTAAACACTAAATGCTTATTGTTAATAGTGTTAATAATGATGATAATAATAACAAACAGCTAAAGCTTTAACAGTTTTAGGGTAAGAGACAAATACAGGCTAAGACATGCCATATAGTATTTTAGAACAGGTGACCTAATTGATATTCTAGATGATAATAGGATGAATATGCTATAGTTCTGTCTACCATTTAGTCAATGATAGTCACCCCTTGAATGCATGGAAATGGCGGTCAGAATAACGGTGCTGGATGAGAAGTTGTTCAATTGTGTCAATATGCCATTCCAGATAAACTCTCATGCTTGGGTACTGATGAAAGGAAATTTTTTTCCCCAAAATGATAATATCCTTGTCATATTTTTAGTACAATAATATCTTTAGAGGTGGATTTTATGTTTTACTTATCTCAACACAGCTCCTGATTATTCATAGCAATTAGGTACAAGAATAACTGGAATCCACAAATAATCTTCAGATTATATTTCCATCATTAGTTTCAATCCACATTCTAAAAGCACCTTTTATTATGGGCAAAATTGATCAACTTTAGTTTAAGCTCCTATCACTTATCATTGAATTGGTCAAGAGCTAGCAGGACAGAAAAATAAGAGATTCTAAGGATCTGGGTAATCACAAACCAACTGGTTCTATATACATCCTTGTGATTCACTGAAGAGTAAAGCCCGCTTAAGGAAACCACAAGAAAATTGTACTATTGGGAGTTTTTAGTTGTATAATATCCTCAAAATTATTTATATCTTACATTATGGGTTCCACGGGATTTTAGAGCTTCTCCCTTTATCCTCCCCAATGGGTTCATTAACACTCTATAGGATAAGGAAAGATACTGCTTTGTCAGAATACATTATTAGCAAGAGTCTATATTTTCAAGTGATCCCACCTGACAAGAATCAGTCATATTTCCTAAATTACTAAAAATTCCTACAGTCAATGAAAAGTTCTTCAAAATTATTTTTAATTCATCTTCACAGTGTATTTGTGATGGATTGATGGCTAAATTATATGCATAGACAGAAGAAATATTTACATAGTGGATACATATAGATGCAGGTACAGAAAATGAGATCACCTCTTGTTAGCCCTGTGTGGGTCATATAGTTTTTCCATCCCCATGGATTGCCTCAAAGACTCACCTCACATGCTGAAATACAATATAACATATTTACCAGGTTTTGTCTGTGGTGCATCTGGCCTGGGCAGTGCTAAAGTTTTGGAAGGCAGAGGTGTTGTCTCTACGGAAGCTGCAAAAAAGTACTCTAGGTTACTGGAGGGCATAACATTACAGATAAGGAATAGTGATGGGTTTGAGGAGTGACAGGTGATTTTTCACAAAGTATATGTTTGAGTAAGGTAGCATCTTAACTCCTCTCAAACAACACCTATATTAACCAAGGCCACTCAGGTTGTGTGACCTTGGGCAAGTTTATTTAATATCCCAGGGTCTCAGTTTCCTAATCTATAACGCTCTGTCTTCTAAAGCCATTCACAATAGGGACCTTCTGCCTTTCCAGTGGTTCTTATCTTTATACGACTCCATACACTATACAATCCAGTGAGTCAGGATTGTTATTTCTTTCTACTCCTTGTTTTTCTTGCCCAAGACGCTATCTCCCAACTCTGTGCAGTTTCATTGTTCCTCTCCACCCCCTGGATTCCCTGGTTTCCTTCAAGTCTTCTCTTTCTATTGGAAGCCTTTCCCAAATCCCTCTTCATCCTACTGCCTTCCCTCTGTTGATTATTTCCTACTTATCCTGCATGTAGGTTGTTTGTATATATTTGCATGTTGCCTCACTCATTAGATTTTAAGCAACTGAGAGGAAATGACTGTCTTGCCTTTTTGTATCCTTAGTGCTTAGCACAGTGCCCCAGTGCCTGGCACATGGTAGGTGCTTAATAAACGCTGGTTGACTTGTAAAATAATAGCTAGAGGATCTTTAAGACAGCTTTTAGGTCTAAATTTATGATGCACACACCTAAAGATTATATTCAGAGTGAACACTTGTGACCCTTGTTTTTTAATCTCCCCACCCCATTCCCACCACAACATGAAACATTTAATTCTTTAAAGGAAGGTAAATAGAAAAAGAAATAATGATTAAGCAAACAAAACTTAGGATGAGGTAGTCATGCATACAACTGAGAAGCATAACGTTTTGTGCAGTGAAGGAATAAAAAAAAATGAAAGAAACCAGCAGACTTGTAAATGAATTTGAATACAAAGAATTGTGAGGAAGAATAACTGAATTAATCCCAACAAGGGATGGGAGTCCCAGAGTAGCAGTGGCTGGGGGATTCAAAGCCATGTCGACAAAGACAGTTGAGCTGCCTTAAGGCAAAACCAAGGCTTTATAAGTCTTTGAGGGGAGAGGAATTTGTTAATGATGATGTGATGATGATGTCATGAATATAAAACCTAGAAAGAAAACAAAGTTTTGGGGAAAAGGGTGATGCCACAAGATGGATTCACAATGAGAAAGAACCTGCAATGGCAATGGTGATGATGAGAAAGAAAGGGGGAGGGAAAGCACATGGGAATCAGTCACTGAAGATACCTTATTACCTATTGTTTCCGTGGGAGGCTCAGATACATATGTACTAGATTCCAGGACTGTATGAAAAACAAAGAATAGAAATTAAAAATGATACAGTGATGGGACTGGCTGACAAGAATTATACCTTCAAAGAATAACAACCCTTAGTCCCCCAAAAATTCCCAATGGAATTTTATTTTATTCTCATAAACTAAAAATAGAAAAAAGAAGAAAAATCCATTCTAAATAACTAATCTTTGGACAAAGATGTGATTTTTTTTTTACTGTCCCTTTCCTCAAGGAGCTTATGATCTGATCTTGTAGGGAAGATTAAGGGAGCAAATTTTCCAATGTAATTGGATTTTGAAAATTGTGTGTGATATTTACTCAAAATTTGAATGGTGAATAATACATCTGTCTTTCCTTCATACCAAGAACTATGTTAATGTTGGATTCATGTTAACAGGTTCTCTATATCTTACTCCATTACTTTGTAAGTAGGAAAAAAATGCAAAGATTTGCTATTTGAAATTCAAGTTATGAACGGACATCATTATTATCAAATACATAAATCCAACTATATTGGAAGATCACTGTTCTTAGCTCCTGTAGTAGGCTACAAACTCCTTCAAAGGTATGTTTCCCACTTTATACTTATCCATAGAAAAAAATGAAAAAATAAATGAAAAAAAAAGGGTACTGATGTCAAATTAAAAAAGAAACAAGGACCACTACTCAATTTATACCTAGTTTTATAATATGTTATCTAAAATGTTATGTTTTATTTTATTTTTATTTATTTTGTTAAATGTTTCCCAATTACATTTTAATTTACTTCACCAAATGTTTGATACCTCTACCCAAGAGCACCTCACATATGATAGGCTCCCAATAAATATTTGTTCAACAAATGAAAACAATTCATTTACCAGCTTTGGTTTGTTGCTCATCGGGGCTCTGTGTTTTAGGTATAGGATGTGCATAATGTGTTTCTGCCGGAACTAGAGAGAAAAGGTCTTGTGTTATTCTAGTGTTAATCATCAGAGTTCATTAGTTAATGGGAGGAGGGTGTACCAAACATATTCCCATCATGTTCACACTGTATTTAAGTTAAAGCTAACATTAATTAAACATTAAAAACAAATGTACTTATAAGGACAATGACTATTTATGCAACATATGAAGAATACAAGTTAGATGTGCAAAAGAATGTGCAGGAAACCATGGTGCTGTAGACGATTGCTGTGAAGGACAAAGACACATGGAGGCAGGTGAGTGAGAGAGCAATTTCAAACTTGTATTTACAGGATCATAGATAAAAGAATTGGATGAGACCTCAGAAGCCATCTACTCTAATCCTTCATTTTATAGAGCAGCAATTTTCAAGCTTTTTAGTCTTTGGACCTCCTTACATTCTCAAAAATGATTGAAGAACACCCATTCCTTGACAAAGAGCTTCTTTTTCTGTGATTCTATCTATTGATATTTACCATATTTGAAATTAAGACATCTATGTATCATCATGAAGGTGGTTTTAACTTTGCAGACTCCCTAAAAGGGTCTTAGGGACCTCAGGGGTCCTCAGATCCCACTTTGAGAACCTTTGTTGACGCAGAAATCAAGGCTTATGGAGCTTAAGTGACTTGTCCAAGATCACACAAGGAGTAAGCGTTAGAGATAAGATTTGAACCACTGCTCTCTGACTCCAGACCCAGAGCTCTTTCCCCTGTACAATGTTATCTCTCTACTGGAGTAAAACAGACAGCATCATTAACTTATGTAGAGTTTTATTTTTGACTTATAATTTCAAATAGAGTACATAGAGAAAGGTTAGATTTTATTGAAGAAAAAATCGGTGGAAATTTTGGTGCTTAATGCATAAGCAATATCTTATAAGTAGTTATGTGAAGTATTTGTTATTTTCCAGGATGGGAAACACTCTTCACCATCATAGATTGCACCAACCCAAATACAACTGAGTAGATGAATACTATGCACCTGCTTGAGCCATAAAAATGTTAAATGACTTGTCCAGAGTCACACAGCTAGTAAATGCCAAGGGCAGGATTTGAACTCAGCTTCCTGAGTCCAAGCCCAGCACTCTACATATTATGACATGTGCCTCTAGATGGGATTCTTTTTACCTATTAGAAATAGTTGAGAGAATAAAAATAATGGTGTGTCTACCATGTTAATTAAATTTTAAATTAACTCAATACAATCAAATGTAATTTTAAAAATCCAATTATATTTCAAGATACAGTGTTGAAATGACTTTAAATATTGGACATGAAGTGAGGGTGGAATGTGCAATAAAACAGTGAATCTCACACAGCAGCAGAGAAGACTCTATCAGTGTTATATGAGTTACAACTCTCAAGATATAGTGGACCAGCAGAGATATAATGTGAAAGGCAAGACACCATAATAGATGAAAAAGTCACAGAGCACGAGGATTTGTAGCAATGAGATGAAAAAGCAGAAACTTGCGTGACCACCACTCAAGGGAGCATCATTACCTATGGTTGGCTTTGGTGACTCAGTGCTAAATGTAACGGATTCCAGTTCTATTTTAGAAACTAGCAAAAAACAACAACAAAAAAACACAGCACAAAATAACAATCAGATATGAAAAGAAACACCATCACTCTAAGTCAAGGGTTCTTAACTTTTTGTATGTGTCATGAACCTTTTAGTTAGACTGGTAAAGTCTACAAACCCCCTTCTAAGGATAATGTTTTTCAATGCATAAAATAAAACACGTAGATTACAAAGGAAACCAAGTATAATGAACTATCATTATCAAAATATTTTTTTAAAAAAGTCTACAGAGTCTAGATTAAGAACTGTAAGTAAAGTGCACAAATTCATTGGAGTGAGAAAAAAAATCAGAAATTCTATGGTGGAAGAAAAATGAAACTTTTGACTTAATAGCTAATCATCTCAATTTTACAGTGATTAGGAAGCTTTTATTCTCTTGCTCTTAATATATTGGTTGTTTACTTCTTAACTTGAACACAGACACCTCAAGGAACAAGAGATGCTAAACTTTGATGCATAATGAACATCACTCTTTCAGTTGCCTTGAAATTCTCTACTAGCATCATTCTACACACTGACTCAATATGCCTGTGAAAAATAGACACATTACTAATTCCATAATTCTCACAGACTAAAAGAGAGAAACTCCAACCAATTGTAAAGTGGACTGCAGCAGCAGCAGCATCACCACCAGAAACCCTTCGGGTAGCTGCCAGGATGAGCTTTACAACCTATGAGCTTCACAACATCCAAACAACTGTATTCAAGAGCAATTGTCCAAGACTCCAAACTTTAAGAGCAGACTTACTAAGGATAGCAATTACTTACAAATGCAGGAACACACACACACACACACACACACACACACGCGCGCACACACACACACACACACACACACACACACACACACACACATTTACCCGGTTTGGTTTGAGGTACGGGTAGAGTTGGAGTTGTTTTAAGCTTGAAATGTGAAGGTGACTTTGTTCGATTTTGTTTGCTTGGTTTGTGAGCTAAGGGAAGAAAGGATGGCATTACTGTCAGCATCATGGTAGAGAACACTTCAACTGAATGTTATGTAATATTCCTATCTACTTTTCTCTATACAGACTTTACCTGTAGCTGCTGTTGTTTTAAAATATTCTTTTGCACCTGAAGAAGTTTTTTCCATCCTTAATGTTTCCCCCCAGAATGTTTAGGCAAAATTAACGTTAGAAGTTTTGCTTGAATTCTCTTCGAACTTATTTTGCAACCCCTTCTCACACACTAAAAACCTTAAATAGGTAACTAAAAAAATATAGAATTGAAAAAATAAACTGGGAAACTTTATTCCAAAGAATTAAAGGATGATATTATTTAATTCTCTATTTCAAGTTAATTAAAATTAAATTTCCACTCATTATATTAGTAATCTAATTATCAATATAAATGTTAATATTTTAATAATTTAATGTTATGTATATATTAAATGCATATCACAATACATTAATATAATAGATGAATAATTATATAATTATTTAATATAATTTAATATTTTAATATAGTATTGATATTTTCTAATATTACTTAATCATTTTGGTGATTATAGGTACCAATAACAAAATTTCCTTCATCACCAATGTGGAACTTCCTATTTTTCCTCTACAATTGATATTCTTTCCTTCCCTGGTTTCTGAATACTAAAAGATTGAACACAAAAATCCTAAAGTGATACAGTAATAAAGTTCAATACTCAGAACAACGATTTAACTGGTATGTGGGTACTTCTGTCATTGAAACAGACTGAACACTGGCCATGACTTCTTGTCCTGTGTAGTTATTTTCCATGTACTGAACAGAGCCTTGAAGGTCATTGAGGTCAATCCTGTCATTTTATAGATGGAAAAAAAGAGACCTAGCAAGGTTAGGTGATTTGTCCAGAGTTACACAGCTAGTGTCTGAGGAAGGGTTTGAATTCAAGTCTTCCTGACTCCAAATCTATCATTCTATCCATTCATTACACTGTTGCAGGATTTTCCTAACATGCTAGATATCTTCTTTTGTATCTTTTAATATTTTGTGGACACCAGTGCCACATAACTAGGTCATCTACTTTCTTAATAATAAAATTCCTGGATGACATATTTTATGTCACCTCTTGTGTACAATTCACTGGAAACAGTTCAGTCTACACCCACCCACCATATGTGTTCTCCATTGTCTTTTGAGTCTCCTGCAACACTGATTCTTTGGACACCGTGATGTTCCATTATTTCTAGCCAGATAGCACCATTAAGAAATATTAGTGTTAAAAAGATGGGCTTACTAAGCAACAGCTTGGGATCACAAAATGTATTGCACTGTTTTTCAAATGAAATCCAACCTATTCTCTTCTGGGACCAGTTCTTCTGGGCCCATGTGTTATGAATAACCAAGATCAAGATATTTATGGACTAACAGCATCCTGTCCAATAGTGTGTCATGATCTGGGCAATATTCATTCATCAGCTACTTGATTTATCCTGTGTGAATAACCAAGTTAATCTTGTTTGGCCATGACTCTCATTGAAGAGATCCATAGTATTCTGGGGTTTGATGTAGTCAGCACAATAGCCACAAGTAGGATCATGTGGAAAACCTCATTTTTTTAAAATAGAGAATCCCTCTTCTATGTAATCTCTGCACGGAATATCCTCTGAGACAGTGGAAAGCACATTTTGCAAGGGCATGTCTCTTTGTTTTATGCTTTGGTTAATAGAGATAGAGGATTATTGAAAAATTATTTCTGTGCTCCTATCTATCAAGAATTCTTAGCAAATACCTGACAGACATTTTGTTGGAAGAGAGCCTTAAAGGCTGTAGTACTGAAACAAATGTGTGGTTTTTTTAAATAAAAATAATAATCAACAAACAATAACCACAGCAGGATTTTATATTCATTTCTGTTAGTCAATTGGCTGACAATGATGTTGTGTTGTTCTGTGGGGAATTGTCTATAAAAGCCTACTCGTTTTCCAGGATTTTTCATCAAGGGTACCTTTGATATGTGCATAGACCATTATGAAGATTTTTTTTTTCAAAATAAGGAAGTAAACATATGAGTTAATAGTAAAGACACATCTTCTAAGTCATTCTTCTTTCATGTTAATACTATCCTTGATGTCATCTTTTGGAAATTTCTCCATTTTGAGATAACTTGAAAATTAATGCATGAATGCTTTTAAAATTGCATTGTCTCTAGCATAAATTTCTTTTCTATATATTTGTGTTCTCTCAATATTTCTTCTCTCTCTATATATATATATATTCTCTCTCTCTATATATATATTTTTCTATATATATTCACTGATATGAGTAAAGCAGTGCAAAGAAATTGGCAAATCTATTCCTTTTCACTTTCATTTGTTGAAGTGAAATGATTCAACTGATTTTAAAAATCAAAGTAATAAACTAAACTTAATAGTCAGATATTAATGTTGTATAAATAATCATGTCAGCCATTTTAAATTTGAGTATTTCTAATTTAAGGAAGATCTAATTTACGAGTTAAAATTTGCAATAATATAGGTTGATACAGTAGAATTTTCTCTATAACTTTTACTGAATTGTGTTCCCATACCTTTCTCAATAAGAGAGCCATGAACTCAGCCAAATCACTAAATATCATCATAGATTTTTGATAATGATAAAATACAGTTAATGAAAAATATGTCAAAGGGAAAAGTCAAATCTACTTGAAGAGGTTCGTTTAAAGATGCATTCAATCCTCTAAAACAGCAGATACGGCTTATCGAAAGCCACATATCTGAAAGATAAGAATCATTCTTTCTGTACATGTTTAGACATGTTTGTGGGTTTCAAATTTTTTGTGTGAGTGGGAGTCATACAAAAGATTATGACATTCAGGAAAATACGTTGATATAAAAGTGCAATGCAGAACAATTTTCACTGGAGTGTTTAGAGATAGTCATTAAACATATAATCCTTTTTCATTTTTATACTTGTGAATTTTTTTAAGCTTCAAGAGCATTTCATAATTAAATTCATTTAGAGAGCCCTACCCTAACAAAAAAAAAAAAAAAGAAAACATCTATTTACCAGGTGTAATTGGTGGTTTCTCTAGGCGTGGTGATGTTGTTTGGAAAAGATTAGTTTGCACTTCTATGGGAGCTGAAAGAAAACATCTATGTTGTTAAAATAAGCACGAGCATCATATTCTATATAAATAAGTGGGCATAATGCCATAAATAGGCATAATATGAGTAGCCAAAGTAATCCTTGCCAAGCTTGTTAAGAAGTCAGCTTTGTAAATAAGCTGTCTTAAGACAACAGGGCAGTGGACTCTCAGAATGGTAGGCTACAGAATGCTTCTCTGTCCTGAGCAGGGAAAGATCATGTCATGATCTGATGCAGAACTCTACAGACAGAACCAAGAGAAAAATAGAAACAAGAATGAAAAGAAAAACAACACTAAAGGTCATTGGAATGAAGATTAATGTAATGATCAATCTTGAGTCCAGAGGCCTGATGATGAAACATGCCTCCCTCTTTTTGCTAGGAGAATCATGCGCGTGGAATGAAGGTGAATGCTGTCAGACCCGTTCAGTGGGTCTGGTTGGTTTGTTTAACTATTTCAATGTTACAAGTTATTGGGAAGTGACGGTGATGCTAAAAACAATAAAATATTTTTTAAAGGAAGGAAATAGGAAGGAGAAAGGGGGAAGATGGGAAAAGGAGACAGAAAGAAGGGTTAAAAACTTCTCCCCACCCTAAACTAATCCAATTGCTACAAATCAAGGCCTGTCTTCTCCATGATTTTCCAGACCACAACGAATTTTTCCTTTTCTAATCACTCATACATTTTCACCTTTTAAATTTTGTATTCTGTTTATTTGTCTATGTGTCTTTTCATCCTTCCTGCATTACAAGTTTCTCAAGCAAAGAACTACATTTAACCTTGCTGTGTATCCCTCTGAATACTTTGTACATGAGCAGGGCTTATTAAATATTTGTTAAATAAATGAATGAGTATTAACTAGGCACCTAGAACTTGAGTTTAAAGCAAACAATCCACAACCTTGCATGTGGACATATATTACTTTATATTATCGTTTCATGTGTGCAAACCTGATTTCCCTAAATAGACTATAAATTCCCTAAAACCAGAGAATAAGTTTACTACTCCTTTTGTAACCCCCAATAGTTTTTCATGGTTTCAAGAATAATGACAGATAATGAAGAAATGCTTTTTGGATTTAAATGAGCCTTTTGGCTACGTACTTTTGATACTTTGTCATAGAAATAATTTTACAATATGCAAAGAGAAGATTATCACTTAATTTCTCACAGTCACTGAGAATGATTTCAAAACAACAACAACAACAACAACAACAACAGAAATCTAAATAGGGCAGAAAGCATAGACAATTCAGCTAAGACATAAGACCCTGTCTAACCCCAATGCAGATTGGTCTGATTTAATCTTGTGGTTTGGGATTGACTGGGACCCTATTTTTCACCTGAAGTAGCTGTCAACCATGCTGTGTGTCACCAATTCTCTTAAGAAGTATAGTATTAGTGAGAACTGCCTCATATGCTCCTCATCAGCTATTTGCTATTTGCCTTAAAGCTGTGAACTGCTACTCCCTCTACTCCAATACCAAATGACACATTTACCAGGTTTGGTTTGAGGTGCTTCAGGACGTGGTGTAGTAGTTTGGGGTAGATGTGAGCCTGGGCGTGGACGAGGACGCCGTGTCATTGTAGGCACTTTGGGTGCTAGAGAAAGAAAATGCTTAGTTATTTAAGTTATGGTGGCCCTAGAAACTGTGGATAAGATTAGATATATGCCTGCATTTCCCAGTGCTCATTAGATAACATAAAATTCATGCAGTTCTTAAGAAGATGGAGAGTGAGAGGCCTAAAGGGACTTCAAGGAATCTCATAGTAGTAGAATAAAAAAAGCTTATTGGTCTAAATATGTACCAGAGACAGATACACCCCTAATCTTGTCTGGAATTCACCTTCCAAAGAGAATACTGTATAAATAAAAACACAAGACAGGAGAAAGACATGGAGCACTTTTAAGCCTAGAGATGAGTTAGATAGATTGCCTGAAAATACATATTATCTCAGCTCCATTAAAAACAACACTAATGGCAGCAGGTGACTTATCTTAAGAGACTTCAACATCCTTAAGATGAGTTAATATAGCTGAATGGTAACACATACAATTGCATGGCAGCTTCATAAAATCAGTGAACCTATGATGATGATGATGATGATGATGATGGATATGGGTCTGACAATGAATGAGTAGGAAAAGCACATATAATTTTATTCGACGAAGGACATCAATTACCTAATGTTGTTACTGGAGTCACAGTTCTAAGGGTGGCAGGTTCTAAAGCTGTAGTAGGAACTGATATAAATAGATAAATTAATTTTTTCAAAAAACTGAAATAGAGACATCTAAAAGCTTACAAAAGGCCAGACATTTCACTTGAATATCAATCTTACTAGAATGTAATGCTGATCCTCAAGGTACTAAAGAATTGTGCCTTTTTTTATACTTCTGAGCTGAGTAAAAGCAAACATCTGGTTTCTGAAGATACGAATAAACTGTGGCTAGGTACCAATTCATCTCATAAAAGAACCACATCCCCTGGATTGTACTAAGCATCCCTATAAGGTCAGCTAGAACTTTTCCCAGATTTCTAGTGATCTGATGCCAGCTGACATGGACAACTTATGAAAAAAAACCCTTTGGATCTTCACCCATTAAATACTCTGGGAGAGAAAATGATATATAAGCAAAGATCATTAAAGTTTCTGATTGGTACTTTAGTCTCTGAAGGATTTTATTCCATTAATTTTCCTGTGGGGATAGGGCACTCTGCCCACTAACTACTGGAGTGATCATTGAACATATCAGGGATGAAGGCAAATGTGTGCTTTTCTTTTATAAATAACCTGGCCCAGTTTCTCATTCACCCTTTTACATTATGTTGCCAGCCTGATAATTTGTAGAGGTTTCCTGAAACATTGAGAAATGGCATTTGAGGAGGAGGAGAAGAGAATAGAAATGGTTCTCCTTCATCAATTATGAATACGGTTCCCTAATCTATGTGAAGGAGAAAGGAGGAAAAAAAAAAGAGGTAAGGAGAATGGGTGAGGAAGGGGAAGCAGAGAGGAAGAGGCTGGGGTATAGTATGTTTGCTACTCCTATAGAAATGCCATTAAGGCTTAAGAAATAGCCAGCTTTTATGACTGTTTCCCGTTCCCTTCCTGTAGGAAGTTCAGAAAATGCATCAAGTATCCAGAAACCTAATCAAATGGACTTGTTACAAATGTCAGCCATCTAAAGCAAAAGATTCAACTTTGCTCAAAACACCAAAGACAACTTTTTACCAGATTTGGTCTGTGGTTTCTCTGGTTTCACTGTAGTTTTAAGTCTAGGATGCTTTTGATGAGGAGGCTTTGTTTTCATTTGAGCTGAAGACAGAAAGTAGTTGGATTATTTCACTAGTCAAAGTTAATGCTGTGACTAAAATTACACAGAAACCTTTACTATATAGGAATTGATCATAGCTTTAAAAAGACATGTGTAGGAGGTCATATCTTTTTTTTAGGTTTAATTTCCTTATTCCACTTATAGGTTGTTTTTTGTTTGTTTGTTTGCTTTTGGCAAGGCAATTAGGGTTAAGTGATTTGCCCAGGGCCGCACAGCTAGTAAATGTCAAGTGTCTTGTCTGAGATCCGATTTGAACTCAGGTCCTACTGACTGCCGGGCTGGTGCTCTATCCACTGCACCACCTAACTGCCTCTCCGGTTATGTTTTAAAAAAATCTCCAGACTACTTCTGGGTAAGGAAAAAGAAAGAAGAAATGAAGGTTTGTTTTTTTTTTTATTGCTTTATCCTTTTGACATATGGTAGATAACTTTTTTTTTGCACGGGGGAGAAGGTAGCTGTTTTTGATTTTTCTATTTGATTTGAATAATATCAAGATAGTGATCAAAGAATGAAATAGAAATTTTAATTTAAAACTCTGAGATTTCAGATTTAGGTAATTTCCAATCATCTTCTCAAGAATAAATAGCTATAATGCTTAGCTTTTTGCATAAGCTGCACTTAGGTTGAAAATCAGGGGAAGAAACTTGACCAAGAGCCAGGAAAATATGTAAAACAAGTAGGGAAATAAAGTTAAAAGGAATTAGCACACAGCCAACCTTTATAATAAAAGTTTTTGGTTAATTTTCCATTTGAATAATAACTGGGCAGAACACAAAAGACCTCGTTTTCAAGCCCCATGTTGGAAGCATAAAATTGAACTCAACAGTGAAAGCAAGGTAGATAAAACAAGTGAACAGAGGTAGCTAAGGCACAGAGTCGCAGTGGATAGAACACTCAATTTGCTGTTGGGAAGATCTATGTTCAAATCCTGCTTCACACACTTACTAAACATATGACCCTGGGCAAGTCACTTAACCCGTTTGCCTCAGTTTCCTCATTTGCAAAATGGAGATAATAGCCTCTACCTCCCAGAGTTGTTGTGAGGATCAAATACAATAATATTTGTAAAGTGCTTAAAACTCTGTCTAAATGCTAGCTATTATTATTGGAAGGAATTTATGTTTATTCAAGGAAAAGAAACAAAGCATCACCATTTTGAAAAAGGGATCAATTGGCCAGCTTTGTTTGGAACTCAGTTTTAGGAGGCATTTATTTTGGTCCCAGACAGATATACTTTTGATGACTTGATCTGATAGCTAGTTTTAGCTATGTGCCAGGGAATGAAGATGGCTTCCATGTGTGATTGCAGCAGGCTCTTTTTAAATGACAGGTATATTAAATCTTCTTCTCCAATAGCCATTTTAAAACGCCTCTTGGATAAGATGAAATTTTATGGGAACAAACAAAATAATGCATGGCAATCTCCCAGAAAAAAAGGTCTCCTATCAGAGATGCAGGAATGAGTAGAAGAAGCATATGAAACCAACTGGTAAGAGGTTGCAACATACAATTACCTAATGTTGTTGTTGGAGAATGAGTTATAACTGTCCCTGGTCCTGGGGCTGCAATAGCAACAGATAGATACAGATGGTTTTTCACAATGTAAAGTAGTTCAATTTTCCATTGAGTTGCTTTTACTTTATATTTGAACTCTCAGTGGAGGTCATTGGAGTGCTTTCGAATGAACACTCAATTCAGTGGCAAAGTGAATGCAATTCATCAAAATTACACCCTTCAGTTTTTGACGAACAATTTCCAGACATAGTTCCCATTCATCACAAAGATAAAGCCAACCAAAATGTAAAAAAAAAACCCAGACAGACAGACAATGAGGATGCTAAGATGAAGAAAATTCATGATGTGAATAGCGCAAATGACGCACGATTGTCCTAAGTTACTTTCCATATAAGAGTTCCAAACTTTGACTTATCCAAGCAGATAATGATGATGTTAAGACAAAGGTATATGATATAGCAGGATAATAGAGAAAAATTTCTAGTCATATCATAGAACTTTACTGAATAGTCTTCCTTTAATTATTAGTTATCATTACCAGAAAATATTCCTGAGGATGATGCAAAGGCAACATGGGGGATGGACCCCACCTATGAATGATGACTGCAGAGATGAAAAGGAAAAGCTGTGATAGATACTAATTCATGTTTTACCTATTATTGTTACCATGGCATCAGTTTTGAATGTTGCAGATTCCACGACTTCCCAAGAAAGAAGGAAAATACAAAAGGAAACCAAAAACACCCACATGAGTAACATAAAACACTGGAAAATTGCCCTAAGTCTAAAATCTTCCTTAGTATGGTTAAAGAGCATCTAACTTGTGTTTAATGTAAAATAGGTCAAATGATCCTTTTTATTTAAACCTGAGAAGCTAAGTTAAAAACTGGGTTCCAACGTAGAATTCAGGAACCTTCCTTCTTTTTCAAATATGTTCACTTGATTTGTCTGTCCTAAAATAAGACCTACTTTAAATAGTTAAAAATGATGAAACAAACATATTTGCGACACATTTTATCAAACTAGATAACATTTTCAGGTACAGTTTGCTTTTCTGATAATCTTTGGAACTGGGAAGTTTCATCTTTTCTTAAAGCTGAGGGATTGTTTTCAGCTGGTTTCCCTTCATTAATATACTTTCCTTTTCTGAGATCGATTGATCTATATCTAGGTCGATCAATCAGTCTCAGAAAAGGCATATATAGATGTGTGTACACAGTCACACACTAAACTATTTGAAATTTGAATGGTAAGACCGAGGGGAAATGAACCATATCTCAGGTCATGAGAGTAGCAAGTATGCAGCCTAGTAATGGGTGGGTATGAATGGAAGTTCCCTCATAATAGTAGCAAAAATTGATGGTTAGATCAAAGGAACAAAAGAGTGAACACTCTTCCTATGCTTTTTATCTTACCACCTTCCCTATGGAAGTGCATGGGAAGGGAGAAGGAGAAGTCATATATCGGGTATTCTGGATGCTGGTCCTTATCTATTTTTTTTTTTTTTGGTTGGGCAATGGGGGTTAAGTGACTTGCTCAGGGTCACACAGCTAGTAAGTGTTATGTGTCTGAGGCCAGATTTGAACTCAGGTCCTCCTGAATCCAGGGCCGGTGTCTATCCGCTATGCCACCTAGCTGCCCCCCTTATCTATTTTTTTAAAAATAGGACTTGTGTTTCATTGCTATAGGGAATTCCTGATGAGGATTCTCTCTTCAAACATGCAGACTAGCACCTGCTCTGCAACTTAAGAGCTTAAGTGACTTGTAGAGGTTCATAGAGACAGAATGTGTTAGAGGCAGGATTTGAACCCAGGACCACTTCTCCCCTAGTTCTATAATGACATTCCCTAATTTGTAACTTACAGGTTATAACTCATACTCTGAACTCTGCTAAATAATAAAGAACACATTTACCAGGTTTGATCTCTGGCACATCTGGACTTAGTGTGGTTTTAAGTTGGGGACCTGCATGTGGCGGTGATTTGTCCAACTGGGAAGCTAAAGAAAGAAGGCATCTACATTATTATGGTGAACAAGGATGAAAATAGCATATTGTTTTTTGACTGTTTCAGGTGCATATATCTTACCTTCCTACCTCAATTAAAAGCTCCTGGAGGTTATAGTTAATGTCATATATTTCTTTGCATTGCCTACTACTAACCACACAGTATACATTTAATAAATATCTATTGAATGTTGATTAATGACTGCTAAGGTTGAATGCCAAATTTCACTAATATTGGGGGTTATTTTTAGATGCATAAGACATTTTGGAAAGTTATTAAACTGAAACATTTTTAGTTTCTCAAAATATGATTGATATTAGAATTTTTAAGTTCCAAGATCAAGTATATATTAAAAGATTATAAACAATTCTAAAGTAACAATGTTATATAAACAATAATTGATTCATTTCTAGGAGACTTCTTCAAATAAGAAACCTAGATCTTCAAGGGAAAAAAGCCTGAAGATTCATAAGTTATTTTCAGATCATGTAAAATAAGGAACTGCCATCTTATGAAGTCATATAACCATCTCATGATCTAAAATTATGTAATTTTTGGTGGAAATTAACAACTGGATCAATGAACAACTGGACCAAAGTGACTTATATTTCAGTTGTGTCTGTCCTGTCTTTCTTAAGAACTAGAAAATTAAACCTAAGATAATTAAAATACAATTTTGATGCCAAAAGCCTTTCTAGTATTTATATAATAAGTAACTCAGTACTCATTGTGAGAGGCACAGAGCATGATATCTGGAGCCTGGAAAATTTATTGAACATTTTTTTGATAAGCCAAAATTTATTGTGAAAGAGATGAAGGGGAATCAAAGAAATCTCTGTGACAAAAAATACATTCATGGCTTATTTCTGATGAAAAATTCCAAAGGAAGAAAATCTCATCAATGTCTCATACTCACTCTTGGAAGAAATTTTGCTGACAGATGCACAGACACAGTTGGAAAGCAGAAGAGAACAAAAGGAGAGGCACGAAACAGTGGAGAGAGACATATACCAACGGTACTTAGCCACAGAAATTACCAGGTACATTTGATCACTTGGGAACCTTACTCAGTATTTCTATAAGCAGATTTAAGATGACATCCTTAAATAAATGTACTTATCACTCCACTCATTCATTGATAACACATATACATGTATGTATAAATTATGTATATGCATTGATACATTAATAAAACTAAGTGCTCAATAAGTTTGATACAAAAAAATCTTGATATTCTTCACATCCTAAGATTCTAGAAACTGAAAATCACCAAAAGCATTCCTACAGCTAAAGGAAAATACAGAGGTGTGCAGTACATAGAAAATGGTGCCAGGGTGAACAAATTGATGAAGTGCCTTTAGTAGAGGGTAGGAAATACACAACTTCGGGTGATGAATAAAAGATGGCAGGAGGGAAGAGGAAAGAGAATCGAGGACACCAACCACAAAAATCAAAAGGGGCAGTCAAAAGAACCATCAACTAAAGGGATCCAAATCTATTATTACCCAGAGTTGTCACCGATGCCTCTGTACTGTGTGTAACAGGTTCATATGCTGTATCATAAACAAAAACATGAAAATAAACTGACATATATAATTAAAACCAGAAAGTGATGCTCTAATTGGGGTTCTAAATAACGATAGCTTATATTGTATAACCCTTTTTGGTTTACAGAGCATCTTACAAACCTTATTTCATTTGAACCAACTGGTACTTAAATCAGAGTAAAATGAAGATTTATTTATTTTTAAATAAATTTATTCTAAATTTAAAAATTATTTTAAATCAAAATTAAATTAGAATGTATTCTAAATCTTCTAGGTAATGGATGAGCCAAAAACTAGTTCTATAGGACCTCAAGAACTTCCTTGAAAAGCTAGTTTATTACAGGTATATTATTACAAGACTACACACAGCAAATTAGAATCCTATTCATCTTTTCCTTTTTATCAGGAAGTTTCCTGATACACCTATTTATTACAAGACTCCATTCAGAGCAAATTAGAATCTTATTTGTCTTGTGCTGAATAAAAATTCTTTCAAAATCTGTTGAACTTTAAGCCTGATTCATAAATAGCAACTACTATTAAAATGACTTATTTAGAATATCAGAAGGGGTTTTCATCACTTTTGTTTTTTTATTTTGTTTTTGGTGAGGCAATAGGGGTTAAGTGACTTGCCCTGGGTCATACAGCTAGTAAGTGCCAAGTGTTTGAGGCCGGATTTGAACTCAGGGCCTCCTGATTCCAAGGCTGGAGCTCTATCCGCTGCACCGCCTAGCTGCCCCTGATTTTCATCACTTTTAAGGAAGGTAAAAACATGTCTATTTACTTTTCTTCCCTCCCCCCTACTATGCCTACAAATACATTATGTAAGCTATTGTGGACATTAAATAACAAATAGTAATGAACATTAATAGTCACTTTCAGAAAAATGTGAAGTCCAGATTTCATAAAAACCAAAGAGATTCTTTGATAGGGGTTCACATTGTGAAAAGATATGCACATGCTTAGGACAATAACCTACCAATATTTTCCCTAAAGGCTGTGCTTTCTAAGGTAGCATAATATTGAAAGTAGGCATTCCAGAGTGTTTAAAAGTTACTTACCATTTTTCACACATATTTGATCACTTAACATTTGTCAAACCAATATGGGAACTTTAAGCAGATATTGAACAAAATCATAGCAACTAGGTGAGTGCACACATTTACCATTCAAATTAGAAACACCTAGGCAGAAATCAAGATTTCTTGAACAAAAGTGTTGGAAATGAAGTTTACCAGATACGGTGTGTGCTGTAGATGTACGTGGTGTGGTTTTAGCCTTACGACCTTTAGGTTTGGACCCGCGTGGTTTGGAAGCTAAAGGAAAAATAGCGCTGAAGTTAGTGTAATAATCACAGATTGGAATTTTAAAACTAAACTTATTTATAATTCTCTTTCTTACTTCTAGATTAAGGCATGGAAAAACATGTTAATCAGATCTGATCTCTGGCACATCTGGACTAGGTGTGGTCTTTGCTTATTTTGATGGTTTTGACACTAAAACAAGAAAAGTTCTAGGATACAAGTGAGAAAATTCAAATTAAAGCTACATTAAAACACTACTTCATGACACACACCAAAGGAAAAATATTCTATAAATCTGATGAAAATATTGATATAAATACATAAAAGAGATGGACTTAACTAATTTTTGACCTAGTGATAACATTTTTTTTGGGGGGGGCAAGGCAATTGGGGTTAAGAGACTTGCCCAGAGTCACACATCTAGTAAATGTCAACTGGTCTGAGATTTGAACTCAGGTCCTCCTGACTCCAGGGCTGGTGCTCTATCCACTGTGCCACCTAGCTGCCCCTAGTAATACATTTTAAGTGAATATTTTAGTTTTTAGCTTCTACCTGAAGGTAAATCTTTTAAGAATATTCTAAAATAAAGTTGGATACAGAAACAAAGACATGAAATGATTTTTATCCATAAATAACCCAAAGAACATCAAAGTATGCAAGTTCAGGTTTTCTTGCTCATTTTTTAATATGATCATAAAAACACTGAAAAATCAGGGTGAAAAATTCACTAATTAGGTCTTCTAGAATAAATAACTGAAAACACTTGTTATTACATATGTCTGGCTACTCAGTTATGATTTTTTGCAGTTTTCCAAAGTAGGGTTATGGCACATCTCCTTGCAGATGCTGGGAAATAATAAAAGAATAACTACTAACGTGGCATCAATATCATTCCCCCCTTCCCCTGCTGTTTTGGAGCTTTTCTAATCTCATGTTATTAAGTCTAGGGTAATCTTTTTATTTGACTTATTATTGAGGATCAAGATTTATGAAAATAGAGGAATGCCATTCCTCAGAAAAACATGGATGAAAAACATAGAGTTTCATGCAGGTAAAGGGAGGAAGTCAGGGAGTAAAGCAACTCACTGGAGTCCATAGTGCCGCAATAAAAATCATTTGTCATTTTTTTTTCTTGCAGAAACCCTGACCTTGCCTGAAATTTAGCATTAAAAAGGCTTTGTCAAAGCTACAGTGCATATGATGGTAGGATGATATGTTAGTGATGATAATAAATTCATAGCTTCTTTGGATTTATCATAATATGATTCTTCTTTGAAGATAGTTATTTTCAGATGAAGATAAGAAAACCTCTAAGGGAAACATGAAATGATATGGTGAGAGAAGATGCTGCTGGACAAATACACAGAGTAGCAACAGCCCATGTGTTTGCCTGAAGGGATGAAGAGGAAAAAGGGAATGTGGCCATCCATTGAATCAGTACCAGGAGAGCAGAATTACCTATTGTAGTCTTTGTTGTTTCAGTTGTTAGTATAACTGGTTCCAGGGCTGTATCACAGGAACAAACCAAAAAACAAAACAAAACAAAACAAAAACAACAATACTGAGGAGGAAGGAATTATAGGAAGGCTATTTTCTTTAAAATTAACCATGTGTTTGTACACAAATAATCGATATCTCTCTTTTATTCAAAGTAACTTTTTTTCTACTATAAGAACTTTCCTCATGACCTTCAGGAAAGAGAGAAGCTCTGAACATCAAGTTCAATACTCACAAGCAAGAGGGGAAGTGGGGATAGAGGGCAATGCTCTTCTCTTTTCCAAGTATACAATTCTACCTTTTGCACAATTTTCCTCTCTTATTTACTTGTTAACAGGTTTGCCTCAAATTTGTTAGATGGCCTGCACCTATATAATGAGTATTTGTCTTCGATAAGAGATATTAAAAAATACCTTATGTATATTCTGGGAATACTGTCATTGGTTATCACTACGAGTGCTTAATCAGTGCAAAGAACAGTCATAATTGTGAGTGCATTGAATCTGATGCCTAAACCATTGGGTCACACTCTCTTCAACATGACAATCATTCTGCTAAAATAACAACAACACATTTACCAGGTTTGGTGGGGGGTGCTTTGGGACTAGATGTGGTTTTAGGACGCCGCCGACCCGGCCGTTTTGATTTTGGTGGAGCTGAAGGAAAAAAAACAATGCCTGATTATTGAAACTACCATAACTATGGAAACTTGCCAACGGGACCTCCATCTTTGAGGAATACTTGAGTTTTCCTTCTACTTATTGTGGAAGCATCTCAACTTGTATGGTTGCTTTGATGAGTTAGAAAAGAGCGCTTGAGGCAGATGGAGCGAGAAGGACGTGATGCAGGACGTGACCAGCCAGAAAAACGATCAAAGAAGACTGTTCATTGAAGCTCCCCGCTGTGGACTCATCTGTGCGCTTTCACAAAGCACCCCCAATTCTAGAACAACTCTTCCTCTCCTCTTTCCTGTTCTCTTTGCTTATCACCTCTGGACTACCTGAGATATTCCAGGCATTTTGGAGCCACGCTTACTTCTCCCATTCTCTTGTCCTCCTCCCCCTATTCCATAAAATTGTATTTAAACCATACCTTTAACCTGGCTAACTGCCTTTGCCTCCTACAGGAAGTAGGGGTTGCTCTTCTCCCTTAGGGGAGCAGGGCCTATGGCCTATGCTCCACCTTTCCACGTGGAGTAGAGCCCACTGCGGCTCTGCCTCACGCCCACTTGGGTGCATCACCCCAATAAATGCCTTTCTTTAACTTGGAGACTCTCCATGCGAATTCTTTCAGGACACTAGGACCCACATGTCTATTCCTCATCATTTCAGGTAGCACCTCAACATTCTTGGGGTCTACCCTGCACTCATCATTAATGGCTACAGAGAAGGTCTAAGTGAATTTTTTCACACTTGAACCATTCTCCCAAACCTGACCTCAACAGCTTTTTATCACTAGATTTCCAATGAAATAGGATCTTTCGAGATGGGTGATTGATTTTTCTCACAGGAAAAAAAGAAAGACCAGTGATTTTTTAAAATCATTAAATGAAAAACAAAAATGAGCATAGATGAAATAGAAGCAAGAAGAATTTCAAAGTGGTATGTTTAAAGGTACACAAGAAAGGTTATATGAAACTTTTAGGAATAAAAGTTCATGTTCCGTTTGGAACTCAGTTTTGGGGGGAGAAACCTTTTTAAATTTGTTTTGCTTTTTAAACTTTAAACCACAAGTACACTGACATATAACTTCAAACTTCATTTGAACACAGTTAATTTTTTATTACTTGAAATGCTGATTCAACCAACTTTAAAAAGAAAGGAAAAAATCAGAGTTTTCTCTGGCAATGAGATAGAAGCAATGATGAATTAATGTTAAAGGCATTAATGACTCATCGGGACAACTGAGAGATAATGTTCTGCAGAAGATAGGTTAGAACAATGGATTGAAAAGATGAGATGGATTTTAACAATGATGGTTGTGAGTGGATTGTAAGATATTATAAACAAAAAAGAATATTAAAGAAAGTCAACAGAGAAATTCACGACGAGGAGAAAAAAGGTGGGCCAATCCCAGTGCAAGATGGACAACCAATGAGAGAGATGGACGACGGACAGAGTATTAGATTTGGAATAAGAGTACTTGGGCTCTAATCTCTATGTGAAACACTCTGAGAAAATTACAGTTTCCTGTTTGAAACTGTAATTTTCTCAGAGTGTTAGATTAAACGGTTTTAAAGATCTTTTCCAGGTTAAAATCTATGAGCCTATGAGACTATGGACAGCCTTCATGCTCCACTGGCATCTTGTCAAGAAAATGTGCAAGCAGCATCAACAAGCACTTTGAGTAGAGCCCCTGTGGGTAACTTATGGGCGACCATTGATAAGTGCTGCATAGGATGGACAGGCATCAATTAATTATGTCAAATTCGTGGCTGAAGGAATATTACCACAGGAGAAATCACAATACATTTGTGTATTGGAGAAAATATACAGTTTTCCCTTCATGTTTTTCATTTTAAAAATCAATCACACAATTAGAGGAGGCAGCTAACGAGGTAGTTAGTGTACAGAAGATCTGGCACTATTGTTAAACTGCAAGCTTAATGAGTCAATAATGTAATGAGTACTGAAAATTTTATTGAGTTCTTAGGAGTATAGTGTTCATATAAAAAAGAGGAAACAGTTACATTGTACTCTCTTCTCTGGCCAGACCTCATCTGGAGGACTATATGCAGTGGGGAGTGGCATGTTTTAATGAAGTATTGATAAATGTTACTTAGATAAGGGACTATCAGGAGGTAAAGAACCTGGAAGTCATGTTATAAGAGAAATTGGTGAAACAATTGGGTATGTTTGGCCCAAAGAAAAAGTGTGGATATAATAAATATCTTTAAAAATGTTCTGTGAAGGGGGCAGCTAGGTGGCGCAGTGGATAGAGCACCGGCCCTGAAGTCAGGAAGACCTGAGTTCAAATCCAGCCTCCGACCAAACACTTGACACTCACTAGCTGTGTGACCTTGGGCAAGTCACTTAACCTCAATTGCTTAAAAATTAAAAAAAAACCAAAACAAAACAAAAAAAAAACAAAACAAAAATGTTCTGTGAAATATTATTCTGAATTACTGCAATGGGCACAACCATATTGAATGGATGGAAATTTTAGGGAGTGTAAGGAAGCACTTTCTAACAACTTGATGTGCCTATAAATAGAACTGCTTCACAAATCAGTGAGCTTGCCATCACAAAACATGTGGTAATAGACCATCTGAGAGGGATTCCTGCTTTGGGTAGATGACTGAACTAGATTACCTCAAAGATTCCTTCCAAACCTAAGGTTCTATATTCCTCGAGGTCTGGGAGTGCTTTGTTTTTGTATTTATATTCCCAGTGTTCATCTTCCCAAAAGAACAGGGGAGAAGATAGGCCGCTCATGTAGCAGCTCTCTCTCTATAGGAATTTCACTTTCCATCTTAATTTCACTTAATTTCATCTCCAACCATGCTATAAATCAACTTCCTAAACATAAATGAAACATAATAGCTATGCATTAAAACCAGTAATATCAGATCATCTCCATAGGTTTACACGGACACCGAGGTATTTTCTGTCTTGGTGACCCATATTTTAGAAATATTAATTTTCTCATTTTCCTTTCATGAGACAATAAACAACCTGACAGAGTAATGGGAAGCTTCAAGAATGAAGACAAAGAAGATTCAAAGATGAATGGCACGCATGTATTTCAGGGAAACCATGGCACTCTGCTGGAGATAATACCTAGATTAGAGCACTAAGCAAAGGACTTAAATTCATCCTAATTCTGCCCTCATGTAAAAGCAAAGGCAATGAATGTTTTACTAAAGCAAAAGCACATTTTAAGGTAGAATGAGAGCAAGGTCTGGATGGGCTTCTATGACCTCACAGAAGATGTTGGAAGGAGAGGAGGAAGGAGGGTCTGGAGAACAGATTTGACAAACTTAGAAACATACTGATAATTAATGGGTATGGACTTGAACATGAAGGGAAATGAGGAGGGATATTTTTCTATCCTAACAAAACAGGCTCTGAAAGAAACAGAAAATGTAACCACTCACTAAAGGAAATTCCATTACCTATTGTCGTCGGAGACAGTGGTGAAGGTGGTGCTGGTGAAGTTTCAATACTAACAGACTCCTGGGCTATAACAAAAATAAGCAAAACCAAGGAAGATGTTGAACAGCATAATCCAAGTAGGAAATGAGATTTCCTGTTAAATTAAGAGTGTTACTTCACTGATGAATACTGAGCACAACTCTCAGTAGAGTGAATCACTGGTTATTCTACACATTCTCAGAAAACCACAAGGAAAGTAAGAAGAATGATTTTTTTGTTCTTTGACACCCATTCACATTCTGACAACCATTCGTATCCCCTACTGCTCTGGAGATGCACTACTCATATAAATGGAGAGTACAGTGTCACCACTTTGAGCTGAGAGAAACTGGACTAAAAAAAAATGTTGTCACTTTTTACTTAATTTTTATCTTTCCATTGGATGGTGGAGGTCCATCCAAGAGAGCAAGATCAGACCTTAGATAACTAATCAATTTCTTGCTCTGTTTTGATTTTATTACTTTCAATGAATTACTTTTTTATTTCAAAGATTCCTCTGTGAATGATAGAGTTTATGGCCAGAGAATAGACTATATTTCCTGGCTTGGGCACATTTAATTGTGAAAATAATTTTCTACTAAAAAAAAAACCCATGAATTTCTTAATATTTTGAGAAAATGATCATTCCTTAGGGAAGCATCAATAAAGACAAAATATTCATTTGGTGAATGTTTTCCTTATAACCTATTACTTCTTTTTATAACCTATTACTCTTAACTTTTCTGATTAGGTCACATATGAGCTGTATCGGTCAATAACTGAATGACTTCCTAATATGAATTTATAAGAAATTCCCGTCATCAAAGTTATGTTTTCAGTTATGATTGTTTTGGGTATTCCGTCAGGGGGTTTTCTGCCTGTCTCTGAAAAGCCAAAAGTAACTTCTACTTCCAAAATGTGTAACCAGATGGTTTTTTTGTGGATGGCTACTTGTCATAAAATGCAAGCCTAGGACAATATTAATGGAATATATTATAACATGGGGGTAGGGACAAACTGTTCAGTTGGCACCAATTTCAGAAAAGAAAAATCTTATTCCACTAAGGTCAACTCAACAACTTTTTGGGTTTATTGTACTTCTTAAACATTCCTAAAAGTTTCTTGCTACTTTATAAAACATCAATACCTGAAGATATTTTCTCTTTCTGGTATGCTTTACAGGAAATTTAATCGATACAATTTTAATATTTTCATAATGGACTTTTTCAGTTTTGTTGCAAAATCTTTTGACATAATTTTTTTTCTTTTGGACATTTTAATAGTGCATTTGTCCAAACTAGAAAATTAGTAAGTTACCCAGAAAAATAAAATATGGTTACAAATATAATTCATTGCAGTACACACTCTTGAATTTGCATTATGTAATATGCTCAAGTTAGATATCACTCTAATGAAGGGAAGTTTCTTCTCTGGGAAAAAAAGAAACATTCTGATGTATACCATTAGCCATCCTTGCTGGTCTTATCTCATTTTTACCACTTTCACCCCCTATCCATGCATTTCTGATGTTAAATTTACCAGGAGTTAGTTGTGATACTTCTGGGCCTGGGGGAGATGTTGGTTTGGGGGGACCAGGAAGTATCTCTTTAGGAGCTGCAAAAAAAGACAAAGAGAAGTTGTAGAATTTTCAATTCTTCTGACCTTACTGCACAATCCCAGATGTGATCTGAAGTCACAATACACATCTATGGAAAGATTATCTTTGCACAAGAACAAAAAAGGATGACTTTTAAGAGAAGAAAGAAATTTAAGCTGCCTGGGAAATGTCATTAATGAGCTTAGCTCATCACAAGGTAGGATTCTTGTATTTTTGCAACTTGGCAAGAAAGCAAGTAAGAAAGGGGTGAAGCCAGTGCAAAAAGAAAGATAAAGATTATCTAAACTGTACTGCAGAGCCCACACTCAGTGATCTTTTTAAATAGATGCTTATACAATCCTGAAAAGAAAAGAATGTGCCAGAGTTTTGGTAATGAATAGCACATACACTTTGAAGAAAGATGATTGGATTTCTCTTGTGACATGCATTGCAAGTATACATTGCAGGTAATATAGTATTTCAACTTGCAGAACCCAACATTTTAGCTTTAATGAGGAATAGGATAACAAAGAAAGCAGGTGATCTGCTAAATAAATACCACTATCCATTACTACTTAAAATGGAAGTATAATCAGCTTCTGAGAAGCATTCAAAACCAGAACAAGGTAAAAACAAGAGCCACAAAAAGGAAGGAAAATAGAGGATGTCTGCCATCCAAAATTTGCATTTCTTCAAAGTTGTTGCCCTGTCCCCCAATTTTTTTGTGCCTGAAGGAGACTGCTGATTTCACTGAGTTTTTAAAGGACCATAGGATGCATATTATATATTGTCCCCATAAATTTGACCAAATAATCTTCTACTACTTTTGAAATTACGTAGACATAAGCAAATTTGTAAGAAAGACTGACCAACTTAGTAGACATTATTATTGTTGCTAGTATTGCTTGGGCTGGACCTCCATTTCATCTGTAAAATGTAAATGGCTTTTAAGCTCCCTCTCAGGTCTGAGTCTATGCCCTGTGATATCATTAGGATAGCGAACTCTAGCACCTCTTCCTATTGACTCAGATCAGAATCGTTATAGTCTGAGAGAGTTGCAAGGGAAATGGGAGGCTTGATGACTTGAAGAGTCACAATAGATCTGTGTAAGATTCAGGACATGAGCCCAGGTCTTCCTAACTTGATCAATATAGCACACAGCTCTCATTGCGTGTTATACATGAGCAAAAGTCTGTTACTATGAAAACATGCATTATTATAAATCTCTATAAAACAATACAATGCTTATGTGCTCCAGTCTTAGAAACTCTACATAAAAATAATAATAATGATTGGCTTTCATGGATAATACTTACAAAATAATTTATTACTTAGGAATGCCTTTTAAATATTATTGAGGAAAGTCATTAATTTCTAGGACTGACTTAAAGTTAATTTCCATTAACATGCAGGAATGACATTCCTATTCTTTTTCCATGACTAAAAACAAGGTACTCAAAACATTTGTTGATAAATGTTAATGTTCAAATTGATTAAAACATGTAATCAATTCCATTTTTTAATTTGGCAGATGAGAACTTGACACTTGCACGAGAATGCAAAACTAAGACAATGGCAGATGGAATTCTTCTTTATTGGCCAATAAATAATTTGCAATACAATGTGACACTCCCAAATCATCCTATTTTTGAGACAATTGAATTTATTTTCTTATTGGCACCGTAGTGGAAGCAAGCCTTGAAAAGTTTCTTAGAGATGACTGCAAATAGGGTTTCAAGTGTGCTAATTCTGCCCTGGTATATATTTTAGACTTAGAATAAATAAAATGTACTTTCTTTGAGAAATGGGGAAAAAAAGAATTAATAAGCATCCTTTCTTTTTGTAGTCTTCAGGAATCAGACTGAAACTAGTACATTGTTAAGGCGTTCACTCAGTTAAAATGTGCCATGTGAACACATGGTACAGACCACTAATGGAAAGCTTGGCAGACGTGTCCAGCTTAACTCTCTTAGGCACAATCAGGACCCTAATCTAACTAAATGAAAGGTGTCTTTTTTTTTTTTTTTGTAAGGACAAGTGAAGACTATGTCCTTGGAAAATAAAAATAAGTCATGCTGTTTCTGTTATTATTTGGTATTATTTGGTATTTGGCTAAACAGTAATTCCCATTGCATTTGCTTCTGAAGACTTGAAATAATTTGAATTTAACTTGGATTAATTTAAATTTGAATTAATTATTTGAATTAATTAATTTGAATTAATTTTTGAGAGAAAGACCAAATGGGGACCAAAATTCTGCTTCAAAAATAATATAGTCTACAAAAGTTCATCAGAAGAAATGGGAAGTCAAACAAAATGAAAAATAAGCATAAAAAGAGGATAATTAGGAAAAACAAGGCAATCTAGTTAGACAACCTTCTTATTTTAATAACCTGTTTATAGTATAGAAGTTAACAAACCTATCTTCATTGTTTTCATTTGACTTTTTCTTTCTACTAGTACTCTCTTGAAGCACCATGGGTATAGTAGGTACAATGCTGGACTTGGAATCAGGAAGACTTGGGTTTGAATCCTGCCTCAGACACTTACTAAGTATGTGACTTTGGGCAAGTCATTTAATCTCTTTCAGTTTCAATTCCCTCATCTATAAAGTAAAGGGGTTCAGTTGTGACCCACAGTTTAAGAAGCACTAAAGGAGTCACTAGTGGAAAAAGTTTAAGAAACCCTGGGCCCTAGCTGACCTTTCAGGTCCCTTCTAACTATGATTCTATGATTTTCTTTTGATAAATGACTATTTCTTTTTTTGGGGGGGGCAATTGGGGTTAAGTGACTTGCCTAGGGTCACACAGCTAGTAAGTGTCAAGTGTTTGGTCTGAGACCTGATTTGAACTCAGATCCTCCTGTCCTCTGGGCCGGTGCTCTATCCACTGTGCCACCTAGCTGCCCCTAACTATTTCCTTTTAACATACTCTCAATCCTACTTCAATGAGAAAAAAAACTACCTAAAACAATTTTCTAAAAAGATTGATTCTTCAAAGGAATTATGAAAGGATAAAATTCAAATGGGGATAAATGGAATAAGTCAAGACTACAAATGATTAACTCTTTTACCAGAGACAGATAGCAATATAATCCAATTGTGGATTTGATGTTAATAACCATTTGTACTATTCACAATTCCTGAAACTGATAATAGACTAGGCTCTTAAAACTACTGTACATAAGATTTTTGCCAGTTGGTTTTTTTTTTGTCAGAATTAAAGGTTTTAAGAACTAATTATTCTTAGAACAGGTTAAGACCTGCATTTAAATTTAGAATTAAAATAATACTTTTACTACTGGTTAGATGAATTTGAGACCTGGTGGGTAGTTCATTTTGGCTTGGAGAAATACATGGTGTTCCCAAAATCTTCACGCCACCTTAAAATGGCACTAAGACTTCTGGGACATTCTGTATACTCAGTTTTACAGTGTTCTGACGACAAAAGTCTTAAATTATCATTGTTGCCATTCAAAAACTCCAGAAAAATCAGCACCTATGGAATGTCTGCAGTAGAGGAACAAGACAGTTCTGCTAACGTACTTCGAGAAAGAGTTTGATGACCTGCCTGCTAAAATTTAACGATATATCAAAAAATAAAGCAATCATTGGCAGAGATAATATTGTTACCCGGTTTTGCTGTTTGGCTCTCAAGTTCAAGAGAAGTTGGTTTGGACTTTGGTGTAGATTCTGAAGTGGTTGAGCTTTTCACTGTTGGGAAAGCAGGTATCATCTTTAGAGTATTAGCAGGCAGATATTAAAAGGATGTAGCCCCACTAACTTCTTCAAAACAAACTCCGCATTTGCTATAAATACTTAAAAATCCTGAGATGACAAGGGGATGATCTACTCTTATTTACAAGCACAAATTTCCTCATAGAAACGCATTTTTGGGATCCACAATAAAAAATAAATGGTGCTGACATCATATATGTACCATATCCAAAATTCAGGAAAAAAACATAATCTTTTCAAATTTCATCCTGTAATCACAGAAAAAATTACCTCAGAAAGACATTTCATTCAGGTTAACAACCTAGATAGTCACTGACATTCTGTGTTTTGGCTAATAACTGGTCCCTATTCACAACACTGTGCCAATGTGATTGTTACAACACAACACAATTTTAAAGCTCTCTAAGCATGAGTTTGAAAGAAATAAGCTTCTATCTCCCCTCTTCTCAATCACATTTCCTGTTAGGACTCTGATTCATTTGGTTAGGGATTTTCAGTGTTGTTGACTATGCCACCCAAAACTTAATCTTTTCTGAGTATTCCATTCCTTTTCACTGACTTGGAAACCTCACCCACTCTCATAAGAGATCATTCACCAGTCTGCTTCTGTCCTTTTGCCTAACCCCTCACTGCCAGTGGCCCAACACCTATATACTTGAAAGTCTTACTGCCACATCCAATTGAAAGTGGGGGAAATTAAAAATTTTGAACATTTGACAAACCTTTTTTTCCTTCTTTGGTGTCACTCTCAGTATGCCCAATTAAGTAAATTATATCAGTGGCCCTACTCATTCTATCTAATTGATATTCTTAATTTAAACTTCTAGTAAAGATACACTAATTAAAAATTAATTGAGCCCTGTAGTGGAAAATATAATCTGCCTAGAGCTAAGAACTTAAGCATTAGATCATATATTATAAGATTGGAAAAGTAAATGTAATATTATTAATCAATCAATCAAAAAGCATTTATTAAGCACCATCTGTGTGCCAGGAACTATGCTAGAAATAGATTGGCCCTAGATTCCTTCTATTCTACAAATACAAACATCTCAAAAGTTATCCTTGGAGACTGATTCATAGATACAATGTGACTTGATATTTAGTTGATAGAAAATTTTGCTCAACATGTTCCCTACGTTTTATGCAAGTGTTTAGATTGCCAGAATCAATAAATCATTCTTACCTAATAATCCTCACTTCTCTTATAAACCACAGTTTATCTCTTAATTAGATGATTATTTTTCTCATTCTTTATATCATCTTCAGATTCTAGCTGACTAGCATCAGACTGGAACTTTAAAAAGACTTCAACTAAGCAATAGAAAAAGATGATTTATTATTCTCTCCCTGAGAACAGGGAAGAACTAAAATAGAACGGGTTTCTAAGGTGATTAGAATTATTTTTTTACTTTCTAACCAAAAGTCTATCTGCATTATCTGATCAGAATGCTATTCATCTTTAATAATGGAATTCATTTTCTTTTCCCAGTCAATGAACTACCTAATTATCCAAGCCTTAATGATTTTTACAAATTTCTGATACTGTCATAGGTATATTGCTGAAAGAGAAATTTCCTGATGATAGCTGAAGAGTGTGGTTATGATGAGATCACTCTACTGCTTCATTTTGATTTCTATTAGAAAAAGAATCATTGCACCAAAATACTTGCTTTGAAAATTATTTTATAAGGAAAGCTCCAGCAATTTTCAAATTTGAAGTGTGATGCTTCTGGGTTAATACTTTGAGTTTTAAAGAAACAAACTGATTTTCTTGGTAATTGGAAAATAAAGTAAAGAGAATCAATTTAGAGAAGTTTTGGGCTTTAGGGACTTATATTAGGTAGGGAGAAAGAAAAAAAAGAGAAGTCTTCATTATGAAATCTGGAAATATTGCTCCTCTAAAATACTTTTTATGATAAAGTATATGCATCATAAAACAGTTTGACTGAAAAGTCAATACTAAGCTTTGATGTGGCTTTAAAAAATGAATTTTAAGAGTATGTTCAGCCTCTCCAAAAGAGAAAGCTATTAATCATAGTATCAACTGTAATAGTATTGCAGCAAAGCAGAGAAGGTACACTTGTCCAAAATGATACATGCAAACAACAATACAAATGATTTTCACATGTGGCTGATGAGATCTACCTGTACTTTAATGCCACACTGTATACTTTTCAACCTAGGAATTTATACCATAATCTCATGCACAAGGAAAATAATTTTAAAGCTATTACAAATGCCTGATAAAACAAATTACTGTGGAACGGAGGCATAATAAAATTCTAGCAAAATTCACATTAATTAGCCTACTGAAAATAAAGCTTTATGCTTTATATCTTCTTCAGATTCTTGGGTACCTTACTCATTCAAGAAACCAAAGTATACGTGATTTGATTTTACTTACGATACTTGAAACTGACATAACATCAGTCCCTTGTTCCACCTCAATATGTTTTTTGATCGATTCGTAGAATAATGTTTGTTTGCTTATTTCATTTCACTTAGATAATGGGCAAGTCATCTATAACTGTGGAATAGTGCTGGTTACACACATGAGCTATCCAGTGTTGTCCAAATGGAACATTTGGAGTGTCTAGTCATATTACATATAATACTGGATTTTCCCTGGGCGAAAAGTAGCTATTTACTAAGGAAATACCATTATTATTCAGGTTTGTCCATGTCATTTTAGGGCTTTTAGAAAGTTTAAGGGTAAAGGTTTCCATGCTTTTTTTCTTCTTCTGGCAACAGAAAGCAAGAAATATTTAGAGACCAGAGTGAGAATAAGAAGATATTCCAAAGAGGACCTGAACAACATTTTAAAACTCTCAACTATTTAACAAGCAATGTTGAAAAATTACCTAAGTGATAATAATTGTAAGAAAGGTATTTGAAAATCTGTTAAATAGTGGGGGTCATTTAAAGATAAATTTACACCAAGTTGGGCAAATAATAAATGCAACTGTATTTAGTTTAATCAGTAATAATGAACAATAATATTCTAGGTTAATAAACTTAAATATAAAATTTCTCTGTGTGCATATATATTCTTAGGAGAAATTTATCCTGGTTGGTGGTACCCCAGTAAAGATCACCTCTGCCTCCTGTCTTCCCTGGCTTTCTTCAAGTCTCAGTTAAAATGTCATCTTGTGAAAGAAACATTTCTCTGTCTTACTTAATGTTAGTAGAATATCTCCAATTTTTCCTGTATTTATCTTGTTTGTACATAGTTGTTTATATGTTGTGTCCCTCATTAGATTGTGAGCTCCTTGAAATCAGAAACTTTTTACCTTTCTCTGAATTCTCAGTGCTTAACACAGTTTCTGGCACATAGCAGGTGCTTAATAAGTGCTCATTGACTTGACCTACTGCTCTGAAAGAATCTAATCTTATATTAAACTTAAAGCATAAAATTGTGCAGTATAGGTACATGCCTAAGAAAATACAGTATATAGAAATCCAGACCTATGAAACAGACAAGGTAGGTGGCAGGACTTAAACCCATATTATCAAGACTTTGAGGCTGACTCTCTACCTTACTTTCCTGCTTCTTGCTGAGGAAAAGCTTAATTTAATGGGCACTTATAAAATATACACAGTAATAACCAACATCTACCTTTGCATCACATTGCATTATGTTATCATAGAATGTCATCTGTAGGTTTCTACCTTAATTTACATAAAATATCATCTACTACTACAATCAAATCAATAAAAGATTTGGATTTTCATTAGAGCTGCAACCCATCAGTTTTTCAACTTTAGGTACAGTAAACCATGCCACTTTCCATTTAATGAAAGGTTTAAGAAGATAATTTTGGAATTCAAAATGCTGGGTCATAAAAGTCTTAGTTACCACGTTTGGTTCCTGTTGGTCTGATCTTGGGGCGTTGTCGCTTAGGTGTAGAAGGAATGGATGTGGTTTGTGTGGAAGCTGAAAAAAGCAGATTCTATTTGATAATTTTTCATTAAATGATTTTTCTTCATCTGGCAATCATATTGCACCTAGCCCATAAATTCACAATGGCAAGGTCTATGTATATATCAGCAGGTCCTTTCTGTCACTCAGTGCTTAGCAACTATAGTAGGTACCAACAAACATTGTTGATAGAATCATGTTGAGCTAAATTGCAGAATGCACATTATATTTAATCATATCTGGTGGGGGTGAGTATATTTTACAAAAAATCCCAGAATCCTGTTCAATTCAGCAAACATTTATTGATTGCTTGCTGCATGCTAGACATCGGGAGATCTAAAAATGAAAAAGGACACAGCTCCTGCCATTTAGGTTTTATAAAAGAGGCAGAACCTGACCTGAGCTATGGAGAAAGATATAGATTTTAACAGGGAAGTATAGGAAGTGACATTTCTAATTATGGGAGACTAGATACAAATGCATGGAAGCAAGAGAAGACAGGTCAAATGCTTTTAGTCTGGTTTATCGATGTGTAGTGCAGTAGGCAGTATGGATAATTTGGGCTTGGGAAGCAGGAAAATAGGAACTCTTTGAATTTTGCAAGCTCGCTCTTCTTCAGAAGTAGAAATAATTTTCTAGTGCTATGGCTCTTTACTATCCTTGCCATGAGTTAACATACCTTGTGACTTCTAAAATTCCCATTACAAATAATACGATTTTGCTGTTGTCCTTCATCCTCCCCTTTTCCTTTTTTCAGCATGATATAACCCACAGATCATACTTGATACTGTATTTGTATTTATATCCCAGGGAAAGTACTCTGTACTAAGCTGAATTAAATTTAACTGAACAGAAGGGGATAAAGTATAATTCTCAACCTTATTTTTAGATTTTTCTACTTGAGATAATAGAAAAGAAATCATTTGTTAGAATAAAGATTATGTAATTATGTAAGATTTATATTTGATCATTACTACTATATCTTATACTGTGGTTCATAGAAGCCCTTGACTATTAAAGAATTCATGATATTGGCAAGGAGGAAAATTAAAAATATTGACTATGATAAAAACAACAGCTAACAATTATGTAGTAATGGCGAGGTTTGCGAAACACTATATACATATACACAAACACACACACACACAGGGTACCCCAAAAGTCTTAGCACAGTTTTAAGCTTAAGCTCAAAACTGCACTAGGATTTTTCAGATACTTTATATTATCTCATTTGATACCACAACCCTACGAAGTGAGTGAATTTTTCTTAGGTGCAACATGATTAATTTTTGCCACTTTGTTACTTTAAAAAAATACAAAATCGCACGAGTATTAGTAGTTACCAAATGTAGTGTGTTGTGTTTCAGGACTGGCAGATATTTTCGGTTTTTGAGGAAGAAGCAGTGTTTCATTTGGAGCTGAAATAAAACAGTCCCCACCCCAGCCCAATTTAGTTAAAACAAGGAGCACCTAGAGCACTAACATGCTTTTAGCTGATAAGAAAGACAAGCCATGAGTCAATGACGAAAAATGAACAGCTCATGGATTCATGAAAGCTAGTGGATAAAATGAAGTATTCAAAGAGGAAAAGCCAAAGACAGAATGATAACTGATCATTTGATGGCCAAAATTAGGGTGAGTGCATCCAAGTGTTCTGGAATGGATACAAAGACAAAGGGATGTGGAAGAGAGATGGTGACGGTGAGGATGTCGCTTTCACATGCAGATTTCATAGTGTATTGTCTTACTCCTGTTAAGACAGTGAAAATATCATCTGCTACATCTTCTAAGTAAAGCCAGATAGAGGGCATGAAAATCATTAATGATACAGAGAAAAAAAATAGCTATGTATTCAGAAGCAGGAAAGAGATACATGATTAGATGTGATAGAATGGGATGGTTCTTTAGAAGAAAGCCATTCACAGTGGGCTTTCCTTTGATGAAAAATGAAGTGACAATTTGCTATTAAAAACATTACCCAGTGTTGCCCTTGGCTGTTCAATTGTTCTAGAAGTTTTAGACGGAGCAGAGTCCAGAGTAGAATCACTTGTTGCTGCTGGAATAAATGTCAACAAGTTATAAGGAAGCAAAGAGCCTCAGAAATCAAACACTAGTTCATTTATAGCAAGTTACATCTGGAAGGAGGAATGCAGTCATGGGAAGTTAGAGATGGATTCATATTTGAAAAACACACACCATTCAAATAACTAGGACCGAAGACAAAACAAGTTGCAAAGTGGAAATGTATTTGACAGGATCATAGATGTAGAGATAAAAAGGACCTTAGCTATCATTTAGTCCAACTCTCTCATATTGCAAATAAGGAAACTGGAACCCAGAGTGGTTAAATGGCTTATCCAATGTGGCATAGTTAGTGATAAGATGGATCCAGAATTCGAACTCAGGTCCTGTGATTCCAAGTTTATCTCTTTGTATTTTGTAACCATTAGCGAATCCATGCTAAGCATTCTACTTCACAGTTTTGTATTTTATGTTGTTTATAACTGTCCTCCACTATGGAGGACCATATCAAGTATACTATTGAAGGGAATTTTCTACTGGGTAGGGGCATGGACTCCTTGCCCCCTGAAATTCAATTCCATGATTCTATAGAACATCATGACATTAAATAATACACTAAAATATAGCGATATGTAACTATGGCGTCAGATTTTGGAAACATAGCTAATGCCCAGTCAGAAATAATATGTGTATATATGTGTGTGTGCGTGTGTGTGTGTGTGTATACATACACATTTGTACACAAATAAGTAAACTTTCCCAAATAACAAAACAATTCTAAGACTGACAATAGTGAATAGTGTGTGATAGATCAGTAGGAATCAGTCCCTTTGTTGCAATACATATTATACAGGCAATAATGACTTACATTTATACAGGGGGTCCCCAAATTCTTAGAGAAGTTTTAATCTATTAGAGCTTACAACTGCACTAAGACTTTAGAGATACCTCACCTAGTACTTCAAGATTAAAAAAAAAAAACACCTTACTCTCAATACTCCCGTGAGGTAGATGGTAGAAGAATTGTTATCCCCATTGTACAGATGAAGGAACTATGTTTCAGAGAGATTAACTGATTTGCACATTGTTAAATAGCTAACAATTGGCAAAACCGAGACTTGAACCTGTCTTTGAAGGTGGTCCAATGGCCTTAATATTAACACCATGTTGTCTCAACCAAATCTCTAACATTATGATCCTGTGATGACCAATGTCCAAGTGTCCACCTCTTGAATCAGTCATAAACATACAGAAGAAAAGCCATTGTGGGATTGGAGAGAGGGAGAGAAGAGAAAATGAAGAGGGTTTGTTTTTCTTTCTTTCTGGAAGAAAAGGACCAGATTCAGAGACTGTAGAAAACTTGGGATCTATTGACAGATTTATGAAAGGCTGAGTAAGTATACCTGTTCGGGCTGTGGATATTTCAGGTTCATCTGTTGTTGGAGGGCTTGAGAAAACAGGCTGCATGTCATACGTTGCTAAAAAAAAAAGTTTGAACAAGAGTAGATATTAATTTTTAAAGATGCCACTATATATTTCTAAACAATGTTGGCTTTCTGTGGTACCGGTCCTGTTACTTAAAGACAGATAGTTTAAAAGTCCATGCTTCTGTCCTTGATCTGAACTCATGAGTTTTATAAATCTAGAATTAAAGCTGCCCTCTAGTGTGATGCATATTTTCCATTTGAAATGGGGCCATGCCAACTCAGGACAAAAAATACTTAAAAATAAATCATATAATGGATTTAGATTTGAACCTGAATGTAGGCTGTACAAAGGTACTTAGGAAACAGAAGTAACAATTGGATTTCTCTCTCTCTCTCTCACACACACACACACACACACACACCTCATTGGACTAGACTTAGGCCCTCCAGTTTCCATTTCTTGTTCACCCAGCAGCAGCTATCCTTCAAGTCTAGGAACTAACTGCTATAAAAGCATATCATTGGTGGTATCTGACCTTCAGAGAGTTTATTCAATTGAAGGCCACATTTCATGTTTCATATGAAAAAGAAAGTGGAATCAGTTTCGAAATGAAAATGAAAGGTGTGTGTTTTACTTGGGGATGTTACTCGGGAATGTTACATCAAACAAAATTGTGAACAAATTTCTTTAGTGAGTTGTTCCTGTAAGTGGGGAAAAAAGAAAACAAACAAAATAAAACAAACAAAAAAAAACAATGAAAGGGTGAAAGGGGTAGGGAGTAGAGGTGCAAATAAGGGAAGAAATGATTGATAAATGGAAGAAATAAATGGAAAGTCATATGAAGCTTAAGAATAAAACAAAAAAAAACCAGATCTTCCAAAAACATGTGTAGTTGGCGGTTTTGAGAATCATGAGATTACATCACTTCGTAGCAGATTCTTGATACTGACTGAAACTGTGGTCATCCTAAACAGAGAAAAAAACTCCCTCAAAATGAAATGAAAGACATTTTTTATTTCTTCTATACAATGCATTTGTCTATGTTAGAGAGAAATAACTTGTCAGTGACTACAATTGTAAAGCTTCATTCCAGTAGTCATGAAATATAAATTTCATAAGCAGAAGAACATACATGCTGGTTTTAACAACTTCTCCTGACACAATGCTTTAAGTATATACGATATAGAATATACAAATATATATAAAACTCTCCCCAGCAATTCTGTGAGATAGATGATATGTAAGGCTACATGTTGTATGATGAATTTGGGTTGTCTAAATATATGGACAAGGCTTGATAGTGTCTTGAGTAGATATGATCTGAAGTTTGGTCCACCCATAAGAGAGTTGGAGGAGGGCCTTGTCATATTGCCAGTAAACTAGCTGGGGGAAGAGACCAAAAAGGTCTAGATCATCTGAAGCTGACCAATTTCTCCTCAAGTTTCCAAGAGGGCTAAAATCATATCTATCTGTTACCCCCAAGTATCTCTGGTCCAGGTGTTCAAAAGGTTTAGAATATAAAAAGATCCCATATTACAGCATTCTCTCAGCCAATCATAAGTCATGACTCTTTTTTCAGCATACAGAATAGGGCTATCCCCTCTCTTCCTACCAAGATGGGATCTGTGTTACAAGTACAAGCATTATTATGCCCACTTCTGATGAGAAAACTGAGGTTCAAAGAAGTTCCTCATAGTCATATAGTGAATAAGTCTGAGTTAGGGTCCCTGACTTCACGTCCAATGCGCTTCCAACCACAATATGTTTTTGCTCAGCTCTTATGGATTCAAATAGTCACTTACATATTATATTATACACTGTCCTTTGGAGGCAAGCTAACCAACATGTACATATACATATACAGAGACATATTCAGGCAGACACATATGTGTGTAATGTTTTGACGGATACAACTCCCAAGGGATTTCTCATAAAACAGTACAGATAGTCATACATTCATAGAAACAGGTGGCGCGCACATGCGTGTACACACACACACAAAAGGATTCATAAGAGAAAGGTCAAATGACATGTAACTCTTGGACAGCTGGGAAAAAAACACCAACGTTAGCTGCTTTCAGAAAATAAAAATTGACCTTCTAATCATGGCAATGTAATCTTGTTTTAGAAGTCCATGAGGGAGAAGATAATAGGGAATAAGTTACACTCCTGGTTGTACTTATATTTTTAGCATCAGAGAATTAAATGACATCAAATTAATTAAATTGAAATGTGCTAATCATTTTCTGGGATTAACAGGTAAGTACATTTTTTCCGTTTACTATTTAAATATAATATGCAATCATGCCTCCATTGAAGTCCTACTCCAATACCTCAGAGGCACACTGTCGGGGTAATCCTGAATTCCTGAAGCATCTATCAGTAGAGTGCAACCTATGGTAGGTTCTACAAAGCTTGAAAGGCTCTGACTAAGTACCTGGTAATACATCATGTTCCACAGGAACATATAGCTAGAGCTGGGAAGGACCTCAGAATCCATCTAGCTCAACCTCTTCATTTTACAGATAGGAAACTGATGTCCAACAAGGTTAAGTAACTTGTGCAAAATCACAGGGGTATTGTAAGAAGTGGGATTGAAACCCAGGTCACCTGACTCCAAAGTCTGTCATTCGAGGGCCAACTTAACTTTGGGAAGTATGACTTGGCCACCAAATAATGAACTATTTCTGTCTACAGGAATTCATTAAGAGTTCATTAAGATAAGACTGGAGGAGGAGTCACACTAATTAATTATTTTTTCAAAGTATATCAATTGTGAATATTATAAAACTTTTTGGAACCAAAAAAAGGTAATTGTAATTAGAAATTGACTGAAAACTCCATTTAACTTTCTTAAAAACTGCTAATTATGTGAAAGATTTCTTCTTAATATTAACACAGACATTCTCCTATCTGTTATCAGATAGCCACATAGTGGTATTTTTGACCGTGTACCATCATTCTCAATGGGGTGAAAATGTCTAGGTTTAGAGAACAAATAAACACCTTGTCTCAATATTGCATAGAAATCTTTCTAGTGGTATATTTCCCAGGGTTTAGGTACTACCCCTTGCTACCAAAGTAGTGGCCCAGAAACCACATATAAATGAATGATGAAGATGAGTCTTGTGTAGAAAATTCGATAAACAGCTAAAATACTGTTCCCTTTGCTAAATGAGAATACCCCATGAATACACACCACTCATGGAGTTCTCAGTATTATTTGCATAAATGAATAAATGTTTTCTTCAGGTTGGTTTTGAACGTTATAAAACTATTTGTAAGAAACTGCTTACCAAGAAAAACAAAGACTCAGGCTATAAATCTCTAACAGGCAACAACAATAACGACAAAAATCTGTAAACCCTCTGGTACACTTAATTTTTACTCTTGTGCTCTCAGAAGCATTCCTACTACTTCATCTAGCTTTCTTTCTCTCTAGGGCTTATTCCAATTGGGTGGGGTGAGGGCAGCTGGAATCAGCTGCTCACAGGGCAAGCATAGTGCTCTGTGTGAAAGCTGGCCCCCTTAAATATTCTTGATGAACCACCCAATGCCCGAACAATCTATTTCTAAGTACAGCACTCCTTATGTTTGTTCATCACTGGTGATACTCAATTTTTTATTTTCCCAGTTCATTACAGAATGTGGACAATTTTTGGAGTGTTTTTTATATTTCTGTTTCTTATGGATTCTCCACCTTTCTTCTGATGCCATAAATGTGATTTCTAATTGGGAAAAAAATAGAGTGTTCTCATATTCATTCAGGAAAAAACTGTTAAATGTCATTGTTTATTGTCCCAAGATAGCTCCTGAGCAACCTCATACAACCCGAAACCTAGAAATATCTCTGTGATTTTTAGAACAGTTCAGAGCCACTGAGTCAGTTGGCTTGGTGATCACGAGTTGAGAAAGAAAGGAAAATGAGGGTTCTTTTAGGATTGAAAAAACATAAACTGCACCATAACCTTGGGATCACAATCAGTTACTTCTTTTTGTTTAACTTTCAGCTGCCACATGGTACTTAATTCAAATGGCTACCTTCCATCCCAATAACAATGACTCATCATCCTCCATTGGGCTGGAGTTGTTCTACTGTAAGAGAAAAAGGCTCACCCCAGAATAAGAAAACAGCAGACCCAAAGCTCTGCACAAGTTATTTTGGTGAATTAAGGATCAGAACATACGGGAAAATAGCAGTCTTTATATATATATGTGTGTGTGTGTGTGTGTGTGTGTGTGTGTGTGTGTGTGTGTGTGTATGTATATGTATATATATGTGTGTGTATATATGTGTGTGTGTGTGTGTGTGTATATGTATATATATATGTGTGTATGTGTATATATATATATATTTGGGGGGGGAGAACCCAATAATTAGAAAACCCGAGACTTATTTTTGGAAATATTACATTAAAATCGACAACAACAACAACAAACAACAAAAAGCACTAACATCACTTATTTTTTCACTGAAAAATACTTGTTAGATTTAGAAGCTCCACAGATAGTATTAGGACTATTCTTAGTAAGTGGAGGGTAACAGACCATCATTAAATAAGCATAGAACCTGTGCAAATCTCATAAACTCTCCTCCCATGTCTTATAGTAATTTTTGACAGGAGAAATCAGGTTAAAACAAACATCTTATGTGCTCACATGTTCATATATATATATATATATCTGAGCCTGGGTTATTTCTTTTCCTTTCCAGAACTATTTAGATAAGTTGAGAAGTCAGATTTTTGGCTCAATGTAAGGAACAACTTCCTAAATAATTAGAGCCTCCTAAAAATGGAATGGGCTAGTTCTCCATGACTGGAAGTGTTTTAACAGAGGCCAGATGACCACTAGATGAGGGAATTCATCCTTCTAGTATGGGTTCTATTAGAAGACCTTCCAGGTCTCTTCCAACTCAGAAATTCTATTACCCTAAGCCTTATTCCCTCAGCGACTGATTAGTCACCACCCAGCCACAGTACTGTAGAGTGGGTTCTCTAAAACTCTGGACCTATTTTCACTAGCCTGATTTGAAATATCCTAAGGATTAAAAATCCCTAGTCTTCCTTTTTTATATTAGAGAAATTAACAATTTTCTTTCAAAAGCTTAATATCACAACTGCCATTACTTAACAAATTGGCCAATTAGGGGTCAAAAATGTGCCTTTCAAATAGAAAATCTCCTTATTTTGTTTTTTGTTCTTTTTTTGTTTGTTTGTTTTAGGCAATTGAGGTTAAGTGACTTGCCCAGGGTCACACAGCTAGTAAGTGTGTCAAGTGTTTGGTCTGAGGCCAAATTTGAACTCAGGTCCTCCTGACTTCAGGGCTGGTGCTCTATCCACTGTGCCACCTAGCTGCCCCTTTGGAAATCTCTTTAAAAATGAAAAACATCCCCAATGAGTTTACCACTTATGTCTTTGAACAGGTAAACACGAATCTGAGACTTAAGGGTAGGACACCTATAATATACTTCTTGTATTAATTTGATAAATTAAACTTCTGTATCATCCTTTTATTTAAGTGTTGTTTTAAAGACTTTTTTCCATAAATAAAACAGCTCAAAATTTCACTAAAGCGAATCTTTAAGTGTTAACCGGGAGGAAATATGCTGTCAATTTCCCTCTTCTTTTTCTATGGTAGGATTTTTTTTATTTAGTGGTATCTAAAACACCTATATATAGCTTTCAATAACAGCTATATCCCTCTAGAAGCCATATGTAGGGAGAAATGTTGATGTTGTTGAATTGAAGTGTCTTTTTTTTATCATGCATCTTGCTTTGATATACCCAAGTAACTGCCCCCCCATTTAAAAATAAACAAAAGCATTTAATTAACACTTATGACAATACCTATAATTTTGCACTCATACTTTTCCACTTCTTAACAGAGTTGACCAATTTTATTCTTTAAAAAGCATAGTTTTCAAATATATGTTATCACAATATTTAAAAAAACTAAGAATCTTTGCAGCAATCATCTACCAAGACGAATAAGAAATATAAATTCATATTCAGCTACCTAAAAATGATAATGAATGTTTTCCAGAAAATATTTAACCTTGACTAGCAAATGCCTATTTATGGAATCTCAAAAGAAACAAAATCAACCCATGTTTTCACAAGAACTGAATGAAAAAGAAATTTAATTAAAAGAGAGAGATGTTACAAACCTTATATAACATGCAACTCTTAAATTAGCAAAAGGTAGAACTGAATCTTCAACATTTAATTATGCTAAGAGAGATTAAACAAAATGACAAGACAACTACAATAATGGAGGAGAGGAAGAAAGAAAAGGAAAGAAAAGGAAAGGAAAGGGAGGGAGGGAAGGAAGAAAGAGGAAGGGAAGGGAGTAGAGAAGGAAAGAAGGAGGGAGGGAAGGAAGGAAAGAGGGAGAGAAGTAGGGAAAGAAAGAAGGGAGGAGGAAAGAAAGTAAAGAAAGAAAGAAGGGAGGGAAGGAGGAAGAAAGGAAGGAAGCAGGGAAGGAAAGAGAAAAAGAGGGAAGGTAGAAGGGAAGGAAGGAGGGAGGGAAAGGGGAAGGAAGGAGAGAGGGAAGGAGGGAGAAAGAAAGAAGGGAAAGAGAGAATGAAGGAAGGCATAAGGAAGGAAAGGTAGGATGAGGAAGGGAGGGAGGAAGGATGAAAATTAATTAAGTCTTATATACTAGGCACTATGCAAAGTCACTGATGGAAAGATCGACATCCCATAGCCATAAAAACAAAAGCAAATGAATCACTAGGTTGTATATGGCAACAGAAGCTTGGAGAGGGTAGTGACGAGAGTTCCATTAATTATGGGAATGTGCCCGAACTACAGAGCCTTTATTAAAGCTAACTTACCATTAACTGTTATTTGCATAAGAAATTTGGTGAGATTTTTGTACTTTCTTCTGATGTCTTTGGGAAAACATCTTCAAATTCCTAAATGATTTTGTGCATAGCAGTTTCTGACTTATGAATTGGAGGTAGTATTATTGAGTAGAAAACAAAGCATAAGAATTTCAGAGAACAAGGGTATCCTGTTAGCTTTTCCACTGATTTAGGGCTTGATTCTTACATTTCTTGATTATCTAAAAACTAACAGTTGCTCCTTTCCTATCTCCTGGGACATTTGAGAGAGATTAATAAGATAATAAATGCAAATCACTTTGCTGTCCAGGGAAAAAAGGTGTTCTATAGGTACAAGATGGTATTGGTTCTACTCTCAGAATGCCCTAGTTTGTATATGCATGCTTTCTTACCCACAATTCTCTGAGATGGAAAGTATCAAGAAGTTTAAAGGAAACTATTCCGCCACAACATTGAAATCATAGTTGATTGGCCACTTTCCAACCGTGTCTAAAACCAACACTGTTCTGCTGTCAGAAACTGACTTCTTTAGAATGCTTCTCCTAACTGCTTAAATATTTTTAACACCCTCTTTCTTTAAATAGAGAATTTAGATTTAATTTGACTTCCTGGTATATAATTCTAGGGCAGGTCTTTATTATTTCCACTTATATGTCTTAATAAGTATCCTCATTTTGCCCAAGGAATCAATATACAGTCAATCCATTTAAGCACACTTTACAGAAGCTGTAATTCAGATGACAGTGCGAGATAAGGAGATCATATTTGAATGAGAAAGAATACATTCTTTTGAATGAAAGATCAGAATACTTAGAAATTTCAAAATGTCATAGGTAAAAGAAATGTGTCTATTTTGCAACCAAGATTGTCATTAATATAAACTAAAATTTAGGTCTTTTTTTTTTTTTAAGGATATATACCATGGGATCAGTGATTCTATAGACCAGGCTAAAGAGTGGTTATTCCATTAGGAGTTCATAGAATAACAGATTTAAAAGTCATCTTGCTAAAGTGTTCCTAATTTTTATATTTGAAGCTATCTTTATCAAGGGGAAGACCAAAGTAATCATCTATAAGACCTAAAGCAGTGCCACCTATAGGAATGAAGTGTTAGATTTGTCCATAGAATTTGAGAAACCAATCCCACTTCTATTTTCAGTTATAGTAACCTGTTTTGACTATTCTGCATTGTTATGATATAAGATGCCTGAATAACAATCTTAACAACTTGCAATATAGGGAACTTGTTGGTGTATTTGATGTCCCTCATTAGAGGAATTACATATTTACACCTATCAATGTGTTAATAAGTAATTATATTTGTCCTTTTGCAGATGCTCTTTTATTTAACAAATTAAAATTTAATACAAAAGCAAGTAACACTGTAATCAACATGTGAGAATTTAATTTTTAAAAAGCTGTTATTCAGGTTATATTTTCAATGTCTGGAAGGCCACACTCCATCAGTATATACCAAATATTTGTAAGGCACTTAACAGTACCTGGGACATAGAAGATGCTTAATAAGTGTTTGTTCCCTTTCACCCTTCTATTGAACTGGAAAAATGATGAAAGGTGATATTCCTACAGTTTACTTAACCATATAAGCTATTCTGGTGTGAAGATAGCTTAAGAAAGTATTAAGTAGAGTATTTGTTATGGAAACAGAATTTGTAACTAGAAGAAACTTGAACTGGATTTGTCCAATCCAGCCCTCTCATTTTTGTCTGAGGGAAGAAAATTGAGGTATACAGAGGTCACGTGACTTGGCCAAAGTCAACTTAGTGGCTGATACATGAGCAGAAGGCAGGAGGCCTGAATGATAGTTTTTTAAGTGGTTTAACATTTTCTATGTTTGAGGTAGCAACAAGTAAGTATCTATCTGCAAAGGAAACATTATGTTGTTATGAATTCAGCTTCATAACTATAATTTTATTATGGTATGGATTACATAGTTCATCTTTTAGTACTGCTGACATGAATTTGAAGAGGTCTCTGGAATAGGAAAAACACTGAAGTGACTCATAATTCATTAGAAGATGACAGACTTTCAACAATATGTCCAGAAATTGAAACACAGATACCTTAAAAACAAATGTAAGAGAGCTGAATTTCTGTAGTAGGAAAAAAAATGTTCATAGATAATAAATGATATAGAATCAGTATTTATCACAGAGGGTATTGTATCATACAGCAATCTAGGAATCAATCCTTCAAAACACTACAAAAGTGATTCAATGCTATTCTTATGAATTCATTAAAAAAAAAAAAGGAAACTCAACAACAACTTCAAAAGGCAATTACCAGTGTGGGGCTGCAGAACTTTCGGAACATCAGATGTTTTGGCTGTACGAGCAATCCATTGCATCTCATCTGAAGCTATGGCAAAAAAGAAACAGCATTTGCAGGAGGTTATTGGAGGAGGAAAATGACCTCTTTCCGTTTTTGGCAAATGACTGCATGAAGGCTGTAATGAAAACACTTCCTGTTCAAGTAGTGGTTCAGTACTCTAGACCCATCCATCTACATTCTTTCCAGAAAACCCATTTGGTCTGCAGCTAGAGAGACCAGATTTGCTTCCATAAAATAATTTCAGAGAATGTGATGCAATGAAATTGGTCGCTGTAAGAGCAGGGGGAATAACGATATGATTATTTTGAGTGAATTTATCAGAAAATTCAGTCCAAACAATTGATTCTTTCTACATTCCCTGGCTGGTTAACTGAATTGAACAAATCCATTTGGCTATTTTGGTACCATGTAGAAACAGCAATTTTTTCTGAATAGCTACAAGACCAACCCTTTTCCCCACTCATACAATATTTGTTACCAAACTTCAAATACTGCCATTACCCAATGTCGCCCTAGGTTTCACCAGAGGGAATTGCGTTTTGGCTTGAGGGAATTCTGGAAGCCTGTTTTGAGCTGTAATTAAATAAAAAAAAATAATAACTTTGAGGTGGAAAATCAATAGCAAGAAAAAGAAAAATAAGCAAGATTCAAGAAAGAAAATCAAATTTGTATTAGGTCAGGACACTTTGATGAGTTTTCTTTTTGCTTTACGGTCCTAGAGAATGCCATGGAATTCAGGGCACCACAAAACAATACACTAAATTTTTTCTATGTGTAGAGCACTATACTAAGGACAGGAAAAATAAGAGTAGTCAGTTCTTGAATTATCAAGTCATTATCTTCATCTCTTCAAATGTCTTTGTGTGACTGTGTATCCACAGAAATATTAATGTTTCCTATGAATTAAAACTAAACTTGAAACAAATTTGAACTGGAAAATGTTAAGATACTCCTCCCTGCCATTCCTGCCCCCCGCCCCAGTCTCTGTCTGGATACTTTGTTTTTAGCATTTTTTCTTATGGAAAAACAATTATTATGTCCCATGAATTGATTTAAACATCTTTTCCTTGAAAGAGAAATAATTCTTTGAGAAAACTATAATGCCATTTACTAGCTGAGGGAAAAAATTAGTTCTAAGTGTTTAGCGGGAAATATTGGAAAAATATCAAATTCTGTTCAAAGCGACACCATGATTTTTGACTTGTGCAATCACATCTAATAGCAAAAAAATATCACTTCTAATAGCAAAAAAATTGTTCCTTCCTGTCCTTGGTAATCAAGAATCTATGTCTTCTGGAATTGAAATCAAGTTTTAAAAATCTAATACAGTATTGGGACTACAGGACTAAATGCCCAGAAGTAATTTATTCACATTACTTTTTTCCCTGGTTTTACTGTAAATATGAAGAAGTTGGATGTGAGAAAATCTTCCGCAAACTTCAACCCTCAATGGCAATTAGCTACTATGTTTTACAACATTTCCCCAGAAAAGAGGGTTCTTAACCTTTTTTTGTGTGTGTGTGTCATGGATCCCTTTGGCAGCCTAGTGAAGCTTTTGGACATCTTCTTAGAATGATGTTTTCAAGTGTATGAAATAAAATAAAATAAAACAGGGTTACAAAGAAAAACAACTATATTGAAATAAAGACATAACTGTTTTCCCCAGCTTCATGAACCTTCTGAAATATATTTACAGACCCCTTGGAGGTATATGGACAACAGATCAAGACCCCTTGTCCTAAAGTATTGAATGACAATTGAAACCTAGGCATGAAGATAAGCTATAAAATTTTCCCAGTCCTGTCATTAAGAGTTATGATAAAGAAGAAAGGTATTAACTTTTATATACTCCATGCCTTATGGTATTTTGGCTTGCACCATAGGATCATTTCTGTACCTATTAGTTGGTGCAGCTCACAGTTAATGGGGCTTTACCTAGAAATATTCCCATAGCCAGTCAAACTACTTTTGCATACTATGTAGGAAAATATCTTCATTTGAATAAGTCCTATAGCACATACTTTTCCTTTACTTAAAGGAAATTAAGTGACAAAGCAAATTAGATTTTAGGATTTAGGCCAAGAAGTAGCTAATATAAAGCACATGAAGAAATTCTTTTTTTTTTTTAGTAAGCTCTCAGATTTGAGAGATTCATCCCAATATTCGTATAGTATTACAAAATGCTGAAGAGCAATTGTGAGAAGAGTGCATATGTATTATAAGACTTCAAGACTTCTTTTATACCCCTGAAGTTACTAGTTTTAAGAATTTGGCTGTTTTATCTTTCTATACTTAGCCTGGCAACAAAAGTAGATTGAATAAGCCTTCTCTGCATTTGTTCTAGTATCTCAGGCTTTTTGTTGTTCTTCAAATGAAATGAAGCAACAATAAATAATAAAAATTAAAATACATCTTACAATTTTATAAGGACTAGACATGTGATTTCATTGGTATAGAGAATGTCTGAGTAAGGAAATTCCTTCCACTATTGCTAGCCACCACGGCACCTTCTTTGTAGTTTATAATTTTGAGATTAAGTGACATGCCCAGGGTCACATGACCAGTGTGTATTATAGGCAAGGTTTGAACCCAGAACTTGTTGGTTTCAAAGCCAATTCGCTATCTACTGTTAGGCAAGGGTTCTTAATCTGGAGTCTGTGGATATTTTCCAAGGGGATTCTTGAACTTGGATGGGAAAAAAAAAATTACATCATTATTTCAATATAATTGGTTTCCTTTGTAACTGTCTACATTTTATCCTAATAAAGGATCCATAGACTTCACTAGCCTTCTAAAAGTATCCATGATACAAAAAAAGATTAAGAATCCCTATATTTTGCCCATATTGACCCTAATATGTGCATGGTGCTTTAAAATTTTCAGAAAAATTGTTTTCCTTACACTAAATCTCTTAGCTATTCAGATGGCCTTGTGAGGTAGGTAATTACAAAAAAAGTTAATTTATCCTAAAAAGGAAGAAGAATGTTAATAGATCTAAGAGCACCATTGTTACTCATTTCCTGTGTGAATGTTGGGGTTTCTTTTATGAAAGAAAAGTTTTTGGCATTACCCAAAGGTGCTTCTGAAATTTCTAAGACACTAGTCACAGCTGGGCTAATGGTTCTTCGTACAGTTTCCATTGTCACTGAAAGGTAAAAAAGTTAATTTTATGAAATAAGATGTGATGAAAAAAGAAACCATAGGTTTTTTTTTTTTGATAAACAAATGACACCAACAACTGGGACTCATTCAGCACATCTTTTCCCAAGTAGCTTAGACCAAGGAGGTCTCACAGTGACCTTTGATTAGAGTCAGGAGCTAGCACAAAATAAGATTTTATTACCCCAATGGAACAGCTTAGAAGGGAGACCCAAGAATGACTTAACTTCTAAGTTAAGTGTATCAATCCAGCTGCCATTCTCTACCCCAGGATCAAAGGCAGGACCTTAACTTCAGTAAAAATTTTAAAAATGTGAAATAATGAAAATGAGAAAGTGGCATGAGCGGTTCAGCTTGACATTTGCAAGCTCTGGATCTATAAAAAGCAAGAGAGACTTTAGAAACACCAGTTTTGATTTTAGCCTAAGGTTTCTGAAGTGGAAAATTCTGAGGGGGATTTGGCAAAGAAGACAGAAATCTAAAGGATTCTCGCATCCAACATCATGACAAACCAAGAAAGTAGCAGAATCTTTGAGGTAGAAAAGAAATTGCAGCTTTGGCTGTTTTACTTTTGTTGCAGTTTACCAACCACACTGAAATTGGGGGGAGAGGAGGAATCACATAAATCGTGAGTTAGTTTGAATTTCCCAAAATAAGAAGGGTTATAAGACAATTGGGTTGAAGGGTCCACCTTTTCTTCTTAGATAAGACTACCTATAAACCCATGATGAAAGGAATAGCCAAGATATTTTAAGACAGAGGCATTCTGTTTACTAATGACCATCTGGGAAAATTAGGGACGTGCACACATTCTAAATTTATTCAGTTCAATTCAATAAATATTTATTAAGCACCTGCTAGATGCAAGGCACTGTGCTAGCTGCTGGACACATCAATATTAAAAATAAAACCCCAGACAGTCCATACCCTCAAAGAGCTTACCACCTAATAGAGGTGATATAACATATATACAAATAGGTAGAATGTGGTTAAGGAAAAGGTATGACTAGTACAATGCACTTTGGGGAATTGTGAGGAGGGAAGGACCACTTTAAAGAGGATTAATGAAGGAAGTGTTTCTGGAAAAGATGATACTAGAACTGGGCCTTGAAGAGAGAGGGGAAGATTTAACAGGGAGAACTAAGGAAGAAGTGTGCTACAGAGAGCATAAGTGGGAGCCTATGAGAATGCACGGGAGACAGAAAAATATCAGGAAACACTGAATCACTCAATTAGACTAGAACACAGTAGATGGATGGGAGAAAAGTGAAATAAAATGACAGATTAAACAGGGGAATGATTAGAGGCAAGGAGCCCAGTTATTACAAAAAGGAGAGATAATAAAAACCTGAACTGGGGGAGTGGCAGCATAATTGGGAATAGGAAAGTAGGAGGTATTATGGAAGTAAGACTGTAAGGTCTTGTTGACTTACTGAGAGAGGGTGATGTGAAAGAGAGAGGAATCAAATACGATTTGAAATTTTTATCCTGAGTGGTTGGTAGTACCCTCAACAACAGGAAAAAAGACATATTTTGGGGGGAAATGATGAGTTTAATTTTAGACAAGCTCAAACTCTCTTTAGATGGGAGATAATTTATTAAATCTGAACTGGAAAACTTCCCATCCGGGCTTTAATTTCACTTGGTTTTGCATGAAATAATATTATTTTGGCCACAATGTTGCCATTTAGAGGACAAATTTTTCCCCTTAGTGGTCTGTCTTTGGCTATCTCACTTAGAAGAGCCCCAAAAAGGTTTGATAAGAACAACTGAAGAACTTTGAGTAATATTAACCCTGCCCTCTTTTTTTTTGAGGTGGTATAATCATTTTCCTTTTTAAGTTTTTAAGTTTCCACTTAAATCAGAATTAATTTGAAAACCAGCCCATCAGTATAGAAATGGGTATTTGTGAAACATTAGAAGCTTAAATTTATCACATTTGAAAGGCAAGAGATAAAGTCGGGGTGCTGGCTGTGAAAGGAGAGGTCTCATTCTCCCCTAAAATGAGGGCACCAAAACAGTGGCACAGCCAAACCAGACTACCAGCTATTCCATAAATCTGACCTGCCTCTACGAATCTGTGCAGACCACCTCCATGCCTAAAATATGCTCTTCTCTCATTTCTAATCAAGCAAAGTTCTTTTCCTTCAAGGCTAAGATTGGGTACCACTTTCTCTGGGAAGCCTTTGCTGATACCCCAGCTGAAAAGGATTCCTTCCTCCTTAAATTCTCTTAGTATGTTTTTGCCCAGCTCTCTCCTTGGCCCTCATCACACTCTATTTTGCATTATGCTTGTCCAAAAACATGTTTCTTCTCTAGTAGAATTTAAGCATCTGGTGGGTAGGTATTGTTTGAAATTCCATCTCTGTAGTCCCAGAACCTAGCACAGCACTTGATATATAATAAGCACCTAATAAATGTTCGTAAGATTGTTGCTAAACATATACATCTGCTGAAGTGACAAACTAACTTGGAGTTAAGCATGCTTCCATATTCATTAATATTCAGCTTTTCTTGTTGCTGCTTCCCACAACTTACTTTAACCTTTAATCAGTTTTAATTCAACCTCTTCATAAGAGTGAGAAGGTTTTTTTTTCAATCATGTAATATTTTTGATGTTGTATGCCCCTAAGATGTAGAGTCCTTATTGTAATGTAGAGTTCTTATTACCTTGTCCAGGTTGTGTTGGCATTTTTTCCTCTTGTGTTTTAGATTCAGCAGGTAACGCCGGGGTTTCATTCTTAGCTAAAATTTCAGAGGACAAATCATTTGCACTATTTCCTTACAACCAATACCTGAAATAACGCATTTTGAACATGTGCTAGAAGCAGAAAGTGTTTAGCTACAACCCATTGAAACCTATCAGGCCACAATAGCATGAACTACCTCCTTCAATAACTAGTTGGCTTGAAGGACATTTAACTCTCCTTTTTCATTCCTTCAAGACTTTAAGGCTCTGTGATCTTGGTGTAGATACACCTTCCCTTCATCAATACAAATATTTGTAAAGTGCTTTGTAAGCCTAAAACGCTACAAATGCTAGTTATTATCATGATAATGATTGATGATGATGATGATAATGATGATGTTATAGGGACTGGGATTCAAACCCAGGCCCCCTGATTTTTCCTACATTTTTTCCACTAAGCCATGCTGGACACTTCTGGTGTTGAATCTATCCAAGTTTACTTGGGCTTATCTTCAGACAACAGATGGACAGTCTATCACTGGGCTGGGACTTGAAATTATTCCAGTTTGAGAAGACCTGCCAGAGTTGGTACTTTCCTAGTAGAGCCTTAAAGGACTCTGGATCATCTCTATACAATGATCAAGCGACATAGTTGGCTTTAGTAGAGGATGCCTTCATAATAGCTCTGTTCTCTGTAAAAGCCAAATGGACATTAAAGCAAAAAACTCCGACTTGCTACTTGAGCATTCCAATTGAGAAATAGCTTTTATGGCAGGCATAATTTTAAACTGTGGTCTATTCTCAGCACATATAAGGCTATTAAATAAACCATATATTTTCAGGTAGTGGAATTTGTTGTTATTTATTGTAAATATTGTTAAATGGATGCATAGGATTGACTGAGACCAGGAAAAAATGAAAAACCAAACAAAACTACCATATGGAGGAAAATAATTTTGTTTTAAATGTGAAAGGAGATTTTTATTAACTAAGGCTGACTCATGTGCAAACAAGAGTCTCTTTTTGGACCTCTGGGAATTCATCAGAAAGAATGAACTAAAGTAAAACTTCAACTATTGTCTCCAGGCAGACCACAGTGTCGCCACTTTACCCCTCAAACTTTCATCTAAAAGTGTATCTATTCTCTTTCCAGGAAAACTCACCCCCAAGCCAGATTCTGCTAAGCAGTTCTTTGGTTAGTCACTTTATGTTGACTTTTTTGGCCGCTAGGGTACAATTTAGAGCAACCAAACAGCGACTTGTTTATACTTTGTTGTTGTTGGTCAGTTGTTTCAGCTGTGTTTGACTTTTTACCACCCCATTTGGGGTTTTCTTGGCAAAGATTCTGGAGTGATTCGTTATTTCCTTCTCCAGCTCATTTTACGGATGAGGAAACTGAAGCAAACAAGGTTAAATGACTTGTCCAGGGTCACACAGGTAATAAGTGTCTGAAGCCAGATTTGAACTAAAGAAGATGAGTCTTTCTGATTCTGTGCCTAGAGCTCTATCCCTGTGCCACCTAGCCGCCCTTATTTATACAATGCTGGACTAGGTGAACAAAAGAGCTTTCTGTTGTTTCTAGCACATTGGGAAGTTCTTCTATGGAAGATTTATGGAAAGATATGGACGAGAGTCACAGAGGATGACAAGTTGTAAGGCGGTTGCAGTTTGTATAGGCAGAGAGAGTACCACACTGAGAAGACCATGGGCCTAGCCAAGTAAGTGGTCTAGAGGCTTAAAAGAGTTAATTCAGTTTCTAAGCATGCTACATTTATACCCTTGGGGTGGGTTAGGCCTTGAGAGAATACAGAACCTTGCTTGAATAATGAAATAAAATGTTCAGGGAATCCTAAGATGAGGAAGGACTTTAAGACGTCAGCTAGTCCAAAAATATTTAATATTAAAAATGTTACATTAAAGTACTTGAAGAATGGAAATTTACACCCCTCCTTTGGGGCAGTTAGATGGCATAGCACTGGGCCTGGAGTCAGGAAGATTCATCTTCCTGAGTTGAAATCTGGCCTCAGACTCATAACACTAGCTGTGTGACCCTGGGCAAGTCACCTAACCCTGTTTGCCTCTGTTTTCTCATTTGTAAAATGAGCCGGAGGAGGAAATGGCAAATCACTTCAAGATCTCTGACAAAAAAAACAAAACCCAAATGGGGTTAAGAAGAGTCAGACACAACTGAAACAGCTAAACAACAACAAACTTTGGAGGCTACAATATTATGAAAGGATAATATTTCTTTCTCATAGAGAGAGGTTGAACCTATGAATTTATTGGTATGGGGATCTCTCCAATGAGGAAATCCCCTCCCCAATGATGCACATAAGCATTTTCTCTGCAACTACAGTTTTAGAGAGTTGCCTAGAGCACTAAGAGGTTGCTTGTGACTCGCCCATTGTTGCACAACTAGGATGTTAGAAATGGGACTTGAGCCCAGGTCCTCTTTGCTCTGAGGCCAACTCTCTGTCCACTGTTCCCATGCTGTCTTTCTCAATCTTTCTTATGCCTAATCTAAATCCTTTCTAATGTCGTTTAAAGCCATTTCTTCTTCTTGTCAGTGTCGGTGGTGTTACAATGGGTATTCATTATTGGTTGACTTAACGGCTATTAAGCCTTCTTTCTATCTCCCACAAATCAAATCATATTAATTCCTCTCCTCCCCCCTTGTCCTTATGAAAGCCATTAATTGGCAATTTTCCTTTCTCCTTCTCTTTTTTTTCTCTCTATTATCACAACATTGAATTTAGGCAGTGTGGTATGGTGAGAAGATGGTGGATATGGCATTAGTGGAGCTGGGTTAAAAATCTGACCCTGTCACTTATTATTTGTGTGGCCTTGGGTGACACTTGACCTTTCTGGGCCTTATTATGTAAAATAACAACTACAAATCTATGCATGATTCTAGGGCCCTAATTTACTCCACCACTAGCATAAGGCTAGTTTGGGTCATGAGTACAGAGCTGCCATCAGAATACAGCCTTTAAAAAACCAGGAAATTCCTTGTCCTCTGTTATTTTTCAGTACTTTTGTCAATACATTTACTTTGCTAAATTTTGGCAAGTCAAGCCATGGGTTTGGCAAACTGTTACATTCTTTGATGCCTTATGATAAACTTAACAGAAAGAGTTATGTTTGAGGGATTTCCCCCTCCTCAGAAATTTATTTTTTGTTTCCCATTTGATAAAATATTTTTCTTTCCACGCCCCTACACTGTCATGTTCCTCACTCCAAGAATGTAAACTAATGATTAATAGGAACATTTCCACTATTTGTATTTCACTCTGCACATCTTCCCTTCTCATTCCAGTAGAGAATTAAATCTTAGCGAATCATGCCATAACAAGGACTCACATATTTTCCCAAACTGAAGAAATTTCAAAGGTTAAATAAAAGCTCAGGTAGCACTAGCCTCCTTGAAAATGCAGAAATAAGATGATTTGTTCAGAACTAAGAGCTGTGATGCATGGTTCAAAGTTATCCCCGTTTGACAATGCGTACACGAGAGTGTCTCCATTGATGCCAATCACAACCCATCCAGACTTGCTCATTTTGTGTCACTCTTGTCTATGTTCTCTTATAAATTCATCATGGGGACTGACCCAAAATGCAGGAGACCTTTCCTGGTGTCTTCTGTCACTAAGAGTTTTAAATTGCTCTATTGGAGTCTTAGTCTTTATGAAATTTCAGTTCAATTACAGACTTTTATAGGAAACTAGACACTAGCATGAGCAGTTTTTAATAAGCCCATTAAAAACAAAATGATTAAATAAAACTTTTACACATCCTTCCTAAAAATGGCCCTCTCAGAGTAGAAGAGGAGTTACTTACATTGGCGAGAGTGAAAGATGAGGTGCCAGGGGAGGGGAAATCTGCTTTGAGCTTCAGTCCCTAATAAAGATCTTAACAAGCTTTTTGTATGTACATAACTTAAAATAAGTACATAAGGTATGAGAACTGGAAGGGAACTAGGGGATCATTTGGTCTAAACCTCTCAATTTATAGATGAGGAACCTGTAGCTCAAGGAAATCAAATGAATTATCTAAGGTCATACAGCTGGTCAGTGGCAACACTAAGAGGAATGAGAATCTTTATAATGAAAATAAAATGATGAATAAAATCATGAACAGCTGCTTGTAAATTAATTTTTGTTCAGTCTAAGTTGTGGGCAATTCTTCATGACCCCATGAACCATAGCACATGAGGCCCTTCTATCCTCCATTATCTCTCAAAGTCTGTCAGACTCTAATAAAATATTATACACAAAAATATATAATATTTTTTTAAAAAGAATTAAGGTTTCTTTAAATAATCCAGTTAGGCCTACCAATGTAGATTTCTCCTTTCTTATCCAGTCATCCTTCCTCTTTCAGGATATCCCATATTAGGTAGACTGAGGGAATACAAATATCTCCCTGCAAAATACATGTGCAGACTTTCTATACAAGGCCAACTATCCCAGTGAGAACTAAAAAGTTTATAAGCACCCAACTATTTTTTCTATATAATGCGGAATGCTTAGATACTAGGCTAGATTACAACCCTGCACAGTTTTCATCTAGAAGTTGGAATCATGGAAACATCATCAGAATTCCTATCCAATAAAATTCTATAAAAAAGGAAAGGTATGGTAAATTCAATGTTTCACACGCTAGCTTGGAAAAGACACTAGAACTGAGAGTTAGAGGACCTGGCTTCTTAGTCCCTTTACCATGAACTGACAATATTACTTTTGGCAAGCCACATGAATCTCAATTTTGCCATTTGTAAAATGATGTTGTTGTTCTGAGGGTTTTTTTAAGGTTCTTTTCAGCTCTAAGATTTGGAATTCATGAATTTCTATGTCTAGGTTTGTTGGTTAATTTTCAACAGGGATAATCTGACTTCAAATTTCATTTGTATATGTTGGGCCATGCTTGGCAAGTTTGGTGATAGCTTTATTTTAAATGTGTGTGTGTGTGTGTGTGTGTGTGTGTGTGTGTATTAAAGAGTAGTTTAAATAAATATGTACTCTTATTGAGAAATCTGAAACTGGTAGTATGCCTTCAGGAATTAATAAGTAGACATATGACATTAGTCTGAATATATCAACTTCCTCCCCACACCCCAGCAAACTTTAATCCATATTTAAATTCATTTAAATTAAGCCTGTTTCTTCCCCAGAAATAGTTAACAGTATACAGCTTAATGTACCTTTGCTCAGAATATTCAGGGTGCACACTCAGAAACCAGAGAAACCAAATGTAGAACTTCCACCTTACCTAGTGGGGTCTTGATGGTTTCAGAAATATCCAACATGACCGGTGGAGGACCTTTCAGAGTGGTTTCATTCAGACCAGGAATGATAAGATGGACTGCATAAGAATTTAAGTGAGGCCAATGAAAAGAAAGTGGAATATGTTACCAGAGAAAGCCTAAAGCAACAGAAGCTAGAATGTTCATTTTAAACAACTGACATAAAACTAAGGTCACAAATAGATGGAATATGTCAGTGTCCTTTTGTTCTTTGCAGTCCCCTTTTGAATATCTAGTTGCTTTAAATTCATGTAGTCAAGTGTTCCTTGAATTGCTTTACAATCAGCCCATTAGCAAACTATATATAAAATCTTAATTTGATTCCATTCAAAAAGCATTTAGTAAACATCTACTTTTTATTAGACCACAGTTATTATCAAGATATTGGGTATTGCCAATATTGACCATTATTTACACAAAAGATGTTCAGTGTATTTCATATGTATATTCTTATTTTGTGGAGGCAAATAAAAGAACTGATATCAACTCTCTTATTGTACATGGCATGAGGCCATGTAATTTTAGATACCACACAGCAAGTCCATGGTAGAGGTCAGATCTCTTCACTTTTAGCCCTCAGTGGATTATGCCACACCTTGGGCAAAAGCCCAGGACTTTTTGATAGAGATAATAACACATTCTTGTGAAAGTGAACAAAAAACTCTGACCACAGTTCACTGCTCCCCATAAACATTCAGCTAGCAAAAGAAACACCTGGCTTTACCTGGCTAGTCAAAAAAAAAAATAGGAATTAGTCACCTAATATTGTTCCTCCTACCGAAGGCTTGTCTGGAGATTTTGATGCTGCTCGATGTGTGACATTCTGAATTACTGTGGAAACATAATGCAATAGCAAGGTGAAAAGACTGCAGAGAGAAGTTGCCAGAAGCCACATAGGCACATTTAATTCTGACCTAACATTATCAGTCATAAGATTTTGATATTATATTTGTGCTATTTTATAAAATACAATTCTTTCACTCTAACCCCTTCCCCCCAACTCCCGAAACTGTCCCTCCTCCCCATGGCAGATCAAACCAAAGCACAACAGTCTGGAAATATTGACTTAGGAAATTAATAATTCTAAATGTAATATGATGCAACCAAGAACAGAACAGCATATAAGAGAACGTACTCTTCCTTTAATCTATCCTTTGTGTGTGTTTGGAATGTCAGGTTTTCTCAAAGTGAGAAAAACACTTGGCTTCTTTAGAGTTAAGATAAGAAGGGAGAGTAAAGGGGTCTCCAGGGTTCGTGGTGGTCCAGAATAGGCCTGTGGCTAGAGGGAGAATTGAACAGAAGCTCAAAGAATAGTCTAAGAGTAGGGGTGGTAGGAAAAGAGGAAGCTTGTCCTCTAGAGATACCCACTTATGACTCTGAGGGAGTTAAAAGGGGGCTGGGGAGACAAGGCTCCAGAGGAGGGTTGCTTTGGCAAGTGGATTCGAGGGGTAAGACTCCGCGAGGAGTCATGCTGACCACGCGATGAAGCCAGTGACCCCGCGGATGAGTATAGGGGAGAGAATGGGATTATATCGTATGATGTACGGCAGAGGATGATGATGACGACGACGACGACGACGACTACTATACTACTACTACTACTGGCAGAGGACTACTAATAAATTTGGAGCAGGAAACAGTGAAAAATATATCCGCCTAGGGAGGAAATGGGTACTTTTAGATATTATTATCCTATGCCAAAATTCCCTGGCCCCAACCTAATTATAGCCCTGGTACCCTCTCCCAAGTAGCTTTTAAGGACAATGAATGCAGTCTTTTTTATTATATCAAAATCAGAAACTAAATTAGAAGCAACTAGGTACTGAAGTATTGAATAAGCATTTGCATTTAAAATTTTCTTTGGTTTCTAAAACTAAAAATTATAGCTTTAATATTATTTAATCCAAATAAATAAAAGTAATATTCTCAAGAACACTGTATTACCAATAAATAAAACAGTCCCTAATTCTATTTCTACAAGAATAGGAAGTAAAAGAGAGGGAAGTACTTTATCTCCATTTTATGTATGGAGACGCTGAGGCATTGAAACATCACTCAACCAAGATCAAACAGCATTTTGGTAAAAGAGTTAAAATGAGGAGTTTAACTTTTACCTATGAAATCATGCTGCCTCATTTAGAGTTTTTTATTAGCAATGCAGGTTCTAAAAAACAGGGAAAATATAATTCATTTCTAATCACTTCAGTTTGAAAAAGATAGCGTGGTTGTTGAAAATCCTGAACACTTATCTCCTGCAGAGAGTCATAGAGATTACCTTGTTTGATAACTGTAATGGGAATTATCTTCTTTGGAATGTATGCTGGCTGAAAAGAGAGGAAAATAATGTCAACCTTTGGGTCTAGAGATTATTATTTCATGTAAGAAAAATAGCAAAGAACACTTTATTCTGCATTTTATTTAATTAATTTTTTGGAGGATTCTCAAACAATAATGGGAACTTAACCTTCATGGCAAACTCTCCAGCTGGTTCAGTCTTTGTTGACTAAAACGTTTGTGCCTATGTGGACCTTCTTTTCATTTGGTTCAAATAATTTCCCCCCAAAATAAAAAAGGTCCAAATTACTGACCAGAACAATTCATTTTGATGGCCTGTTTATTTGGAAAGTGGCCTCTTTGGCCTCTGCTGGCATAGCCTTCAAGAACCACACATTAGTCAGTCAACAGGCATTTATCATGTGTCTAGTATATATATGCCAGGCACTGTGCTAAATACAGAATTTCAAAACCACCCACCTAAGTGACTCTTTGTCTACTCTCCTTTTGAGCAGGTTGTCACCTAAACGTAGTGACTTCAGAGACACTAGGAAGGCCATGATGCCCAAAAATATCTTTTCCACTATGAGGCCATATTGACTGAAAGTCTGTCACTAGAGGTGCCTACTTTTGGGGTTACTTTCCCCAAGCTGTTTTTAAGAATACAAATATAGTTAAATCTGTGACTGAGAATTGTCAAGGAATAAATGTGTGTGTGCATACATAATCTATTACATACATATAACAGATCTTATATTATTATTTCTATCCTTATATATTATATGTAACACATGTTTATATATTATACATGTAATATATATGTATCTATACATGTATGTACATATATGGTTTTCTGGATAGTTCTCTGTATAAGCTATTACACTAACCCTTTATATTTTAGATGTTTTTAGATAGCAATATTCATAAACTACTAAATGCAAACCTGCCTTCTCAACCAGAGTACAGTACAGTATATGGAATATAATCCAACTATTTCTTAATAATAGCATCATCTTGATGAACTGGTATCATACTTTACTATAGGTGCAGATGTAGATATTATAGTATATAAAGGTAAAGTAATTTAGCTTGTTATTATGCTACTATATACTGTGAATTTTCTCTATCCCAATCCTGTCTCTTCCCCCAAAGCAAAATCAAGACTACAGGACAGTCCTGGATGGCTAATAGCTAGCAATTATGTAGTCCTTTAAGGTTCATAAAGTGCTTTGCATATATTACATCATTGATCCCATAACAACCCTGGGAGATAGGTACTAATGTATCCTTATCCTCACTTTACAGATGAGGAAGCTGAGGCAAACAGAGGTTAGGTGACTTGCCTAGGGTCATGTAGCTAGTAAGTATCTGAGGTGGAATTTGAACTCAGGTTATCTTACTCCACGTCCTTCACACATTGCATCATTTGGCTGCTTTCACTGTCTTTCTGTCTGAACACAAATGTTGCCAACTTCAGAGTTTTGCCTGAGAGGTTAATATGCAGGGAAGGTGGCACCCCACAGAGCATGCATAGGAATGGGTCTATCGCTGGGGTGGGGAACGTGAGGCCTCTATATGGCCTTCTAGGTCCTCAAGTGCAGCCCTCTGACTGAGTCCAAGTTTTATAGAACAAATTCTTTTATTAAGGGGATTTGTTCTGTGAAGTTTGGATTCAGTCAAAGGGCCTCACTTGAGGACCTAGAGGGCCACATGTGGCCTCGAGGCCACAGGTTCCCCACTCCTGGGCTAGACACAGAGCCCTAGATACTGCTTCTAGTTCATGTTTCTTTGCCTAATCCTAGGTGCCTGAGAAATGGTCCTGTGATGGATATTTTCAGTTTGGGAGGTTACCTTGTGAATTTAAGAGGCCTGGAGATACTGCTTCCTCAGCCAATGTGGGAGATGCTCTTTCTATATCTACTAGAGGGTTGTTGTTTTTTTTAAGAGGAAGTGACAATCACCAGTCAGAGCACAAGCCCAAACAGGCTTGGCTCACTAGAAGATAAAGACTTGGAGGGAATTGTTTGGACAATGCAGAACCAAGCAGAAATGTAATGAGGCCTGTTTGGTGGTCCCACAAACTGCTGGTGTTCCAACGTTTAAGTCTCAACCTTTCAGGAAAGTGTAACAGTAGGTGTGTTACTACTGTTGCTTGTTTTAAGTCTTTATTAATGAACACTTATGAGAGTCACATTTGCATGTTGAACATTTCCTCGCATGGAGAGGAAATAAAAAGCTATTCTATACCTCATTTACATGCTTTGGAGAGATCCTGGACATAAGTAAAATCTTAAGCTTCAAGTAAATTTGTCTGAGGCTCCAGGATTGGGCAGAGTGTAGGAGGATGGAAAGTAAGAAGTAGAAAAGAAAAAAAAAAGATATTGGTGTTTTAGATGGTCTTTCTCCACAGTACAAAACCTATGTGCACGTACCAAATCTAGAACTGAGAGGGTCCTCTTTAGCTTGCACCAATATGGTCCTGGGGGATTAAACACCTTGGGCCCCTTGAGCTCGGCAGCACCTTTATTGTCTCTTACGAAGTAGCAACTCGTGGAGAATTGGCATTACTGATTTATCCCAAATTTTATCAAGTTTATATCAAAGTCATGTCACAAAGCACCCTTGACAATTCTAGAACAAAAGGTCTTAGCATCTCAGTTTCATTCATCATTTTTGTAACAGCAATCTATTTGGGATTTTACTTTCTCTTCAAATCCCTAGGATAGAGGGACATTGGAAGTCTGGTTAAAAGTTACTCATAAAACAATTCCATTGTCTTGAAAGAAAAACCAAATGTGCACAAGAGAAGAACCTTGATATACTACATTCTGGTTTTAATTCATTCTAAAAAACTCCACCCATTTTCTTCTAAACTGACTAAGTAATAAAACACACTGATTCAGGTCTAGCTAAAACCAAAACCAACATGCTTCTTGTGAAAGTTTCCAAATTTCTGGCTAACATGGAAAACTAGATCCAACTGTTTGTTATTATATCTTTGGCCTAGAAATACTTTTTTAAACTTTTTATCTAGAACATGGATATACTTAAAATGGGTGATCTATAATTTGTTCTGTGTGTATAATCTTGAGGTATGGATAAAGGGAGAGAAAGAAAAGGGATCATTCTTACTCTTGGCATTTCTTATCTGATCATTGTTAAACTAAAAAAAAATTGGCAGCACGTTTTCCCCTTTTGCCAATAATAGATGCTCTTCCCTTAGGAGATGGGTGGATCTGGATATAATGAAGAAAAGGTCAGAAGAGATGTCATACCCCAGGGGAAGACTGATTTCAGGAGGAGTTGGCTTTCCCTAAACAATTAAAATTGTATTTTAAAACACTAGCTGAAAAACATACTCTATTTTTTAAAACTAAGTTTATCTAACCACTGGATATAAAGTATATTTATAAATGTACAATTCTAAAAACAGATGTGATAAGTTAAAAATAGGTACTCTTAGAGATCATCATTTTGTGCATTATAACCAAATAATCAAACATTAATGGTCAATACCTTTCTAAGAAATTGTCAGCATTAAGAAAGACAATTGATTGTAAAAAAATTTTTTTAATGTCCCAAATATCATTAGTAAGTAGCCATGAAGAAGTCTAGGTCATCTTCCTATACGCGCTAAATTACAGATGACTTATTATATAATATGAAGAAATAACTTTCTGGATAAAGGTTTTATTTCTATCTCACACTATTTCCAGTATTAGCCATTGACAAAGGTATCAGAATATGTAATATATATGTATAAATGAGTAAAGTTCAAAAACTGAGTCCTTTCAAAGATTTTTACTTTACCTAAAACAGCATCATTCATTTAAAGAAATAATCAAAATTGTTCTTCCATTCAAATCCTTCATTTTCCCCACTCTTTGGAAAGTGTTCAGAGGAAAAAGTATTTACATGTATGCAAGCATGAAATGAAAATATTGTCTAAAGCTTCCATTTTGATTAACATTTGATGGCATATCTGGAATTTATTTCAAAACCCCTGAGATACTGCCCTCTTAGGCAGGTTCTCAATGAAATGATATTTAAGCTTTTCATTAACACTTTCATTACTTTTTTGTTTGAAATGAGTCATTATATCAAATCAATGAAAAGGACAGAAGATATGGCCATGTAAGATGTCAGAATCTATCCCAGACTCTTCCTTTCCAATTTTCATCAAATTGCAGAGCTGTACAGATGTCAGTTAGAAATTTTTTTTTTCATTCTGTCCAGATGGTAGTCCTGAACCAAGCCGAATAGAAGAGCCTTAAAATATCCTTTTGAATGGAGTTGTGTTTCCCTTTGGAAGTAAACAAGCACTTGATGCTACAACACCAGGATTGCTGGCTCAGGTTAAGGGAGGATTCCGCCTTGCAGCCTGAAGTGATAAAACTTTTGGATCTGTATCAGAGATGCAGGAAGTTACTTCCTATTGCACCCTGTCTGTCTCTCTAACCGCCCCCCACCCCGGTCATATTTATTTATGATGGGAGAAGGGAATAAAAGCTCCTGGGAGTGAGACCTAATCTTCTCTCCAATCCTGCTGAGTAACCCCCCTCAACAGGGCTACTCTGCCAAAAGTAACACAGTTTATTTGGAATAAGTGGCTGTGAAGGGAGAAAGGCCTAGTGCTCCATAGAAGATGAAAAAAACCAAAAATGAAGCAGCCACACATGCTGGGGAGATGGTACCATTCCTAAGAACCTACCCACTCAAAATAAGAATTAAGATGAGAATAAGATAAGAATCAGAAGGTGAGACAAGGACAAATGGACCTCTGAGTTTGAAGTTTCATTGTGAGATTTTCGTCTTTTAGATTTGATTCATCTATAAAAGAATAACATATATGTGTTTTCCTATATGTACATATGCATATATACCATGAGAATACTTAGTACTGAGTAGGGTTTTTTACCCCGTAATAGGGGACCCTTGACGGAGGAGAAAGTTAAATAGTAGCAACACAGCTCTAAAAAGTCCATAATAATCCCAGATCTCTCTAGCCCCAAAGACATTCCTTTTACTGCTCTTTATTTAAAAAACATCAGGTGTGCAATTAAAGAAAAAAAAAACAGTACAACAAAAAGTCTACCTGAATGACAGCACATAGACACAATGGCATACACATTTAGAGTGCTAGGTTAATTATAATTATGTTATAATTTAATTGTTATATTAATTATAGAATCATGGACCTACAGAGTATTGGAGCTGATAGAGATTTTAGGAATTATCTAATCTGCTGTTTACTAAGTAGAGAGATAATTATAGCAGTTAATCCTAAGAGTTTTTAATTAATTAGAACTATGAATTTCACTTCTCTAGGCCTCAGCTACTTAGTAAACAGCAGTGAGAAAGTAAATTGGATACATAAATACTTAAAAATAACTTTTTGCTAGCTAATTTTGAAAATAAATTTGTTACATACCACTGTATGCATCTGGTCATAGGTACTTTGAATTTTTCCATTTCCTTTATTTTTAGTTGATATAACAGAGAAAAAAAAAGAAACATTATTTTCACCTCATTAAGTAAAAAAATCAAGTGCTCACTTGTCAAGACAACTCAGTTCCCATCTTTCACCAGTTTTATTTTCATTCCTTTTAAATAGTAAAATTACTATATATGGTCTCATTATTGGTAGTACAACTTTCTTTTACCCATTTTATATATACCTGTAACGTGAAATCTGAGAAGACGAATAGGGTCTTACTTCTTTCATGTCTGACAACCAGTGGGGACAGAAATGTTTTCTACAATTTCATCCCAGCTCCACTTCTCCCCTTATCAATGAATGGAATTGAGATTGTTATATGGTTTTATCAGACTACATACAAGGAATATTAATGAGGATATACTTTCTGTTAATGACTCAAATCACCAACTCTACAATTATCCTTGGAAATAGTAGAAAGTGCACCAAATAGATGTATGATAGGGCGTATCTCCCATGTTAATGAATTCACTATCCCAAAAGGTGGCTACCAAAACCTTTTTCATTCTGTCTTATATTGATAATGATATAAGGTGGTGTTTCCTTCATGCTCCAACATATTCATATTCTCTCTCTCTCTCGGCTAGGCAATGGGTTTAAGTGACTTGCCCAGTGTCACACAGCTGGTAAGTGTCAAGTGTCTGAGGTCAGACTTGAACTTAGGTCCTCCTGACTCCAGGGCCAGTGCTCTATCCACTCCACCATCTAGCTGCCCCTCCAACATTCTCTTTACTTATTGTCTTCAAGTAGCTAGGTAAAGACTTATATTCCTCTATGCTACTAATCAAAAGACTTAGACCTTAAAAAAAGTTTACTCTTATACACTGGCGATTCACCACTTTTAATGCTTGTTTTAAAAATCAAATACAAAAAGGAGAGAAGTCTATTAAAATTACATTTATTTTCTTTATATAATCATGGTAATGAAAAGTAGTACTCTGAACTAGATGACATTTGTATGATTCTTCTAATGCGAAGGAAGCAAACATTTTGAAAAATTGCATTAATATTCTCATTCAACCAAGGCATGGTTTAATTAATTATATCTACCTACATAAAATGTGTCATCAGAGATATATGCCTGGAAAAAAAGATGAGTCAGTCATATAATGAGAATAAGAACAACTGATGAACAGCAATGTAACCCACTGGTATCTATGTAAAGTGAAGAAGGTCCCCGCCACACTGGTTAGACCTCTGTGTATGATTATGGGAGAACAAGATAAGAGGTGGACAAGAGTTGCAAAGGACAGAGAGGTACAGACAGTTGTTATATGAGTCATTGGAAGAAAAATCCACATCAATGAAATAAATTATGAATCCTTCAAAGTTTCAATGTATATACTTGAGTAATTTTCCCAAGTGCTCCCTTTTGCCAGTAGGCTCTTGCTAAGTAGTTTAAAAGTTGTGAAACTATGTCTGAAATGCCATGCAAAAAAAAAGACATTTCAGTATCTCTTCATTTACCTTATGGAATTTATAATCATCTTTGTTATGAAATAAGAAGCATTGAACATTTGCTTATGAATGAACAAATGAAAATAGTTCCTACATTTTTAGAGCTCTCGTTTTTGGGTTCTTTCCTCCCTCCAGAATATTAATTATATAAGAGGTTCTATATAAATGACAATCCATAAATGGAATCTCAGAATAGTTCAATTTTTTAAAGTGTAGGTTTTATTGAAAGAATATAATTCTGCAAGTAAAAAAATGGTTCCTCATATATGGACTCTATTTAAGGTGACAATATCGTATGAATCCCCACAATGATTTATCAGCTTAACTTGCTGACATTATGGGTGGACATCTATGTGAGTGTATACAGTATTCTATTCATGAGACTTACAATCAGGAATGTTATCACTAACACAAATCACTTTGACATCAGACCTTTTCCACCTTTGCCAACCTGTCTCATATCTCATCTTTGCATGTATATAGTACTAAGTAGCTAATTGACATTCAATCTATGATTCTCCATCTTTTGCAGTTGCAAATCTTTTGAGCCATATATATATATATATTTATTATAGTTCTGATTTGATTCATTCAGTTACCATTTGTTGAAATGTTGAAATTTCTGGAACATTTTGATACTGGAGGGAGGGGTAATTGGAATTGAATAATTGAGATCAGGACTAGCCAGACAATCTGGGACAAATGGTCATCATATTTCACCATATATGACTGGCCTGACATTATTTCATCATAGATTTATTTAGTGATTTCTTTAGTTAAACTAACATGTCTTTATTTCATAAAATGCAGATAATTAGAGAAAATCTTAAGCAAAGTTTAAGTTGGTTTTAAAAACATGCTCATATTTTGGACTATTTGACATAGTCCCCTATCTTAAGGGAAAAAACATTTTATAAAATATACTGAAGTGCTATTTATGGGACATTGAATTTATAAAATTCAACCCATGCTATTTCATACCAGTAATAAAATAATTAAAAGTACTTGAAGAAGGATTAAAAATAAACAGTGCCAAAAACTTACTTCCTATAACAGTCTTGTGATTAAAAATCCTGCTCCAGAGTCCTCCTTCTAAATTATCTTTCACTCCAAATTCATAAATGGTATTTGGCTTCAGATTCTCAACTACTGTTTCAGTGGCTGGGCAGAGTTGGAAAATCCATTTTTTTTCTTTGTCTTTTTCCCGATAGCGAACTGTATATAATCTGTTGAATAATAAAAGTAGTGATATTATGTTTTGCCACCAAACAGTTGACACCCAATGTCAGTCCTGCCTTTATAATACAAGTTAAGTAGGAGCATTGGTTTTGCTTGCAGAGGACATTAAGCTGAAGGAAAAGTTAATATGTGTAACCCAGGATTCAAGGTCATTGGTCATTCTCCTCATTGGTGGAGAATGATCACTCTATGCTTCGTGACTGTGTGATGGGTGGAGTTGGCAAAAGCTTTGGAGGAGAGAGTGAGCCCACTTCTGGCTTCCAGCTTCCAAAGAGTACACGAGGTTCCAGGCTCTCTACGGGGCATGGAACATCAAGTAATCATTCTCCACCCATGAGGAAAGTCTTATGCAAAAGGCCTTATGTTCCCCAGGTCATACATGATGTACCACAGATTCAGAATCCAACAAGATTTTGACAGGTTAGGACTATGTATAGCGTCTAATAAGATGAAATCTAATAGAAAAAAAAAATATAATGTCCTTGAGTTCCTGAATTCAAAAGGCATTTATTAAGTGCCTGCTCTGAGCCAGATACTGCACTAGGCACTAGAGATACAAAGACAAAAAAAAGTCCCAGCCTTCAAAGACCTTACATTCTATCGGGGGAACAAAATATACACAGAAATGTAATATAAAATAAGTGCAAAACTAGATTTAAAGGAACTTCAGCAACTAGCAAATGGGGGAAGTGGAGAAGGGGAATCAGGATAGGTTTCCTGTATTTAAACTGAGTTTTGAAAGAAGCTAGAGATTGTATGAGGTGGAGGGATGGTGGTGGCAAGTGCATTCTAGGTATGAGAGGCAGACAGTATAAAAGCAGGGAGAAAGGAGAAAGAATGACCTATATGGGAAAGAGCAAGTAAGCTATTTTGACCAGAATGCATCCTCTATTGCTGTTTCCAAACTCTCTCTATCACCATCACTCAGCAATATCTCCTCTGAAGTTCACTCTGACCAAACTTATCACATTTCTCCTCCTCTCCCACCCCACTGAGACATTATCTAGAGTTCAATTGCTATTATTCAGTCATGGATGACTCTTTGTGACCCCGTTTGGGTTTTTCTTGGTAAGGATACTGGAGTGGTTTGCCATTTCTTTCTCCAGTTCATTTTATAGTTGAGGAAACTGAGGCAAACAGGATTAAATGACTTGCCCAGGGTCACACAGTTAGAAAGTATCTGAGGTCAGATTTGAACTCAGGAAGATGAGTTTTCCTGACTCCAGACTTAGCACTCTATCTACTCTGCTACCCAGCTGTCCCAGTGGACAGCTAATGCCTAGTGCCTGTCTGGGTCTAAGTTTTCAATCCCAATCCCTGGGATCATACTAGGGGACTTCAACATATATGCTGACGCTCCCTCAAGTACTCCAACCTTCCAGTTCTTTAGCTGATAGCTCTCCACGACCTACTCCTCTACTCCACTTCAGCTAAACACAGGGATGCTTATAGCCTTGATCTTGCCATCATACGTGGTTATTCCATTTCCATCTTCTATTAACTTGAAATTCATTTATTTGATCATAATTGTTATAACTCCATATTCCCCAATGCCACTCTGCTCCCAAACCCATTTTCACCCTCAGCATGATGTCCAGCTCTTCCGCTGTTAAGCACTTTCCCAGAGTATCACCACTCTGGACTATACTCTCCAACCTTCACAACTTTGACCCTTCAGTGGGGCAGTTCAACTCTACCCTATTCTCTCCTCTTGGATCCCTTGCTTCATTGCTCTGTAGCCACTCATATTTTGCCAAACCCTAGGCCTGTATGACTCTCAACATCTATATCTTTTACTCTTACTCTTGTGTTGTTGAACAAAGCTGAATGAAGTCATTTGTAAGTATGGGAAGAGAACAGGGATTTGGTTACTGCTTCTATCCCCACCCAAACTCAGCTGATATAGTCACAGAACATAACCACCATGGATGACAAAATTTTAATGTGTTAATAAGCTGTTAACACCTAGTGATGCCTTCAGAAAGTCTAAACACCTCTCTGACTGCACTGGAAGGGAGTAATGACCTCGGAAGAAAAACAATTCTTAAGGAAATTAAAATAGCTAAACCCATGAGACACTGAGCTTGGTAGCTGTGGTAGACCCAGATGCAGAATAGGTGTGCCAATCTGCCTTTACTGAAAATAAAGCCCACTATCATTCTCCCTCTCTAAACTTTCCATATATACTGGTTCCTTTCCTTCTGCCTACAAACATGTCCAAGTTTCCTTCATCCTTCAAAACAAAACAAAACAAGCAAAGACCAAACCTCTCACTAGATCCTCTCATCCTTGCCAACTATCATCTTGCATCTCTCCTCTCGTCTTCAGCTGAACTCCTTGAAAAGGTCTTCCATACTAGATGCTTCCATTTTCTCTCCTCCCTTTCTGTCTTATTCTCTTCAAAACCATCTGCAATCTGGTTTCCAGCTGAACATTTTCAACCGAAAACGTTCCCTCCAAAGTTACCTTAATTGTCTTATCTTAATCGTCAAATGTAATGGTCCCTTCTCGCTTCTCATATTTCTTAACCTCTTTGCAACATATAATACCATTGACAATCCTTTCTTCCAGAATATTCTATCCACTCTGGGTTTTCATAATGCTGCTTTTGGTTCTCTTTCTACTTTTCTGACCTTTCCTTCAAATGAGATAATAATTGTAAAGCTGTTAGCACAGTGCCTGGCACATAGTGGCACATAGTAGATGCTTAATAAATGTTTATTCCCTTATTCTCTTTCCTTCCTCTTGACTAGATCTTTATTAAAATCACAGTCAGTTACTGCCCAAGGTTTTTTGCTGAGTCCTCTTCTCTTTTCTCTCTATTCTCTTTCTCTTGGTAACCTCATTAGTACCCATGGGTTTACGTATTTTCTATATGCAGATACGTTCTATGTCTACAACCCCATTCTCTCTCCTGAGCTCCAGTCCCACACCACCATCTTCCTGGTGGACATTTTGAACTGAATGTCCCATAGACATCTCAGACTCAGCAAGGACAAAACAACTCATTATCTTTCCACCAGAACTCATGCCTCTTCTTCCATATTCCCCCATTACTGCTGAGGGCACCATCATCCTTCCTATTACTTCAGTGTTAACCTCAACTCCCCATTCTCACTCACTCCTCATATCTAATCAGCTGCCAAATATTGTGGTTTCTACCTTTACAACGTCTCTCACATACACCCCTTTTATCCACTCACACAGCCAACCACCCTAATCCTCATTGGCATTCATTGCCTCTTACTAGGACTATTGCAATAGCCTACTATTTGAGCTCCCTGCATCATCTCTCCCTCACTTCAATCCATCCTCCACACAACTGCCAGTGACTTGCTTTAAATGAAGGAAATCATGTCACACCGACCTCCTCACATGTCATTGCCGCCACCACCAATCCATAAATCTGCTGCTCTCTGTTACTTCTAGGATTGAATATAAACTCCCATTTCACAATTAAAACTCTACAAATCCTGTGGCCTTTGGACCTTTACAGTCTTCTTACACATTACTCCTCTCCATACAGTCTACAGTTTAATCACACTTTTATTGTTCCTCACCTAGGATGCTACATCTCTGTGACTTTGCACTGGCTGTCCTTGTCATCTCTGCTTCTTGGAAACCTCAGCTTTTCTTCAAAACCGAGTTCAAGCAATGGCTTGAAGGCATTATGACCTATGTTTTATCCCTCTTATTAAATTGTAGACCTAGATGTTTCATCTCCCTCTTAGACTGTAGGATCCATAAACTACTGTATTCTTTGTTAGTATTTCCATCAGAGGATGAGTACCAGAATGCAAAGGCTAAAATTCAAAATCAATTATTCAATTTATTAAAAGTCAATTCAACAATTCCATTCAATAAACCTTTATTAACTGCTGGGTTTATAAATAAAAGATAGCATCTGCCCACAAGGAGCTTACAATCTAATGGGGAAAGACAATACCCAAAGGGAAGCTGGAAAGGGGGTGGGGCACCAGAGGATGGTGCATGGGAGCATCATGTTCCTCGGAGTTCAAACAAGCTGAGCTGCTGATGGAAAGTGGAGTTACTTAGAGAATCCAGATCCATGCCTCTATAATGGACTGCTTTGGGAGGAATTTAGTGATCTGACCTCCAGTCCTCCAAACAGAGAGGAGAGAAGGCTGAGGTAATTGGGAAGGTGTTGGGTATCCAAAGGTGAATTAATGACTGGATCATGAAATTTCAGGTGATCAGCTTATCTGGTGGGGCATCATGTTTCTTAGTGTTCAAACCAACTAGAGCTGTGTAGATGGAAAGTGGAGAAAATCTCCACAAATATTTTGTTGGGGGTGGGGAAGGGAAAATTAGAAGGTAATGATTGAAGCCAAGGTTCTTGAATCATTTTGGGGTTCCACTAATCATTGGTTCCCTCTCCCTAGTTAGTAAAGATATCCAAGTGAGCCTTTCCTCTGTGGTTTGGGCCCTTGCATTGGTCCGAGAAAAGAACAATTTGTATCAAAAAGCTTTATAAATACCATAGACATTATACCAAACAAATAAACCCACTAAAGTGGTAAGTGAGTGTAATTAGAAGCAGGCTTTGGAAAGCCTATTGATTGGGGGCCAGATTCTGCCCTCAGATGTGCCTGCAGCTGCTTTTTAGAATTTAGCCCAACACAGTAGATTTATATAAGCAAATAGTAGTTCAAGGGAGGATTCTTATTTCTTGGGTATTGAAATTCGAGTTCTGCTGAAGCTCTCCTTCAGGAATACAGTCTTCCACAACTATCCAAACTTGAATGCCTTTGGCGGGCTCCTGGGACACCGAATTTTGCCATTATAATCTCGTAAACTCCAGTTTCTGGCATAGGCTGCAAGGAAAACAAATATTTCACTATGGTAGGTTCATGCAAACTAATTTAGCCTAGACAAATGAAAAGAGTTTACTGCATGGCACTTTCCTTTTTTTTTTTTTTTAAATTTCTGACCTCAAATTTTCCATCTCAAAGCAGTCATTTCTTTA